CAGGGACGATGCTGTACGAGTGGACTTGCACCGTCTCAAAAAATCTCATAATTAGAAACTTTTTTAAAACCAAAGTATACTCCTTCTTCGAGTATAAAATATAAAGATAACAGGATTCTCTATCAAATGAATGAAAAAAGGATATTTTTGTTTACGTCTTTTATAAAATCCATTTGACTTCATAAGACCATCAAAATTCAGTGTTAAAAATGCATGCTTCTTAAGTGGTCATTGTTTACCGAGTACGGTTTGCACAGGAGATTGAAAAGCAATGCATTCAAACGCCGACATCCTGCCGGGTCCGAAATACTATAGGATTATGTCGCGTAATAAGCAGTATTACAACCTCACCTAAGTAATCCTTCTCAATCAGAAACGCACTTCAGAATTTCGGCCAACATTTAATGAGATCGGTCCCTTACTGTATTTTCCATGACCAGCATTTGTGAGCAAGTGCTCAGTCAAATGAAACAGGCAGCCCATTCAGAAATACTGCGTTGTATTCGTAAATTCGCAAGGCATAAACGACAGCCTTTCGCTACAGGAGAACAACTGCAAATGTGGGAATTCTGCATTGGGTCGAGAGCGATAGGGACACCTTGGGTGAGGAGCACGTTGTTTTCGGAGGAATATGACTGTCATCGTCTCCAAAAACCAGTCTGGTTCTCCGACAATATCATCCGTGAAGTAAAACGTCAGGCACAATAAGGAGGCGAAAATGGGGTTTCCTAAATTAGAAGTCAAAGATACAGTTGGTTGGGCAGTCTGCATTCTGGCCGGGAGAGTGTACGAGCAGCTCAGAAAACAGCGGCATCAATTGTTTAACCAGAAAGATAGAGCCAGTCGCTAACGATGTCTGCCAACACGAGGTGTGAGAGTGCATTTAAGCCAGGTCAGGGTGCGGTCAGTCAACGAATAGCAAGATATTAAACGGCGTCGCGGTGTCGGCGAGCGAAAGGGTTGGGTCGCACGCTGAGCAAGTGGTCAGCTAGCAAGGGATTTATGGCTGCTGTCGTCACATCATCACGAAGTCCTATACCCACCCCTCACTGGCTGTCCTCACATACCGAGCAAGGACAACTGGCCATACATAGCCGTGTGCGTTCCCCATTACATGTTATCCTCTCCCCGCCCTAAGTAAACGCTAACCGTACTTTCTCTCTTCTCTCTTTCTCACCTCGAATGGAAAAATTCCACTTCTCCTGTTAATATAACCCGTGGGACGGTTGTTGCAAACTTTTTGAGGATTCTTGAATGTAGAAATTATTTTGAAGAACATTTCCGGTTTCTTAAATATCAGTTTGGAAGGCCTACTTCTGTGGTTTTGCCGATACGACCAGTTTGAAGGTCACCCTCTCGCTACCTTTGGCAACGGACATTGGCGTCTGTTTACTGTGTGAAATCAAGCAAATCCGTGTGCTTAAATGGCTGCGTCAAAAGACCTTTCTTCTCGTTCAGTGATGGACTTGTAGGTCTCACCCGTTTATGAGCTAATGCGCCGCGGAGCAGCCCTGGTGACCCAAAGTTAATACACAGAGGCTACTACATAAAAAAAGTAGGCCTTATAATTTAGCTAAACGGAGAGAAGTGGAAGTAGTTGACCTGCATGAGGCAGGTACAAGGCTTCGTGCGGTCCGAGTTCCTAAGATAATATGATACAGCAACCCAACAGAAATATATTACCAATCTTATGAACAGGTAAGCCGTTCATATAAACTTATTTGCCGGAACCAAAGTTAAGTAATTAGGAATTGAAGCAAAGTTCCATCTTCCGAATGATGCGATAGATGAAGACTGTTCGAGTAGGTGGAAGCAAGTAATTTGTTCTGAGTTTTCGAAAGCATAGTTGGGTCCATCATCATAGAATGAACCTTTTGCTAAACCTACAGCCTATATACGCAGTGGGACTCGTCCAGTCATCGGCTGGACCATCGTCTGCGAGGACTCCTTATTGGGCTTCTTTGGAGGATGGCACTGGACGGATGTCCAGACTTCTGTTGACCTGCCTGCGTAGACGTCGAGATAGACGCCGGCATGGACCATTGCACGCACTTTTATGTGAACAGCAGAGTGGTAGTCAGTGGGTTAAGCTCCTGTCGGGAGTTTGCAATCGTTTAGCGGCGAGCCTCGAGTTGTTTTATCGCACTTGGAAGTACCAAAGTGATGGGTGTTCGTGTAGCAGTAGATTGGGATAAAATGCTACTTTTCGGCTTATGAACTCTAGCAAGAGTTTGTAACGTTAGAAAAACATCACTCGGTTTGAGGAGGACGGCAAATAATCTCCTCCTAACTGAAATTAACAAAATTCAGTGGCGTGAAATACAACAAGTTTTCCATACACGTACACGCAAAAGGAAGCTTTTGACCCTGTTGCCATGGTAACGACCCAGAGACTCCCGTTTAGGCCTCACGTCGTGGAAACAAAACGTGGGCATTGCCACTAATCGCCCTCGTGTGTACTATCTGCGATGAGCATATATTTGGGGGGGTTCTGGTTTTGGTTTCTACAGGTCTCCGCAGTGCAGATTATTTGCTGTATTTACTAATGACCACTGCAGTGTCTGCATCAATGTCGTCACCTGTCATCGTCTCCTGTCTGTCTTCTACCTTCTACCTCCTTCGGTGGATGTGTACTCATCAGGTTTATTAAACGGCTGGGTGAGTAACATCACCGCCTGGTGAAATGACGATCAGGCTCAGTGGACCCTTCATAATGTGGCCTCAAAGGTAACCCCACATATGCGAGATGCGATACGCCCACCCCCCCCTCCCCCTTGTGTGAAAGTCTGGTGTGCTGTGTGGAGGTCAAGTCGCACAAGGGGGGCTATTTGACCCTGTCAACCGCTTGCATCCAAACCCCACATCAGATGACTGACCGGTTAGGAAAATAAACTGGTACCTGGAAGAAGTAAGAAACGGTGAGATCGACTCTGGGGAGTCCATCCTCAAGACACAGCAACACATGCCTTACTAACAGTAAATGGGACGCACACACATCTATCGCGATGCACTACAAGTCGTGGCTTGCGAGGCTGCCAAACTGACAGGCCGACTTGGTCCTTCTCAGGATTGAGAGTCAGGCTGAAATGGTTCCTTACTAATGTGATCTCCATGGTATCCCAACTCAGAGCGGATCGAAGTCGCCTTCAGCGAAATCCTAGTACATTGTGGGGGGGGGACCAGATCGTATGCGGCATGCATGAAGGGGCTCTTTATTTTTATCGACCTCTACATCCAATCCTGCCTCCGATCTTTGTGACTCTGTCTTGGTATCGGGCTCGGACGGGCGAGGGAAGAGAGAGTGCGGTAGATGTTTTGCAAGTTTACCATCATTACAAGCTAATTCAGGTGCAGCCACTTTTCCTGCACTCACTATGCTGTGGGGCAACCGATGGATATGATCGCTCGCGATGTTCAAGCTCTCGAGTTGTAGGCTACCTAAATACCAGGCCTCGAATATCTTCCCTTTCGTGTGGCCATGTCCTTGATAAAGTGTCCCGATGAGCTTATTATTCGGGTAACATCGAAGTAGATGAAGAGTGCGGAGGCTTAGATTTTCTTCGTTGCGGCAGTCTACCTGTTGTATGTTTGTTTGTTTGTTTGTTCTAAAGCCGTAATGTAGAATGCGAAGTTAAAATAATTGACTATATTTGATAAAAGGATCTTAACCTTTTTTCGACCATGTAAAGTTTGTGCTATTGATGAGAGAATGGGCTCCAAAACCGAGTATCAGAAAACCTGCAAAAACATCTTACCTTTCATTAGTGACTACTGGATTCTCCATAAATAAACCTTTGGTGTAGAGACAATATTTTATTTTTCTTAAGCAAGACAATGATAATTGTACATCACCCCAGGCGGGAACTACTAATAATTCAGGCTTTTCTTGACGGTTTGCAAAACAAAAATTTCCCTCATATACCCATCTTTGTCTATGCTGTGGCTAGTTAAGGATCTACACACACAACCTCTGAACTCCCAATTGGAAAATTTAAAATGATCAACTTACTACCTAGCATTATCGGTTTTATTACTTGTTTACATAATTTTAAAGTCGTTAAGCATCCAAAAAGGCAAATAAATGAAAGATCCCATAATTGGGAGATGTCCTACAAAAGTCTGACAGCAATCCAAAAGCTTCAGCCTGCCCTTTCTGTGCATAGCTCAAATTCGAACAACAAGGGCGCCAATTCTTCTGAAATAGATGCAAATTTGATTGATGAGACTGAACGTGTATTTGGAATTAACCAGTTGAGCTTTCGATTTCCTTCAAACATTTAATTTGAACATGGTGGTCCTCAGCGGTCGAGGCTCACAGAGCTTATAGGACTGGACTAGCTCTAGTAAGGCACACAAGTGTGGAGGATCGTTTTTGGCAGGTCTGAATAAGTCATTCGACTCTATGATGAAAAGCTCGGCGGCCTCGGTGGGATCCGAACCCACAATAACGTTGGGTGTACTCTTGCCTTGCCCTTGCTTTCGTGGGCTCGAATCCCGTCGAGCCCACCGGGTTTTTTATAATTGGGCCAAAGGAATTATGGAGGAGTTCCTTTTGCAGAGCAATCTTTTGGAAATCAGAGAACCACTTCCAGAGAGAACATGCAATTTCCGATTTGTGCACGCTGTCCACACCCCCCGCAAAACCACAATGTCGGCTTGTGTCGACTGGCTTGTCATGAATCTCACCAATGCTTTCAGTAGGACCAGTCTTTTGACAGCACATGAGCAGGCACCGACCTTAAACGCCCCTCCACGTGAGGGTCAGTTAGAACGCACCACTGACACGCTGACGTTAGTTTTTGCCGCGTCGTTTGGCCATAGCCGTCACTCTGGTGGAGATCACATGCCAAATTCGATCGGACTGTGTGTGTGTGTGCGCGCGCGACGGGGGGACATGCACTTCGTTGTGCGAGCGCGGAGGATAGTACACTCCGTCTGCGTGGTTGCCTTTCGACAGGGCAGGGCATCACGCTCGAAATAACAGAGAATCTCCACGTAGAATGCCTAACGGAGACGGTGAGCGGAGTCGACAACAGCGGGGCCCCAAGCTGAGTGCGGGTTACTGGGGCCCCTCCAACCCCCCAATGCAGACAGTCGAGGAAGATACGCAGTGCACCATTTATGCCCCAGTATACACCAACCCGGTTGTAGCCTCGTCTACATCAATGCGACCGCCCCTAGCCCGACGTTCTTCTTCCCTGGTCCTCCTGGATCCACCACGGCGACTGAGGGGCGCCGAGGAGCAACCACTTATTCTCAGCTGTGATAATTATCCCCCTTCCACATTCACGGCCATGGACGCTAGCATGAAGGACGGGGCGTGGTGTTCCATCCCCTACGGACGCAGCAGGGTCATCTCCCGCATCCTAGATGCCCAGACTACAAACGTTTTGCAACCTATGATGGAGTCTATGGGACCCGTGCCCAGGCGGCTCTCGGTCTCCCGTGACCAGTCGGTCTCCTTAGTATGCGGGGGAGAGGGAGAACTGGAAGTGGATGCTGTTCCAAGTCTGACATCTGAAGACAGTCACCTGAATGACGAAGGGGAGGGAGATGGAGAAAAGGGGCTGAACAGAGCAGCGCAGGGAGTGAACGCTGAGGCAAAACAGGAATTGCGGTTGGAGCAACGCACCTCCGTGTTGATGGCCGCTTGGAACGTCTTTAATCTCATTGTGGGTGTCGGTATAATGGGTCTACCCTATGCATGTGCCGGTGCTGGATGGTACTCCATTCCGATGATTGTTCTCATCGGCGCCGTCTGCTGCTATGCGGGTCAGCTGGTTGGCGAATGTCTGTACAGTCACCGACCAAAAGCTGGGTAAGTTGGGAGCACACACCGCTGCTTTACGCATTTTCTACCTGCTAGCACTAATTGGGAAACATTTGTCAATGCCCACGGGAATAGTGAAAACCACCCCAGGTACAGAAAGGCTAATTGCATTTTACTGATTCACTGCGTTGTGGGTACAATACAGACAAAGTGGAGGTTTCGGGAGTTTAAAATTACGAGCAGTCAACGGAGTTTTATTTCAAATTTTAATTTAGTGGCCATTAAGGCGTTGGACAGAATACAAGTCCCAGATCAGTGAGAGACGCTGTAAATCACGTGGAAGGCGAAAGTCACTTAGTTTGGACAATTTGACATCGGCCTTCTCAGTCAGTTCGATCGTCGCGAACGATGATATCTACAGTGTGCTCCACGGCTAGGTGGGCGCATAGACAGTGACTTGCGCCTGGATCAGTTTATATCGATAGCGAAATTACTCAGCATTTATCGCACTCTCCCATCTCACCCACCCGAACCGGTAGCTAGACAGAGTCAGAAGGACCGGGGGCGGGCTCGAGCGAAGCAGTTTATTCATAGATGTTTGGGCAGATTTTGAATAATTCATATTGACCCAACTGTGAAAAACTCGGCGCCTCGTTGGGATTCGAACCCACGCAGTAAGGGGAAGGCTTTAAGACGGCCAACGCTCTAACCACTTGAGCTACGAGGCCCCCCCGGACGATGCGAAAATAGATGTATGCATTTCATTTCTTCGCATTATAAGCATGCGAATTAAATTATAAGTCGGAATTGCAAAGCTTAAAGCGGGTCATTAAGTTTGATAGGTTCTTTCCAAAGAATTCTGCTGCAAAGCTCCATCTAGGGCAGGTATATGTAGACGTTAACATCGTATTTTGTCATTTTTATTTAAAAGTCTCACGTGCAAAAAACTGTGCGCTTATGTTCGCTTAACGCACATCTTACAATAATTAGTAAGTGCTTGCTAGTGAGCTTTTAAGCTTATATCACAACGCCTACTTATAGTAAGGACTACAAATCCAGGCTCAGGCAATTTTAATGACAAAGTGGGAGAGTCTGTCTGGTTGAAAATTAAGGCTTCCAGTGTCTAGTCAGTTTAAACCGACGCCTCAGTCATTATATGGCATAAGAAAATTTCCAAAAGCGTAACATTCGAGGAGGAATCTTAGGCCCCAGACGTGTGACTTTTTTAAAAATTTTCGGGTTTAAGGGAAATCAAGTCATTTTTTGGACGCATTTCACCCAAGCCATGTTTTTAAAAGTTTTCCGTATTTAAAAATTGGGGAGGTAAACTTTAGGCACAGTAGTTTGTCTCAACTGTCCCAAGCAGCCTAAAACACTCGAGGGAAGTTAGATGACGCAAAAAGCCGGACAGCCCGTATACGCGTGTCACACACCACCCGGTCCGTGCACAATGAATCAGGTTTTTACAGAAACAAGAAAAGGCGTTAAGGATCTCATTTGAGTGGGAGTGTCATAGAGCCTGCATTCGAAGTAGTATGAGAAGGGAAGAGTTATCTCGTTAGTTGACAGTCTTCGAAGGCATGACTTTCAACGCGTCGTGATAGTTTTAATGGGCGTCAGATTGTTTATACTGAAGAATGCGCTAAGAGACCGGGAGAAAGGAGATACTAGAATCGGACTCACTCCCACTTTCCTGTCCCATGCGTTAAAACGCTGTACAAGTCGGTCAGCCATCTGATGCTGAAGGTGGGGGCAGGTGATGAGCGCGGCAAGAATCCACGCCTAGGCTTGCCGCCACACCCCATGTACGGCATTTGTTGTGGGATGCGCGCACCCTGCGCTGTCGGGTTAATGCACGCCATGGCCTCGTGTTGGTTCACCGTACTTCCCGCATAGTTAACCGTAGCGGATGAATTCTTTTAGCAGAGGAAGGGAGAACAGCCGTTTTGGAAGCCCAAAAGTTGCGGTTTTAAAGTGTAAACACGGATTTCTGATCCTAACCGACTTTAATAAATTACGTTCAAGGAGCCTGTGAAATAAGAACTCTCAGGAATGGAGAAGGCTACTCGATTTTTAAAATTTTAAATAGAGCAAAAAATAGGGTGGGGGCTGTGCTGTTACGTTTTTCAGTTGTTGCTTTATTAAATGCAAGTGAAAGAAAACGAAAATATCCGATTTTAAAAGGAAAACCAAACAGACCACATACAACTTTCCGCGACCTTCCGCTCTCACCTCGCAGGAATTTTGAAACCAACTTTTATCGGTTTTCCAATCACCGACATGTTTGACTGTATAGCATTACCGACAAAGACAGTAGAGACTGGAGCGGCAACTTCTAACTTATTAGCCGTCGTCAGCCAGCCATGCCCAACGCTGAAATGTGGGAACACTGGGATTGTGCCTCTGGTGTTCCACACTTCGGGATTGGGTATGACTGGCTGACGACGGTTAATAAGCCAAAATGGCCATTCCATTCTCCTTTGTCTTTGTCGGTATTTGTATTCTGCCTATATCACGCGCCGCTGTGCGGCTGCTGGATGGGCTCGAGAGAGAGAGCCCTAAGGCACAATTGAACGAGTAAGTTCCGCGAAAGCAATCGGTAAACGTCCCCCTCTACCAGTGTTTGACTTTGCCCGTTCCCATATATGGTGAGTGACAGATTTCACGAAATTTTGGCCGAAATTCTGGAATGCGTTTTCGATTAGTAAGGATTACTTAGGGACGGTTGTAATATTGATTATCTTGCGGCTTAATCCTATACTTTTTCGGACTTACCGGGATGTCGGCTTTTAAGTGCACTTCTTTTCGATCTCCTGTAGAAACCGCACCTGGTAGAAAATGACCACTTAAGTAGCATGTATTTTTCTCATTGATTTTCGATGGTCTTGAAAATTCAAATATATTTTATGGAAGCCAGGGACAAGAATATGCTTTCTTTCAGTCGATTGAGAGAGAATCACGCCATATTTATATTTTATACTCAAAGAATGAGTATAATTAAGATTCAAAAAGTTTCTAATTATAAAATTTTTAAAACTGCGTAATGTCCTTTCATATAGCACCGTACCAGTTCGTTTACCACTGCTCCTCATGAAATGGGTTAGATCGCAGTTGATAGCCAGGAATATAGAGGTGGAAAGCCAGGTTCCTGTCCTACGGTAATAGTGGGAAAGGGGGTTATATGGGTGGAGTAAATGGAAGGGCTGGTAAAGGAATGCTGGTGTTTATGGGTAAAAGTAAAGTTACCAGGGAAAGTGCTGGGAAGTCTTAAGTAGGCGGAATAATGACAGAAATTTAGACCTACGTTTAATCCTAAAATCCAACCCTGACCGCAACCGTAAAGCCTAACACTAGGCCTCAAAATCGAAACGTAACGAAAATCCTAAACCCCTCGCTAATCCAAAACCTAGCCATAACCCTAACCCTAATCTTAACCCTAACCCTAACCTTAAGCCTAACTCTAACAATAGCCTTAGGCCTGACCCTAACCTTAACCTTAATCGTAACCCTAACGGGAACCTAAACCCTAACACTGAAACCTGACCCTAAAACGCAAACCCTAATCCTAAAACTTAACCTACGCCTACGCCTAACCCTCACTAAACCAAACAGCCTGACCGAAAGGGGCAACCTGCCTAACCCAGTAAGAGCACACCTAGTGATAACAAGTTCCGTAGACAAGGTAAACACGCCTACTGATAACAAGTACGTACGTCGACAGTATCACCGTATGATGTCTGGTTACCAACTGCGACCTTACTATGAAATGTGCAACATAGTCCGCACCTATTGCAAAATTTTATGGATTCTATATGATATCTTTTTAAAGGAAAAGAGAGCGCGGTAGATGTTTTGCAAGTCTACAATCACTATAACTCAGGCACAGCCACTGTCCCCGCACTCACCTTGCCGCGCGGCACCCGATGGATACGACCACTTGCGATGTGCGAATTGTCCAGGTAGTTGACAGTGGGAATTGCTCCTAAAATTATACGGACCACACGGGCTAACTTGGCCTCAAGAATGTAGAAGAATAAGATGGCAGTGGGACGTTGTGATCAGCTTTCGTATGCCACCCATCGCACGACGGACACAGCCACGCCTCTGACTCCAATGAGACACGGGTAATAGTTATTGGACGCATATAAACAGGCAGGGAGGTAGAAAGTAGTGACATTCAGGCGCCAACACAGCAGTTGTCGTGTTACTCTATCCTCAGCTTGTTAGGTTTTCAAATACCACATCAAAGATGACAGATTAGAACTGCACTGAGCCGGAGGACCTTCCGCTTAGACGTTGATTTACTTATTCCTACCCGAAGCAAGCACATCGAAGCTGGAGGTGCTGCAAAAACAGTTCCCCAGATATTAACCCAAATATTAGGCGGAACATTTAAAAAGTACATAGTACACTACCACCCTCAGCACTTTCGAGCCGCGCCGGTTATAGTGATAACGCGACCTGTTAACTTTAAGGGCAAGGACAGGTAGATGTCAGATTGTTCGGTGGACCATCAACTGGCACACCAGCTCAAACATTGCCGCCTCCAGCATTGACTGACCGGTGGTTAGATGTGGTCCACTCAAAACAAATAGACTGCAAACTAGCAAAAAGTGCGTCACCTGACAGTGAATTCGAGCATAAGTTCGAACCTTTAGAAGGATGTGCCTTCCCTTCCAAAGACCGGGCTTCCTTCTTCTCTTGAAATTCATACCGTCAGACGTTTGCGAATAGTACCAGTGGAGAATGTACATTCAAGGCAACGCCTTGTGGCAGGTAAAAGTGCGTTCCGAATTGAATCTCCGCTTTGAAGTATTAATCAGGAAGTAGTACTCACTAGACGCATCATGACATTACTCAGTTTCATTACTCGGTCTCAGTTTAAATGTAAATATAGTTTTCAGCATGAACTTCGTCGAGGTAGACAGAAACCGAGAACTTTGTCCGTGAACTGCTGGATGTCGTTTCTGATGTTTTGAGGGCTAGATGGCTTCCAGATTAACCCAAACAAGACAAGTGGGACTGCAACGATATTTTTGAATTTATCAGCGTTCGCGGCTGGGAATTATGACAGACTTTGGTATAGAATTGTGCAATGATTTACCGTACTAACAACACAGGTATTAGCTAAAAGCCCAGACACGCGTGTTTCGCCGATCTTATGCCGCTGCCTGACGCAGCTGCTAGGGGTTCGGCTCGTCAGTGGATCTCCCAGCTTCCCCCGTGCGTTTTCCGGTATATTAACTCCAGTTTCAACTTGCCTTGTTTAATTTCCGAGGAAATTAATACGTGAAAGAGTGACTTCAAGTTCGCGCATTAATTTCCTAGGAAATTAAACAAGGCAAGACTTTGGTATGATTCGTTTAACAAAGAGGAGATTTGTATATTGGATTGCAGCTAAATCCCGGCCGGGTTTGACAGAATACCAGTCCGGCATTGTGGCAACGGGTAAAGCCAAACACTGGCCGAAGGATACTTCAAAATCCTTAAGGAAAATCACATCAGAAGGGCTTAGTTGCCTGGAAAATATCCGGAGATTCAGAATTGTAGGATATGGCAAATGTCGGTTATTGGAGTGCCCAGACAATCTGTCGCTGGTTGTCGAGACCAAGCGCAGCTCAGGTGTTGGCATGATTAGTGTTTACGAGCTCAAAGTAGTTAAATGAGTAATTGCGAAAAGCGGTCATTAAGTAAAACCGAGCCGACGAGAAGGTATCGAATGTGCTAATGGCCGAATTAAAGCGGCTGAAACAACTGAGATTGTGAGAGTTAATGAGAGCACATGTGAAGCGGTTGACTTGCTTTCGGTAAAACGACCTAAATGGCTGGAGAAGCTGGTTTTTATGCATATCTGCTAGAGTATTACGGGCTGGACTGCATTAAACGTCAGGAGGCGCTGCGCATGAGTTTGCATAACGGAATTCTTATTAATTAAAAGAAGTTGCACACCTAGGCCCAGGCTCAAGCCGCGCTAGTTACATGCGCCAATCCCCTCAATCAGATGGCTGGCCAGCTCTGAGCGTGGACGGGTGCTTGGGAATGGGAAAAGAGAGCGAGAGAGGGAGAGTAAGGTTGATTTTAGGGACGTCGTCCCCACGGCGCTCAACGTAAATTCCTCACTGTAAGCAATCTAATGCGCCATTTAGCCATCACGGTGCGCTTAAAGCCGTGACTTGGAAAACTGGTAACCGGCGGAATAACTGGGTCCTCCTCTCGGGAAGAGGAACCAAACTGTAAGGGCTCCCTCCTAAGCTAATTTCTATAGCACTCCCACTCAGTTAGGATCTGAGCCGCCCCGCTTTTTGTGTGAAACTCTGGGCCATCGTGTGCGGACTATGCCTGTGGGACACACGTTAACTGTCTGTTTAGCTTTATCAATCACTGGGCCCGATTCCGTCCCCCTGGTCTTCTTGACTCTGTCTTGACATCGGGGACAGGGGAGTGAGGGAGGAGAGAGTGCGGTAGATGCTGAGTAAGTCCGCTATGACTATGAACCGATTCACGTGCAAGTCACTGTCCCTGCGCCCACCATGTTCTGGAGCACATGATGGACATCGTCCTTTTCGATGGTCAAACAGATGAGCAATGCCACAATGGGTGGCAGTATGTCGTGTGATGGCCATATAACAGTAGTGTGAGCCTAGATCTGGGCGTCCGCACGGCTTGTCTGGACTGTAGAAGAGAAATGAACAACACCACAATCTCTGGTTGACTTCCAGCGGATATTTGCTCAAAAGTTCATCCGACACCGGAAGGTCTATGGTTTTTGCCGGAAAATTCCGTATGTGATAGCAAGATTTAGAATATGAGAGTGACATCAACAATCATGGTATTCGCTGAAAGTCGGACAACGTCTAAGTGTGGTTTCACTCTTAAGCTTAGAAAACTGGTTTGGTCTGGTATGCAGACGAATTTGAGCGCTAAATGTTTTAATTCAGATGGAGGAATGGACAGTTTTTCGCTCAAATCTCTTCCTAAGAATGGAACTTTATTTGAAAAATTTCACTTATCCCCATTCTCTCGCCAGCTTCCACTCGGACCACATTCATCTCAAAAGATGATGGCAAAATTGTATTTCTAATATTGATGTATTAGTACAAATGCCCTTCATATATGAATACATTCACAAACATTTTATTTTTCGTGGATAGAGCCTAAGTATTTTTAAATGGTGTGGGGATGTTTTCCATGGTTTTAAAAATTAATGAAACCAGAATTATCGTCTTATTTCTTAATTTCCCTGCAAGATGGAGGCGCAGGTAAGCGCTTAAACTTGAAAAAACATGGAGACATCTTTTCAGTCAGATAAGATTTTCCAACCCGAACCAAACCTTCAGTAAAAATCGCATGCATTATTTTTGGGTGCTTTATGCTTAAATTGACATTTTCCAACCCGATGTTAACGAATAACTCTGAAAAATTAAAGACCTATTACACTTAACGGTTTGGTTAAGCTGAGAGTAAAATTAGTGCTTACTGTTGTAAAGACCTCTCTAGAAAAAATACTTGGTGCGTTGTCATTTAAACCACCGTTATCTGAGGTTCAGTTTTGCCCCTAAATTAAATGATTTCATTAAATTATCATGATTTGTATGCAACATTTGCTTAGAAATTTTTTAATGCAAACATGCAAACTCTCAAACTGCATCCTAGTGATCTATAAAAAGGGTGTAGGAACATGGATCTGATGTTGAGTAGTTGAAACAAACCCTGCCAATTTTGTCCTCAAAATGGTGAAATTTGAGTGGTCGGAAATCCATATAGTTAGAAAAGCGTATCAGTTCATTTGCCTAAGGGTATACTTTGCCGATTTTTATTATACAGTAGGTGTGCTAACTCACGAAATGCTCAACCTGCGTTCCCCTAAGTCTTACAGCAGTGAAAACCAGCTGTTCTTAAAAAGAAGGCATAGTTGGGGTTGTAAATTAATATTTACCAACGTAATTTTCGCTGGAAAATAGAATTTCAGAAAAGGGCTTTATATAAATTACTAAATATGGCTAACTACAAAGGTACATATCGAAGGAAGACGTATGACATGGGAAAAATAATAAAATATAATAACAAATACAAGAGATCAGTACTTCGTTGATTGTTCATTTGCATTTATCACGGCAGAAAGTCTTTCAGACATGGAGATAGCTTAGTTGTCTATAGTGGATTGTTCAATGTGATTTTCTAGCAGAAAAGCAAGTTTTTCATACATTGCGAGTTTCTTAGTCGCCTTATATCAATGTCTTTTGATAAGTACGAGACGAGTTTCGATGAAATTGAGATCCGGGCTGTTGGCAGGGATGCAAATCGACTGGAGGCCACAGGCGGAGAGGCTGGCTGTTGTCTAAAAAGTCAGATTACGGTTAAAAACGTTACTAGATTCGTACTTCATTAGAAGGATGAACAGGAGCATTGTTGTGTAAAATTATGGTATTCGGTCGGCGTCGGTGGACCTCTTTGTCATCAAGAACAGCTGTCACAATGTTGACGAATACCTTGCTGTTTATGGTGCCCGTAGTCGACCGCCAGACTGGGCGTTGGCTATATTCAAGCCTTGCCTTGCTGTAGTTGGTTATAATCCCACAGACGCCGCCTATTTTTTCACAAATGGGATAGATGAATTTTCCTTTTCTTTCCACTTCATTCCGTACTGCTTTATAGGTTGTGAGAGAACCTACACATCTGCGATAATTACGACACTTTCCGTTGCAAAATTAAGCTTTCGGAAAGCATGTTCTTATTTGAAATCTGATGTCATATTGAAATACGTGCCAGTAACACAAGGATGCTAAATATGGGAAAAATCAGTCATAAATTATTCTAAAAGTAGTTGACGTTACGGAGGAATTGCCAGCTAAATTTTAACTTCCTCAGCAGAATCTGTATTTTGACCTTTATGATGTATACACTTTGCTGTATTATTTTGTTGAATATGTACAATACTCCGCTTCAACATGTATTGAAAGAAATCGACTACTAAACTCAAACCGTCGCGTATTTTGTTTAAAAGCATACAACCAGTTCGTTATGTTGTTATTTATGTTGGAATAAATAACGGTACATTCAGGAAATCGGGATGTTTTTAAAACACGTTTTGTCCTTACAACCACGGAAATTGAAATAAAATACGTTGACATTAGTGATGGGAGTGGAACTTGTTTTTGTGTTGCTTCATAGACAGTGACATGCTGACCTTTCCACAGGGCCCTGTCTTACATTCTCGGAAGTCATAGTTAGGCTGGTGGCTAGGAGGTTTAAAGTTAGGACAACAGGAGAATCGAAGTCTCCTATAGTTTATCGCAAGAACACGAGTAGTAATGTGGGAAGGGGTTTTTACTTCCTTGTCCGAGCAGTTTTGTATGCTAAAAATGCACACTCAGTCATTATCTGTCTTGTGAAAGTGCCCAAAGGCGTTATTTAATAGTTTTTTGGATATGCACAAGATGCTAACCGTAATGCAGAAAAAGAGTAGTATTTTCTCTCCTAGTAGTCAATATTTACCAAATTATCTTATCCTGTATTTCCTTTTTGTGCATTCAAGTTTTTTAAGCACATTTCTTTGCACGCGTTCAATGGCGATGTCAAGTTTATTTATGTTACCAGGCGTGATACATGTGTGTCCAGTATTTACCCTAGCCATTTACTTTGACTAAACTGGCAAAAACTCGTTTTGAGGTTCTCCGAAGAAACTGAGACCTTTGTTAAGTTTTGTGATGTGTATATTGTCTGGAGGAGAAATTACCTAATTCAGTAACTGAGGATGCCTATGCTGACGGAAACCGTACTTTCCAAGTCATCGGAAAAGTTCCGTTCCTTAAATGATAGTGACATTTGTCGTGCGCATTTTTTATTGTTTTTGATACCTGTTTAAATGTTGTTTTATATTTTAGGAATTACGTTCGAGAAAATTGTTGTGTTTTTTAGCAGAAAATCGCGTTTTTCAAATTTCGGATTCGAACGAAGTGTGCTTTTCTGTTGTAAAACTTTTTAACACCCCCTGCATTGTTTCAAAACAATCCTGCCATTGCATTGGTAATCTAACTGCTATATATGTTTACGCACAAGCAAACGTCTCTCTGGTCTAGTAGGAGGAGATTGTTTGTTTCTCAGGAACTTTTGCGACAGGTCTAGATTATCTCGTAGACTTAAAACCGGTAAGATATCGGGTTACTGGAATTTTCGTCCTAGCGTCACAAAGTTTCATAAAACCATAGATGTTAAAAGGGAAAAGCTTGAACACAGGGTATGGACCCTTCCGTACTAGAGACGGCGTTGTGTTAAATTCCAGAGGGTTCATATTCCCATGCCCGAACTTAACGCTAACCCAAACCCTAGCACTAACCCTAGTAAACTTAAAACCCCCGTGGAATTTAGCGCAAGGCAACTCCTAATACGACAGGGTTCCTATTCTACGTCCTGCTAAGGCAAGTTCATGTAGAAAGTAGCCCCCGATAAAACAAGTGTACAAAATGTATTTTTCATCATTCCAAGCAAATTAGCGAAAAATCGACGGAACACGTGCACACTGCTCAAGTGGCCACTTTTAGTGGGTGCATGAAACAGCATGGAGTTATGCTGCATGCTAATTGTCCCTGCAACTCTATGTAAACCCCACTTTTGACTCAACTCATTTTGGAGGATGTTAGACAATGTTTCACGAATCGTGCCGCCTGCTATACGTTACTTAAGTCGCCTTTTGAGTAGGATCGGCATGGCGGCCGAAATTCTTGCCGATAGACAGCCTAACAACCACAGTGCATGGTTTTATATGCCGATCTAACAGGTTCTCAATTTGTGTCCAGTAGCACTTTTAGCTTAAATGTCCATCTGAGAAGTTCGGCTGAGGGTTCGGGTTTAAGCGTTCATTATGTTCACAAGCTGCTGATCTCTTTGAATGTTGAGCACTCTTCAACAAAAACTCCTTCGCATCACCTTACGCAGTTTCACCAATAAAAAAACGATACTATGTCAGTATTATTATTCGTTGGAAGTGAGCGGGCAATTTTAAGGGTCAAAACTTATCATTTTTACTTACTGTAATAAAGATGCTTAGTGCGCTAATTTCCACGGAGATCCGGGTTAGTGTTAAAGGCTAGCCTTACGGTTAAGGTTATGACACAGGAATATTTGCCCTCCCTGAGGCCTCGCACAAAGCCACCTGTATTACCGGAGGGGATTACTATTCCCGTGTCCTAACATGAAGAAATTTGAATTATACTTAAGTTTGAAAACACGCAGTTCTCTCCTAAAGAGTTACCTGTAGCATTGCGGCGAAGTTTACGCCCAATATATGGAAGTCACCTGATAACGCCCTAAAACGTTTTTTTTGGGGACTATGCTCATTGAGGAGCCTTAATTGAAAATTCCTGTGCAGTAGTCGGCAGCCTTAAATATGAGCACCTGTGCTGTCAAGTGTGGTGTATCATGTAACCTGATGGTGGTGAATTGGAGTGTACGCTAGCGTAAGGGCTTGCAGCATGATCGTTCTAGAAGCTGAGGTTCCTGACAATAGACATAAAAGAAACGGTCTGCTCGACAGAGCAATGTGAGCATAAAATAAATAAAGTTATCACTGAGCTGAATGAGAGGGTGATCTCGGCTGGTGACAGCCAACCACTTCACGTCCATTCAGAGACCTTCACGGTTGAAATGCCGAATGACCTATTGTATCAAAAGCAAGGCGAGAACGACGGTCAGCCCACAACTTAACATCCCACAGAGCTTGTGGAGTACTGCCCAGAACACTCCTTACCTTCAAATAGACTATGTCTGAGGGAATCAAGAGCATCCCGATGGGTCTATCAATTTGCGGGCTTATTGTTGAGGCGCTCGTCCAAAATCCTGCAAGACAGATGTCTGAGACGTACAAATCCAAACGTTGAACGCTTACACTGACGACGTCTTTGGCATGCGTATACCGTCTCATTTGTGTTCCAGCAGCTGCACAGTATCGCAACTTAGCATTTTGTGCGGACTGGTCGGTCTTCTATGTACGGCGGTCACAGTTTGGCTGTTGGTTTGACGACAGACGAGCGCATACAAGAGCGGAAGTCGGTCTCCCATTTTCTCTTACATCGAGAACTGTAGACCATCCCCCGATGAGTTTATGGGTTCTTTACAGCATTTAATTTAGTCCCTATCGGTACTGTCAAGGTTATTATTTAAATTATGTGGTTTCATTTGCCTTACCTTGCTGATCAAGGACGTTGTGAATTATACTGTATTTGAAGGCCATTAAGCTTAATGTAATAACATAGGCAATTCTTAAGTGAAGTATCCGGTTGCAGATCACGTGCATAGTAAGGAAATCGCGTAACTCACAATCTTGCGGTTATAGACATGCCGATACGGTGGTAGAGCAACGAATACCTTTTTATAAATTCGGAGTTTCTGTACATAATTGTATCTTTTTTAATTCTCCTATTTTCATATTCGTGAAGAAAAGTGTGGACGCAACCTTTCATAGCACTCATAAAAAATGAAGATGCAAATGAGACACGACTACTTTCGCCCGGGCAGATTCATATGTTTACTGGACGCCTCGGCCTTAATTGACATGATTTCTTGTCAACTCCGTCGTGCTTTGGACTCTTTTCGGGGTACTACTGCACAACTCGGCGTCTCCAGTCCCAGAAGGACTCTGTTGCAACTTTCCTTGCTGATTTCAGTGGTTGCCGAATCATATGCTAACTGGGTGGAACGTTCACGTGCAGTCTTTGAAACGAGAACACCTGAGTGATCAGCATGCAGGGGGAAAGGCACAAGGCCAATGCCTCACAAACCACCCGATGCTAGCAGTAATAAGACATCATATTTATTCAGCCTCCCTTATTCGGCCATATGCTTTTCGGGTACAAGTAAACACATGATGCCTGCAATAAGAATTCAAAACCCAGTTCGAAAATACTTGGAAATTATAGAATAAGGGCCATTGTTATCCCAGATTTGGCCACTCAGACCCGAGCTTACAAGATATACAGGACCATGTATACATATATAGCCTATTTGTAGAATCCTACAATTCAAATATCTCGGTTTTAATGAATGCATAAATATTAAGACATATAACTGAGCTTTCTAAACCTTACGAGGTGGGTAAAAGGTCATGTAGGGCTTGAAATACTTTGTAGTATCTGTGATAGACTATTAAAGAACTTCTCAGGCAATCTCGCTGTCGACAAACATATACGATTACACGCAAGCCTATTTACCTACACGTCCAACGTAAGGTGAGGCCATACGGCCGGGTCAGAGACACCGTATAAAGTGGGTTTTAACCCTATTTATTCTTTGCCTGAAGGGGCATGGCTACGTTGATCTAAGATACCGATCAAATATGTTGACGCTTGCTATGGTATGAGTAGTATGTAATGTTAAAAAAAGTCCGAATGACTTAGAAGCAGACAGAGGGGCATGAAGAAACTCATACGCACAAAAATCTTTTTTTTCCCGTGAGACAAACTCTAGACGGCGGGTTGCAGTTTAAGCACCAGACGCTCTGCTTAAGGAGTTTTAACGGCCACGCCCATTAGATGCACGAAATAAACGATATTCTATGATCGTGCGCCCATTGCAGTCTACTATCGCTTAGGCGGGGTTCTGGTTAGGTTTAAATCAAAAATCCAATCTAAAAACACGTGTTAGTTGAAAATGAGACAAACACAGTGAACGGGCAGTAGTTTGTAGAGTTGACATACGAATAAAGCCATATGGCCGCAAAGTGGTATTTAACTGCAAGTGTTTCGCCTTTTTATAGACGCTACTTTACGGTGCTAATGTCTACTGCACACGCACCGAACACACTCTTTATACACTATGCCTTTCCAGTCAGATCTGGGCCTCGCCGACCGGAGGAGCGGACTTCATCCGTAAGCGCAACACCTACGCCTGCATTGCAGCGGACGCGTTCCCTCAGGCCGGTCGCCTCCTCACCGGCGTCGTGGTGGGTCTCGAGCTCTTCGGGGCCAGCATTCTCTACATAATTCTGCTGGGCACCTCCGTGCACGCCATCGCCATCTACGTTCAGCCGGATCAGAACCTGGTGAGCATTCCCGTCGGCATCACCGTCTTCAGCTACCTCTGCCTGCCTCTACTCCTCTGGCCAAATATGCGTGTAGTCGCCTGGTCAAGTTTCATTGCTGTCATTGCTCTGATGACCAGCATCATTGCCGTCCTGGTGGGCAGTGGTCTGCAGACCACCGAGGTGCCTGTGCACTGGGATGCCCTGGTTCAGCCCAACACCGAAATAATACCCATCAGCGTGGGTATAATCCTCTTCTCTTTTTGCGCCCACACCATCCTGCCGGGCATCGAGGGTAATATGCGTCAACCGGAATACTTTTCGCGCATGCTGAATGTCACCTTCACCTGTGCGACTGTCATTAAGGTCCTCTTCGGCGTCCTCTGTGTTCTGGCCTTTGGTCGTGGGGTGGAGCAGTCAGTGACGGATAATATTGTCAACTTTCCGGCAGTCGCTATCTTGGCGCACGTCTGTGTCATGATTAATGTCTTCTTCTCCCTGCCCCTGGTCTTCCTTATCCTCGGAGAACACATAGACCTATTCTTCATGCAGAGGGTGGATGTGAGATGTTTCAATCCCACCCGGTCCTGTGGGGCTTATCGTATTTGGATTCTGGCCAGTCGAGGAGCCTTGCTGAGTCTGGGCATCTTCTTGGCCGTGCAGGTCCCACACTTTGCTATCATTATGGGTTTGGTGGGCTCGCTCACTGGATCTCTTCTTTGTTTTATCTTCCCCTGCCTCTTCAGTCTGAAACTGTTTTGGAAGGAGATAAGCTGGTGCGGCCGTGCAGTACGAATAATGATTTTGATATTTGGTGTAGTTGGTGGTGTAGTCGGAATAATATATTCGGCTTCAGAGTGCGTCTCGGTTTTTTCAGAATGACCAGTTCTCCCCGATATCTCATCATCATTACGTCAACTGTCCTCCACCTTCTGTGTAGTACCCCATGATCCTTAGTTCCGGAGAGGAATGTGACCGAAACACTTGAGTTTTCGTGTATGATGGGGCGTTGTTTCGCCGTAACGCTTCCGGAATTTGGCCATTTCATTTTTTACCTTTGCAAATACAACTATCTTTACTTACTATGGTACATTCTTCTTGAAATCCGCGTTAATCGTCGAGAAGAAGCAATAGCTTCAAGGTTATTTACGAGACGCCAAGCCCACCCCGTTGGATTCAGGGTTTATAATCTATCCCAATCAATTCAGTCACCAAAAAGAGGCAGACGACAATGTCATTATTACGGTTGCAACAGGTAGCTTTGTGTTACCCGGTGGGAGATATGGCAATTTCATGTATGAAGTGAAAAGTCACTTGGCGGGAACAGCCAACTTACACTTTGACGGGCGGTAAATATCGCCCATAAGATGTAAGCTATTTTATATATAAGTGACGAAATCTTCATACCACATTCAAAACAGCTCGACGTTTTCAGTTTGCAGGATTAATGCACACAAAACGAACGAATGAGCACTTCTCAATTTACACGTTGTTGGATTAAATGAATAGGCGAAATCATCCACGGAAGTCTCTTCTAAAACCTAGCCTTATAACCAGTCTCATCATTACTTTGGCACAATGTGAGATGAGGGTGAAAACACATTGTGGCTATTCCTAGACAGACTTTACGAGTGCCCCTAACCCATGAAATCTATTTTCTACCACGCGCAAAAAAAACAAATTCGCGATGGTAGGTGGGGATGAACAAACGGAAATTCCCAATCATCGAAGATATTTCGAAATCCCGAGCCCAGGCAGATACTGAAGAACGAAATGAGAAGCCCGTTTTCCCATGAAATCTAGAGGGGATCATTATCGTTCCTCCAGGCTACATAGTGATCAATAAAGCTCAAGTCGGTCACACGCCCTAGCCTGGATTCGGAACTAACTTATCACATGTTCACCACGTGGTTATTATGTTGTTTGAAGATTTGCATAAGCAGGAGAACAAAAAACAGTTTTGCTTGGCAAGAAAATCATAATAATGAATATATTTTACGCAGAAATCAAAAGTTTAGTGCGCTAATGTGTATTTGAACATGAAAATGAATGCTGAAGTTTCAGTGCTCGGAAGCGACTGTCGAGTTTCACTATTATGATAGGAAATTTGGATCCTAATTCGATAGGAAAACGTTACCTGCAGCATTAATTGGTTAACTAGTGACAGAAAACTTTAGTTAAAGCTACAAAAATCCCAACATCTAGAAAAGGTCTGCCGCCAGAAGGGATTCGACTTCCGGTCTCCCGAATCCACACCGGATGGTCTACGAACAAAGTGTTGTCTATCACGCCCACCGGCTCTGCCAGTCAGCTATGTTGACTTTCTTTTCGACGAACCTATCCTCCCACCTGCATGGCTTCTCTGATGGAACTGCAAGACGAACGCAATGTATGGAGGAGGCGATTGTGCTTTATATTGCGTAGAATATATCATGTAGCACGTTGTTTCCTTTTAAATCTTAGAAAATTTTTGGGCCAGATGTGGTTATTTAACCCTACCTGCCACCTGTAATACGGGATCGGTGGTAATAGGGGGTTTTTACAAGTGGGCGGGAGAATGCACAGACGACGAAGTCAAACAGTTGTATGCAAAGGAAAAGCTATTGGGAATGCGCGGTTGTACTTTGAGTGGTTAAGAAATGGTTGTCCTAACCCTAACCCCTAACCCCAACCCCAACACTTTCATGTCCATCAGGTGGGGCTACATAACTACATCTTAAAGATTTTAGTTTAAGCTTATTATGAGCAAAGATGCATCGCTGGAACTGCTATTGCCTGGAATTCACTCTGGGTTCAGTACCGGCTAAGTAACGACAAGCAAGTACTACGAAGTTTATTACACACGGAAAACGTTAACTTAGAAGCGAACCTTTGTTTTAACCGACATCCACTCTGTCTAAATTAGGTACAGTATTGAAACATTTATTGCAAAATGGAATTTAGCATCTTTATTTGAGGAGTTTTTGGCGGATCTACTGTCTTAGGTAACGAAAGCCTGGTGCAACGTTTGACCTTTAACTCAGGACACAGACTAAATTATAGACCGGATGCAGTTCGCTACACGTAAAGTCTGCGGTTAACGGCTTGCAAGACGGAGTTTCCTCCAAAAGCACCGCACGCACCTGCCCTTATTATATTGGTATTTCACTGTACCTGGTGAAGTTGGGCTTCTAAAACATCTATCATTTACATGGTAAACGCACTAAACCGCCTATATGCAGCAATAAGTAGGCTGTTCTGGACAAATGGGATGGTTCAGGGATTGGAACCAACAAAGTATTGCCTCAGATCCGACTAACCTGTACGCTGAAGTTGCTCTAAGGCGCTTCAAGATGATGCTAAGGCCACCTTGCGAGCTTTTTATCATTGCAATCCAGCTTATTTGGCCTACGCCAACGCTCTTAGATTCGGAATTAGAAATATTACCTACTGTAGAAATGACTTGCTGGTTGGAACTGAGTGTCACATTTTTGGCTCCTTCTTGAACCTTCTATTAACTACGTGGTATTCGGCAACACTTACGGCTTCCTTCAAAATCATGATGATATTTTCGAGAGGTCTTGGCCGAAAATCACTGATATCTTGAAGTGTTTTCTGCGAATCTTCCGTCTGTAAATTTGACAATGGAAGAAAAGTAGATATTTTAATCTCCTTAGAAATTAATGCGTTAATTTGTAGCAAATCATTCAGAATAAAGTTTTATAGGATCAATCTGGAAATTGATGTGAATATTTGGGCTGAAATACATCGACTTAGGCAGAGTAACCGAGTTATCTTAAAAAAAACTGTTAACCGAGGGGCGGAAGTGTACGCATGTCGCATGATGTACCATAATGGCAGCACAGGTACTATCCAAAAGCCTGAACACGTGATTTGCCGATATTCTACAACTGTATGATACAGATGCAGGGGTTTGGCTCATCCCTGTATCCCCCCGGAGTTCCTATTGTGCTTTCTGGGCCTTTAGCTAGTACCTGTGCGTTAGCATGACGAATTATGCGACGTGTGAATACTGGCGTGGCAGTTCGACCTTCGTTTCCGACAATGTCCACCGTGTGCTTTACAACAGGCTGGGAGTAGGGAAGATGACTTGCGTGTAAATTAGTTTATCGTGATAGTAGACTTGCGAAACATCTACCGCACACCCTCCTTCTCCCTCACCTGGTCCCGATGTGATGGCAGAGTCAAGAAGATGGGAGGTGGAAGAGGGCGTAAGTGGCTAGCTCGGCAAAAAACCCGCAACTTAGCGCATGCCACTACATCCAATCAGATATTACCGAGTGGGAGTGCCATAGAGGTCACATTAAGGAGTAATTGCTACCTGATTCTCAGTCTTCCAGTCGACCACTCCACATAAATATGCATTGGGCTGACTGCGTGGTCTGTACTGAAGCGTTAATGGGTTACCTTCCAAGTCATGACTTTTAGCGTACTGTAATAGTTTCAAGTGCGTCAGACTGTTTGTAAAAAGGAATTATGCGCTGAGCCAACCTTACTCGCTCTACCGCGTCCATTGCACCAGTCGACCGTCCAGGTCAGTCAACCAACTGATGTTGAGATTGGATGAGGTGACTGATAGAGCCGAGAACAGTCCATCTGAGCTTCTTACACACGCAACCTGAGCCTAATAGGCAGGCACCGGGATTTTGCACAAAAGAAGTGGACTGCTAAGGTCTCATAATTTAACGAGGGAGCCGCGTGGAGAAAGGAACCGAAGAACACATGTCTCACTTACGTGGGAGGTGCCCGTCATGTAGGATGTTAAAGGTGTTCATGTGTGGTACTGGGGCCATGTCTGCAGCGATTTATGTAGGTTTACATGGAGGCGCATGTGTTCGAGTAGGCCCATGCGATAGCTAAATATGTAAGGCACCGCGAGCAGTTGAGTCGATGGCATTCGTCGCATATTGTTGCTATATGCATTGGCCCGCCAGTCTCTGTGCCATGAATTCGCAAGTGACCGGCCAGGCCGATGCGTGATGCGAATGTGCGGTGGCAACGTGGGCAGGGTAGGTTGGGGAATGCTAAGTCGGTTGCCACTGTGGTGCTGCTAGTAGTGGTCGAGCCGGTGGATAGGGGAGTTGGTAGATGTACAAGATATGCTAGGCATGTTGATATTGCGATGATTTCTCCTATTTTGTATGAGCCTATAACCGAGTAGGACCATGTGATGAGCGAATGTTTGTGGATAATGTGGGCAGCGAAGGTGAATACAGTGAGTGTTTGTAGGATCTTCTGGCACTGGTGGGCTGGTTGCAGTGAGGTTGATTCGTGAGTGACCAGGCCGTGGCGCTAGGTGAGTATGCGATGGCAATGAGAACGGATTGAGAACGAGTCCACATCGCTGATGGTGGGGTTGGCGATGTTGAATGTGGTGGTTAACGGGGTGCCGGGAGTGTTCTTACCAGTTGCAGGAGTGAGAGAGGTGGCGGTTGAAATTGTCGAGGAGGTTTTGGGAGAAATAACGAAAATGGCGGTGACCGGCGGCGGCGTGTCGTCGGAATTGCGAGCACTGTTAGCGAGGATGGTCGTCGTGGATGCCGTGGGAGCTAGGGCAGTTGCGAATGGGGAGGCAGCAGCTGGGGTTGTCGGGCTGTTGGTGCATTTGGTCCAGAAATGTTCGACGAGACCAATCCACGCGGAAAGTTCGTTAGCGGAGTGAGCATGCTGGAAGAGATTAGGCGTTAACGTTGTGGATCGGAGAGCCTAAAACTCGCAAGTGGCTTTTTTGCTTTGGGAGCATCTATACAGTTGGTTTCTAAGATTGCTGCTTCAGTCTTCGCCGCTCTTCTCTAGACCAGTGTGTCCCGTGCGAGGGTTTCTTCAATTACTGCTTCAGTCTTTACCGCTCTTTTCGAGACCAGTTAGTATCGTACGAGGGTTTCCCAGGCCTTACGGTTGTTTCTCAATCGTTTCAAGGGATTCTTCAAGATGTCCTCGTAGCGGCGAGTTGGAACTCTTGGTCGGTGAGCGCTCATGACGATATCTCTATAGAAGAGTAGTTTGGGTGGTCGCTCATCGTCCATTCTGACAAGGTGGCCGTTCCATCGTAGTTGCAGTCGCTCCTGCGTTACACAGATGCTAAGGAATCCGCCCTGTTCCAAAACTGCTGTGTCCGGGATCCTGTCCTGCCACGTCAGCTTTAATATCTGCCAGAGACATCTGAGGTAGAAGCGATTGGGTTTCCGCACTTGTTTTACTAGACTGTCCAGGTCACTGCGTCCTACAACAGTCCCGTCTGAGTGGCGACCTTGTAAATCATAAGTTTGGCGTTCTGATGGTGACCTTGACAATTCCATACGAAGTTGTATGGTCGACCGAATGCCTGGCTGACTTTGGAGGACCAGTGGGTCTCTTCATCGCTGATTTCGATGTTGCGGGAGAGTGTGCGCCTAAACAAGCGAGGGTGTCCGCGGTCTTCATTTGGGTGTCGTTGACGTGGATACGAGGTACATCGTATGACGCTTTAGGCGACGGTTGACGCATGACCATCGTTTTCTCCGTGCTTATGCTCAGTCCGAATTTGACGCGGCCTGAGACAGGGAGGTACATGTCCCTCTGCATCTCTGCTTCTGTCACGGTGTTGTGTGTAATCATACGCGAGGAGCAGATCACGGAGAGACACTCTTCTACGTCTTATCAACTAGTTCCTGTAACTCACACCCTCGTTTGTATCAACAACTGACGCTTAAGTAACCAGCCTGGGTTGGAAGGGGTCGTTGTGACAACCTAAATAATCTTTCTGACTATCCGTGAAACTATAGAGAGCAAATGCACTTCTGGAGGGATCTTCCTCTGCCTGATTGAATTTGGCCACCTTTAAACTGTAAATCAGTGCCACAAAAAGACAGCTGTCCGAGTATTGTGAATATTACGTGGTTATCCCTCTGAAGCGGATGGACTTTGACTCCGATATACATGCTGAATTTTAGACCGAGCCTATAAAACTTCATTTTGAATGATTTAATCCAAGCCAGCGTATTAGTTTCCGAAGACGTTGAGAAACAGAAATGTCAAAATCGGAGAATACTCCAGAAAGTACGCGAAGGACTCAGAGAAATCATTGATGAGCAGAACTCCTGAAAGCTGTGTTGTGCAGCGTTAGAATGTCGATCAAACACGTGTCTGGACTTTGGGCTAGTAGCATTGCTCCTAGTAAAGTTGACGTGCAATATGTAAAATGCACCCATCGAGCTTCAATTATAAAACAAGGTTAAAACGACTAGAGATGGGCACGGGCGCAGATGGCCGGACATTCACTAGGTTTGCGTTTGCCGCACGCCTGTGCTCCGTTCCCCTCCAACACATATGAATCAGACTTTGACTTATGAAATCGCACATCGGTGGTTGACATAGGACCGGAAGATGAAGCAGTTATTTTAACCTGATCTCTAATTCGGAGAACAGAGATATTCCATAAACTGACAATTTTTAAAACCACGAAGCTTAACGCGCGTGTTTAGCCCAAAGTCACACAGAGTTGGCCTCACTCTCCCATTTTGCGTCGTATAAAGTGAAGCGGTGATGACATCAGAGCCAAAGGCTGACGTGGAATAGAGTCCGCGGTCCTCCAGTGCCACATGCGAAACTGAGCCAAACAGTCAGGTGTGCTCCGTTTCTATCTGGTATCCAAGTAAGGAAAATACACATATTCCCGTTTAATTTTACCGGTTATCCTTGTTATGTGGTTATATTTATAACCAAGGAAAAAAAGTGTATGAGAGGTTAAAGCTTTAGCAAATGGATGTCATCATAATAAATACTTAAGGAAACGGAGAGCACGTGCATTAGAGGATTTTTAGTTGGATACATCCCAGTGCATTGTTAGAAAAGCTACCCATGCGGTCGTTCCGCGTTGGGCTGTGCGCCCAGTTCGATTTAGTGTATTTGAGGGGAATAGGCCAACGTCATTGAATTTTCTATTTGGCGCATGCAAATAGAAAGAATTAGCAACAATGCACATAAATTACTCTATCACACAATAACGTTTGCTTAAAGGTTGCAAAGTCATGTAGTAGCTTGCTGCATCATCACGTGTTTTTCAAGACGATGTCTGAATGTCTCAACAGACGTGGACGTCATGACCGCCTCGGGCGGGATACTTCACGGTTCCACCACACGGTTTGTAGAAAGTGCGTTTCACATCAAATCTTCCGTGGGACAGGCATATTTTGAGTGGATGCTCCCGAAGGTCGGTTGTAGTTGTGAGTTGGAAGCAGCTTCAAAAATGGAGGGCACAGTCTACATCACGTACGGTACGGAAGGTGTGTATCAAGCTTTCGCGCAATCGCTTGTAGCTCAGAGGATAGTGATTTAGGTTATTTAGACGGCTCTTTTGTGGCGGTGCCCGTTGTACTCTTACCCATTTTGTGACCCGTCTCAGCGCTCTTTTAGGTAGTTTATAAACTTTATGTGCCCAAGGTTTTCAGGCTTGGGCCATGTATTCAAGACGCAGCCTTAGAAATATACCAGAGGCTTTGGTGAAGCGGTCTCCATCGAAAACTGTGGATGTTCGCTTTATCGTGTGCGGCATTGCAGTTGCTGCCTTAACATATTTTATGGCAGTTTAAAGAAGACCTTACAGTGTTTTTTATTGAAATGCGGAGGTATTTTGTGTTTCGACTTCGTGATGTGGTACCCCGTTTAGGTCATAGGTGCGCGTATTCGGAGCCTGGCTTCGATATCCGGGACACAACATAATACATTCGTTTCAGCTGAGCAACAGAAGCCATCAGCGGGACGACCCTCCGAGTTGACAGAGTTTCATGGAGGACGCATCGTCAGCGGCAGTGCGTATAGAATTCTTTGCGAATCCGAGCGACACGTATAAGGCAAAAACGGATTTCGTGTATATACGGTACTATTGGTAAAATATAGATAATAACGAAAAACGTACAAACCCCAACGGTGGATACCCTAGCAGAAGAATTCGTTTGTCACTGATCGAACAAATCGCATTTCCAACTCAAGGTCCGAAAATAAAACCAGTTAATTAGGAGAACATAGCCTATGCCTGAAAGAGGGTTACAAAAGGGGAAGAGGGAATGCCAACGGGGGGCCAGATGGATGACAAACCGGATACAACGCAAGTCGCCAATTTTCCACGCGAGATATAGTCTGGCTCTTGGGACTAACTTACGGCTTTGAAGGTATACGGTTGATCTGACCCTTAAATAGATAGTTCCTTCTAACATCCTTTTTTAGGAGACAGCCCACAGTTCTAACGGGGCCATCGAGACTCTTTTCGCACGATTTACCACTCGTAAAGGCTATTTCTCACGAGATGTGCCTGACAACGGAGTTGTGAGGTAAGTGCCAGTGTCTCGCAACTGGAGACGTTTTGTTGTCGTCAACTCGCTCGAAGTATCCCTTTTCCATGTATGGACGGAATTTTGCTCATATTTCCAAAGCGATTAGGGGTCTCGACCCAATCTACTCTTGAGGTAGATAACTCGTTTACGCGCCAACTGAAAATTGTCTGGTAAATTCAGCGTCCCGTTTCACCAAAGGGAGTGACATTTGGTAATGCCCTTTGATGAGTGCAACGGAGGATCGTACAATAGCCAGTGCCCATTTATCTCTCAATGAGTGACTCGCAGTCGTTGTTGAAGTGTCCGAAAACTCCGAGTCGTATAGCCACTTAATGTTGTGCGTCACCTCCTTTTCTGAATTTACAATAAAGTGGCGGACGGCGTTCTTTTTTTGGCTGCTACGCGAAGATCCAAGCAGCATCCAACCCAACGGTTTTTTCGAGGCGAACGGTTCCCTTTTGCCACCCAGACGTTGGTCAAGGTCGAGCCGCTGGTTTTAAATTTGAAGATAAATGGAAGATATTATTTTAAGTGGATTTTCTGAAAGACCTAACGATTTTAGCTCCTTTGTGGTCAAACTTCCTTAAATACGGGCCTATTCACTCAGAACTACCAGTTTCCGTTCCTTTTTTGAGTTCTGCTAGTCTGTGCCTGTTGATCGCCCGCCGCAATCTGCAATTCGCATTTTGTGCATTCGATTTCTCTCTAACTGTGCATTTTATTTTTACATCGCTAGGCTCTAACTGAAATTCAGCCACCTGGTCTTTCAGAAGTTTTCTTAATTACAGCTTGCCTCGAGACAAGATGAGAGTAAAAGTTACATGTCGGCGAAAGCTCTCAGCGTCTGTGTGTTAGTATGGCCTAACTAAATCTATGTCAGAAGATATTACTAGTCAGTCGTCGCCCGCTGTAACCGATAGGCAGCCTAATCTATCAGCACTTTACAACTGCATTGATTTTATGCTAAATTTTGGCAGATTGCTCTCAAGTTTTGGAAAATTATTCAACGGGCACATCTCTGATATTCCCTCTCAAGAATGTAGTCGTCTTGACTCACATATTCACCTGATCTCCAGTGAATCTAGGGATAGACTAAAGCGTGCTTACATCTTTTGTTGAAAGATGTTCCTCAATCTGCTCGGCCAGTTAATGTTGCGAATAATTTCCTATACTCCTGTGGTTTCAAGCATGAAATAGCCGATGCAAAACGCTTGTCGTCCCTAGCAAAAATTCATTCGTCTTAGTTAAGTTATTTTCACCAATCGAGGTCCACTCAATGTTTGCCAATCGAGATCGTGTCTCTGCGTACCTGGAAAATGCAAAATTTTTTCTTTATCATGATCTTACTCCCATGGGGTGTAGAATCGGCTCTCTCTTCCCACGTATATCCACTGCTTCTCAATCGAATGTTCACCAACGCGGTCATAATACAAGTGGCCGTGGTGATTCACCTGGTCCTACTCCTGCGGCATATGGCTCCTTCCTTCCCCCTATTCCTACATCTCCCTCTCACTCAGGCCACTTGACGCATTCGCCTGCCCCTATGTTAGCAGCAGCCCCAGTTTCCGTTCCTAATCCTCCAGATAGCCCCTTCCATAGGACGCACGAAAATCCGTTTACATCAGATGGACCGATAAATTCCCCAGTTCAAGAGGGTGCTTCAACTCCACAGTTAAGTCACATGTGGCTCGGCGTCAAAACCGCGAAACTCCAAAACTTAAGCAGACTCCGACCCAAAAGAAAGGTAGAACAATTCAATTTAGGAGCACGCCACCTTCTCTTAGATCTAGCAAGCCTTTACAGCCCAGCTTGTCTACAAACCCCGCAGCTCCAATTATATCCCCAAATAATTCATTGTCCTGCGTACCGATTACTTACCAAAGCCCTACTACATATCTAGCAAACAATTCATACGTGAATTGCCCTAAGTCATTTATCCCCAAACTAGTTTAGGCTTCCCACCACTTAAAGCCAACTGCTCTCAGGTAAATCAACCTAAATCCTTTGATTTCCAACCTAGACCTGGTTTCCCACCCGTTTATTCTTATAGCTGCCTACCCCCCCACACCAGCATCTACCTTCCTTCTAGGCTCCCTGCTCCTACTCCTTCTCCACAATTTAACTACTAAAAAGCCTATCCTTGTTCTAACTCCCCTAGCATTCCAATGCCCAAAAACTCTATCCACACATCCTTTAGGTCTCATGTCCAGCCTTCCCTTGCTGACTCCATGTACGTCAATAGTTCTAGACTAACTGGTACTTATTCACCAAGCACAATTAACACAACCAACATATCCGCCTCCAATTTTTTTTCTAAATACTGTCGACAATAGCCCTGCTGTTCGACACACATTAGGTATTAAATTAGCGAATGCAAGTCTGTTATAAACAAGATGGCCCAAAACAGAAAAATTACTCTCAAAATGACGCCCTATATTAGATGTATAACAGAATCTTGGACCCATTCTCTAACTCCTGACTCTGCCTTTATAATAGATAACTTCGATTTTACCGCCAAGACCGCACGACTAGGCGTGGAACGGTTGTCTTCTTCAGGTTAGATCCTATCTAAAGCAATCTCCCTATTACTTGAATGTTTCCTCATTCACGGGAAACTTCTGCTTTGCATCTATTATTCTCTCACCGCGAAGAAAGGCAATTATTGACTGTTTGTACAATCCCCAAACTCTCCAGCCAGTGATGATTCACAGCTCTGTGAAATCTCTAAGTTAATTTCGGAAGCTGCTTTCGATGATAAATAAGCACCGGGGATTTTAACCTTCCTGGAATAGACCGGGTTTCCTATATCTGTCCACCTAGATCCCCGCCCTTCAAAGATATTGTCAATTTTTCTAGCCGGTCCTAACTGGTGCGCTCTCCAACAAGAGATAATCACATTTTAGATGTAATCTTTACCGATGACATTGTCCCCCTTTTCGTTGCTTTCAAAAAGTACCTCTTTGATAGTAACCACGTATTAATTTTATTGCTGATTACCGCTTTCTATTTCAGAAAAGATCAGTACAGTTCGGACTTACCTAGATTACGACTGCGTTAATAACGACTTATTAAATAACTATACTAAACCATTGAATTGGTGTGGCTTTCTATCCTGCGGCGATGCAACCATTCTTCGTGATGTCATGTCCAATGTTTCCAAGAATATCCTAGAGTTTGTGCCGCGTAGATATCTCAAGCCTGGTTTTTTAGATTCCCTTGTTCCTTACTTTCTTCGCAACAGACTATAAAAGTTGAGATGACATCTGCGTGACCTATCCACTAGTACTTTATCCATTCATCTTAGAATCACAAAAATCTTTGAAGTGGTCTTAGAATGCGCCAAGCAGGCGGCAGGCAAATAGACTCACTTGTTCTCAGGGGTCCGAACCCTGGCAGATCCGTTGCTAACATTTTCCGTCATCGGCTCTCCTCTAAGCGAGGTCACGAACTTCCACCCCTGCTAAACGGTAAAAAATCTTCCTAATTTATGACACCGACAAGGCGGATTTGTTTATTGCTTCCTTTGCAAAACACCTTACTACTGAGTCCGAACCAGTCCTTTCCTTTAATCCGCTTCCAGATAAAACACTGAGTGTTCTTGATGTCTCCTCAGATCTCGTTAAGAAAAACATAAGTCGTTTGAAAAACGCACACTGCTCAGGAACAGACGGGATTCCGAATTCGATTAATAAACAAACATCTGACCTCCCCATGTTTCTGAGTAATTTATTCTCGGTTTATATTTCAAAAGGAATCCTTTCTGAAACATAGAAGACATTAATTATCATTTCTGTCTTCAAGTTTGGATCTCGGCCCGATGTTAATAACAATCGGGACACGCACAAAACACCGTCTCTAGCAAAGCTTCTTGAAAGGATGATTTTCAATGAAATTCTTGCCTTTTGTCTAGCTAACCGGCTTCTGAGCTCTAATCAGCATGAATTTTTACTTACACGATCCTGCAAAACCTGCCACTTGGCATTTCTTAATCTAATCACCTCTCTTCGTAATGAGCAGCAGGCAGTGGTAGTAAGCTACCTTGGTTTTAGCAAAGCCTTTGACAAGATGCTCCATAAACATCTTTTGGCAAAACCGAAAGTTATCGACATCAGGCCGACTCTACTCGACTTCATCAGGTCCTATCTGTCCAACCGATATCAGAAAGTCATGGTTGGTAGCAGCTACGCGACACCTCGCTCGATCACGAGTGGCGTAATTCAAGGCACGGTTCTGGGTCCGCTACTCTTCCTTCTTTACATCAATGGTATTTCAACTGAAATCAGAAATTCGCAAACTTTTATTTATGTCAATGACCTCAAGTGTGTTTACTCATATTCTAAGGACACCGCAAATGGTTGTGTTGAAAAAAATTAATGCTGATTTACTACGCTTAAGCAGATGGAGTTTTCATCATCCAAGTGTATTTTCATGTCTTTTGGTCCTGCCAAACTTCCTGGTCCCATAATTTTCCGGAATAACCCACTCTCAGAAGGTTTCTTCCTCAAGGACCTAGGTTTAGGTTATACAAATTAATGGGCTTTATCACCTCATGCAGATAGAATCTCTGCCAAAGCCGCGCAGATATGTGGATTCATATCGCATAATTTTTTCCTTCCGGAAATGAAGCTAAGACTTTATCAAATGTTTTTTCTTCCAGTTCTCGAACACCGCTGTCCTTTCTTCGGTTTAATGAACGTCTGCGACTGTAATAAAATCGAAGATGTTCAGAGAGTTTCACCCGGAAACTGTTCTCTCAAGCTTCGTCCGGTATTTCTTATACTCAGAGATGTCAGCTGGCGAACATTAAGTTTTGTGGGTTAGAAGACTCGAAGCTGACCTTTGCTTCCTTTTTCGCACCAACTCTACCTCCAATCTTCCGCTCATTGAAACTATCACTCCGAGAGATCGGTCTTATGCCACGCGCAATTCCTCCATGGTGGTTCAGCCGCCTCTTGGTACTACATCTAGGCGCTCCCTCTTCTTTGCTTTCAAATATGCCTTCGTTTGGAATAATCTTCCACCAGAAATTAGGTCATCACTTAACTTACTGCTATTCAAGTCGAAATTATGCAAAAACCTTACACCGGAAAGCATAAAGGCACTGTTAACAGTCTCATTCCCGAACATTCCCGAGAAGGGTCTTCCTGGGATTTAGTGGTAGATCAAGTGGTATCCCTCAATTATGTCATTAGAAGCCCTGTTTTGAATTGGTTTTTAAATCCACTGCTACCACTTTTCCCCCATAGGGGCGATTTTCGCGGTTCTTGATGTCATCTCCTCATTTCGATCTCAAGCGGTCTGTCGAAGCTCACGGCGGAACCATCTGTATTCGCCGTCTAATAGTAGCTTGGTCGTACCTCCCTTGCCCATTCCTCGGCTGGGTTCGAAGAGGACTATGACGGATCGCGTCCGGATTCCTCTCATCTCGCCACTTTGACGCGAATGGTTCCAATTCAATTCCGCCCTGGCGACGTCCGTTTTGAATCCCTTATAAAATGCTACATGCAGGCCAGCCCTGGCTGACCCGAATATGCACCCCTCAAGGCTGACAATTATTTCTATCCTGACGACGTCCGATTTTAATCAAGGCTGACAGTTATTCCTGCCTTGACGATTTCTGATTATCATCCGTCATATACCGCCACATGCAGGCCAGTCCTGCCCGTATTTTTCTGTCATTATTTTTTACTGAGTGTTTTTTTCTCCTGTAAAATAATCCAATTATTTTTAACTTTTTTATTGGAGTTTTTTTCACCTCTCGCATGTCATTTTTTTCAACGGACCACTAATTCAGAAACTTTGAATTGCATTTCGTACAGATTCTGCCTACCTCGTCTAAAATTCCATGTAAATTTATTTTTACTTGCTTTGATGGGACCCCGAAGGGTCTTAAATAAAAAATTAGTATTATTATTAATTGGTCAACTCGTCTGCCAGATACGATAGTATATTAGACTTATAGTCTCAATTATAACGGCATTCTCCATTTATTTATGAATTTCCACCGCGATCTTTTTACAAGTGATTATGTTGCTTTCTTCCAACTTCCCTTTCTGAAATCAATGGTGAAACATAAATATTTAGTCCTTTTAACTGTCAAAAAGGACTTAGTAAATCACTTTGCATGCCCTCGAAATTGGTTCAATATTTCTTTCAAATAATGGTCCAAGCTTATTTCATGATATGTCGCGGTGGGTAGCAAAAGATCACGATTTCATTCCACTGAAGATGCTTGAATCGAATGTTGTTTCCCCCACTATCCCATATGGTCTTAGAAACAGAAATAACGTTACGAAAGCAGCTTAATAGTCTTCGCCTAAGCTCATTATCGGTTCAAGTAGAAATCGCAGGAATATTTGGATTATCTTCGCAAATGAGGCACATGCGAGAGAGGCGCAGGGAATATTTCGCTGCTAGTGATGCAAATACTTCCCAATCCACTGCTCCGGTTTTCCGACTAATATCGTCTGCTATGTCCCATCAAGCCATTTCATCTTCGCTTAATTGCAACAACACTTTTCTTGGAGAGAAGTCGAACAAAGCAAAATTGGTGGATTCATATTTTGTCTACCATTTTACCCTTGAAAATGACCTTACCTCTTCCGTTGTCTGATGCGTTCCTCGCCATCAATTAGGCCCCTGAAGATATTCGGAAACAGACTAACCAAAACGATATTACAGACAAATAAAAGGGAGACTGAAATGGCCACTTCCGGCTTAGTAGTCGTCGCCAGCCAGTCGAAAAACGGTCGGTGAGCGTCCCTCTACTCAGATTGGCCTGTTCAGTAACTCGCATCCAGTTGGAACTGACAACATCTCTACCTGCCTTAGTAGACAGTCAAAAGATCTTTTTCCTCTGCTGAACGAATCGTTTCTACTCGTTTTCGGGAATGGCTTCTTTCCTGGTTACTAGTAAACTTCTAGTAATACTCCAGTGTTCAAATCTGGCTCTTGTTGTGATATTCAAAATTCACGGGCTGTTCATAAAACGCCCTCTATTTAAATTGTTTGAAAAAATTATTCTCATCAAAATTATTGATTTTTGCGTTGCCAATGCAGTTCTTGAGTCGGTTTATTAAGGGAATAAGACTTTCGCCTTGATCCACAAATAGCAACACGATCAATTTTTACACCAGCAATTCTGTAAATTCAAAGGTCATTGGCATTTGTAAGTCACATTCAAACTATCGTCGCTGCCACAATCGTGGTTATTTGCGTATTTACTTCTCAGCAAATGAGCATCAAGTTTCGATAATATGTTTTCACAGTTTCTGGAAGGATAACTGCACCAGGGAGTTAGTTCGATGCCCCGACGACCCGTCGCAAGAGGGCTTACAGTCGGACGTCAGTACGGGCAAATTTCGTCTGTAGACGGTCCGTCCCAGCATGGCTTTTCGTCCGATCGCTCTTGTAAAACATGTCATATGTCTTTTCTGCATCTGCCCACTTCTCTGCGCAGAGATCATTTATGCGTGGTCGTGGTCCATACTGATCTTAGTAATGTCTCTGAGAAAGTGTCACATAAACTACTTTTCGTTAAATTGGGGCTATAAGTGCTCGCCATTCCCTCATCAAGTTTATTAAGTCATACATTTCCAGTAGAAAATCAAAGGTACAAGAGGGGTCTTTTGTAAATGAGAGCCCTCTTGTTAGCGGTACCCTCCAAGGTACAGTGTTAAGTCCTCCTTTTTGCATTGCATAAGTCGCATTTCATCAACAGTTAAGCGCACTCTGTGTTTTTATATGTTCATGACCTCAAATAGCCAAAATCTTTCCCTATATCCACGCCTCAACATTGCTTGGAGCAACTCCAAACTGACTTGCTTGTTCTTCCCGCACGGGGCTCAATGCGACTGGTGGAATTCTCCAATGCGCAATGCTGCCAAATGTGCATATTTGATCTGAAAGGCTACCACAGAAAGTGATCCTGCAGGACACCCCTACGGCTGAGTGCTCCTTCATCAAGGACTCAGGTCTTATCTGCACCGGTAATCAAGACAACATAACCGACAAAGAGATGGGAGACTGGAATGACCATTTCTGGCTAAAAGGCCGTCGTCAGCCAGTCATATCAAACCCCGAAGTGTGGAACACCTGGGGCTTGATCGCGTGACCTGTTATAAATAGAGATAATTTTAGTAAAGGACCCTTGCGGGTCCCATCACAGAAGTCCAATGTCGGAAGCCACCGAGCCACGGGCTCGTTGCCCTGTTGGTTGAGAATGGGATTATACAGTGGTGGGGGACGCCCACTCGATTAGTCTTTTGTTTTCATCATCTTTACCTAGCAGCTTTCTCCATGACTTTGAAAAAAACCCATTGGGCATTTAGGACGCGCTGCCAAATTACATTGCCTGCTCGAGTTTCCCCGACCGCGTGTAGTTTCACTTCCCACGATCTCATAGAGAAGTTTCGGCTTTCTTCGGTGCATGCATTATATCCTTTACGAAAAGCGGTGCCCTACTAGATCAGCCTCCCAGAGAGTTAACATTGGTCATGTTGACGAGCATGCTTAAGACCGCCTACGTTTCGCTCGCTGATGACCCTCATCAGGGACCCGTTTTGCTCATTGCAGTGTCGAAATCTCCCACCCATTGGTGGTCTCACCTTGGGGTTTCCGCCACCTGGTATCTGCAGGCGCATTATAATAACGCCTCGTTCTCCCTTGCCGATCTGCAGTTTTAACTTAATTCCTCCCTCAGGAAGCATCTGCCCAGCTCCAACATATCCTTCTTGAGATCACTCTCCAACTTAAGACTCGACACTCAATAGAGATAACCTCAGTTTATACCATCAGGATCGTGCAGAAAAAGGCGGCGGTGTTTGCCTTCCTTACATCAGAGCCTCACTTGCACAGTCGCCTTATGACCTAAACATCTCTTCCTTCCTTCATTTCGGTAATCCTTTCGCGAAATAGGAAAGCCTTAGTCGTATGTGTGTATGATCCTCCTTGTTACTCCGGAAATGAAGGCCACTCTGTGAACTCTTTTAAGAAATCGCAGAGACTTCATTCGATGTCAAGGTAATCGTAGGAGATTTTAATTTGCCAGAAATTGCCTGGCACACACAAATACATCCTCTGCGAAATTCCAGAAGCATCTAGACACCATTTACCTTTCAAACTTGTCTCATTTAGCCCACTCTTACTTCAAAAACGATAGTGTATCAGGTTTTAATTTCCCTAATAGTATCCTCACCTCTATCTGTGGGTATCCGTTGTGACCTTTTTGCAAATGATCATGCATTAATTCATTGTCGCCTTCCAGTTGCCATATCCGAGAAGCCAGAAGTTAAACCTAGCTTTTTAATTACGCTAATATTAGTAAGGAACTGATAAACAACTTTACAAGCAATCTTGATTGGCATAATATTTTTTCAAATAACGATCTAAATTTTTCTACAATTTATTATAGTTTGTAACAAAAGGTCTTCGCGACCTTATTCCGCGGAAGACAATTAAATACAGCGCGACTTCCCCGCAATCCCACATTTTCCTAAAAATAGACTTCAAAAGTTACGGTAGCAGCTTAAATATCCACTGATGAGCTCATTATCAGTTTACCTAAGAGTCGCTGAAATATTTGAATTTGCTATGAAAATTAGGCTCGCGCGAGATAAGCGTAGAGAATCGTTGGCTGTTAATTGCTCGAATGCCTCTAAATCAGTTGCCCAGATCTTCCGTTAAACATAATCAGCTAAGTCCCACCGAGTCATTTCGCCTTTGCTTAGTACCAGCGATATCTTAATTACGGAGGAATCAGGCAAAGCAGAAATGTTAACTTCATTCTTTGTCAAACATTAAACCATTGAAACGGATCCAATCCCTTCAATTCCTTCGTTGTCTGATGCCTCCGTCACCACCACTAATCTTGTCCCTGCAGATATTTAAAAGCTGATAAACCAGCTAACTAACTCGCCCTCAGTAGGAACCCACGACTTCCCTAACTCTCTCATAAAACAGCTAAGAGATATTCCTCCTCTGATTAGCAGACTCTTTTCAGTCTTTCTCGAAAATGGCTTCTTTCCCGACCATTGGAAAACTTTTACTATTATTCCAGTATTTAAATCTGGTTGTCGTCCTGATGTTCAAAATTAACGAGGTGTCAATTAAACACCTTCTCTCGCCAAAATCCCTAAAAAATCATCGCCTTGAAAATTACCGACTTTGGCATAGCCAATCAAGTTATTAGCCCTTCCCAGCTTTGTTTTTTTACTAGATTGGTCTTGTGAAACGTGTCATATATCGTTTCTCAATCTACTTACTTCTCTTCGTAATGAACATCTATCTGTTGTCGTTATTTATTTTGATTTTAGTAAAGCTTTAGATAAAATGCGACGTAGAAGATTCTTAGTCAAATTAGAAGCTCTGGGACCTTGCAGTCCCCTTATGAACTTATCAAGTCATATCCGTTTAATAGTAAAGAAAAGTTCTTAGTCGTATCTTCATTTTCCAATGTGAGCTCTATCGTAATTGGTCTCCTACAAGGTACCGCTTTAGGCCCTCTTTTGGTCCTGCTTTACATAAATGATATCTCGTCGGCAGTTATACATTTTAATCATGTTGTAATGCTGATGATCTCAAATGTGTATATTAATTCAATAAATCGACGACCCTTCATTGCTTGGAACAAATCTATGCTGACTTCTTTGTTTATTTTAGCGTGGAACTCAAAATGGCTAATGGAATTCTCTCCGTCTGAATGTCGTTATATGTGCCCTGGACCTGATAGGTCATCCCATCCAGTGGTCTTTCAAAGCACACATATGACTGAATGTACCACCATCAAGGATTTAGGTTTAAGCTACACAAATAATCTTGATCTCTCGCCACACACGGCCAAAGCTGCCCAGATATGTGGCTTTATTTCTTTCAATGTATATCTTCCTGAAAATAAATTAAGACTCTATCGTTTGTTTGTACTTCCCATTCTCGAGCATTGTTGCCCATCCTTTGGTTTGATGAACGAGGCTAGTCGTTTAAAAATTGGAAATGTTCAGAAAGTTTAGCTAGAAGACACTTAGGTTCGGAACACCCAAAATTTCCTACTCAGATAGATGCCAGATAAATAGCCTAAGATTTTTATGGATTCGAAGACTAGAAGCAAGCTTCTGCCTCCTCTTTCGCATTAATACTAGTTCAAATCGTTCTCGGATTTTAGCTTTTATCCCTATTAGTCGCCCATAACATCGTCAAAACTCTTCCCTGATTATATCTCCTCCCGCTTCCTCCACCTCTATGCGTTCTCTTCTTTCGAGTCCAGGCATACTTTCCCTTGGAATAACCTTCTAATAAATATAAAATCATCTGATAATCTACAGACTTCTAAGAGAGGATCGGGCCGTTATCTGAATACCGATTCGATTAAACTTTTATTTTCCTTATCCTTCCCGGACAGTTTTCTCTACGACATTGAGGTAGGGTCACCGGGAATTCAGGACGCTGCCATTACAATTCTGTATTCGCGCACATCTTATTTTTTGTGTATATTTTCCCTTCCTAGGATCCCTCATTAGAAATTTTATTTTTTAGATTTTTCAGTTCACGCTTCGTACTCCTCAGAGGATGCGATATCATTCATGGCAAATTCTTCCAAAGAAGTAGCGTGGCTAGGTTGACGTGCACTCTCTGGGTCGCCTCAGTTTCGCTGATTGCCGACACTCATCAGAATTTCACCCTGCCCACGCGATTTCGAACCCTCGCCACTCAGTCGTAGATTTTTAGGGTTCTCGGGGTCATCACCCCACTTCGACCCCAAGTGGTGTCGACGCTTTTGGCGGAACCTCCTGTATTCGTCATCTACCGGTAGTTTGGTAACATCTGCCTTGCCCCTCCTCGGTTTAATTCTAAGCGGATTGTGGCCGGTCGCGTCTGGGTTTTTGTTGTCTCACCACCTTGACGTGAATAGCCTAAGCCTGAATATGAATTCTGCCCTGATGATGTCCGTTTCGAACCTTCTACTCAATACGCACACAGGCCAGTCCTGTCTAATCCGCATAATTACCCCTTCATGAAATCCGTTATATACTGTCACACGCAGGTCGGTTTTGTTCGCTTTCTCTCCTTTCATGAATGACAGTCTTTATCCTATAATGTTTATCCAATCATATTCATTTTGCTTATTTGATAGTAAAGTTTTTTTCACTGCTCGCTCGTCATTCTTCGTGACAGACTACTGATTCAATAACTGTAAATTACGTATTGTATAGATTCTGTCTATCTGTTCTGCAGCTCATATGAAAATTTATTTTCACTTGTTTCTTACCACCAAGGGTTTTGGATGAAAATCATTTATTTACTTATTTTATTACGAAGTAACTTTTCTCTTAAAAATTTTCTTGGAAGTGAGGGTTCCCAGACTTTCCCTCCACTCTTAAGTGCAGGGGTTTTTAGCTGTTTTTTCGTGGTTTGAAATTTCTTATAAAATTTCAAGTATGGAAATTCTGGATGCTATTAGGACAAGCATCGTATGTGAGAGGACAAATCGTCAGCGGATGTGAAGAACTTTACCTATTTTGCATAGCATAATTTCCTAATTCTACCATACATCTGGTCGCTTGCTTAGACTATTATTCTCTATACTGTCCGTATTTTGCCCACTGACTCAATTCTAACTTACTAAGTACAGTGCCCTCTGAGCGCTTAGAACCAAAATATCACTATTATTTATCCCGTCGTATTTTAAAAATTGAGTTCTTTATCTTGTCCCGGCGGACTTCCCTAAAGGCTGCACTTTCGTTGTTTCCGCAAAAAGTTCACTTTGGCCGGTTGGGTAGACCTAGCGTTTTGGGTTTTTGCAGAGGAAATACGGGATTGAAATGACGGAAATGTAGCTCAAAATACGCGAAGTGGGGTAAGTGGAGGACGTTTTTTCGTCGGATTTCACCAGATAGAGGTGGGTGCGGATCATTTTTTTTCAGCTTGGTCTTTTGATTGAAATGAACTTTCCAAACGGGGAGAGTTCTCGGAGCGTTACAGTATGACCCGCGCCCGCTTTAGCCTGTTTTCCCATATGACCATTATTTCATTATTAAAATCAAGCCTGGACGACATATGATGAAACTGATGACGAGGCCTGGCGCGGTCTGGGACTTCACATTTAACATACTTTTTCTTTCATGCCGGCCATAAAAATGCTGGCATACGTTTACGCATATATCACTGGTCGCCGTGCTACTGCCTACGGGGGTTTCGGGGCGAGCGTGTCACGCAAACCGATTGGCGAGTGATTCCCGAACGTAATTAATATTCCTATCGCAAGCGACGGGACATAGGGCCCGAGAACCAATGATTCAGATCTGGACTTAATGACGTCCAATAAGCAAAAGACGCGGGTTCGAATCTCAATTTGGACAAATCAGGGTTCGGCTAAAGCTAACTGACGACGACTAAAAAGACAGTAATGGCAATCTCGGCCTAACGTTTCTTTCGGTACTCCATTCCGTATGTCCAAAAGCTTTGACAACGAAAGGAAATTCAGAAGATGACACTGTCGACTGACTCATGACCTCAGGATCGACTTATTATTGTACTTGGTGAACATCAGTGTCACGCCTCTCACATCGCAGCGAAATGTTAAATCATGATCAACGTTATCCCTTTTATGGGCACAGATGACATGTCCAAAAAGGCCAAGTAACTAACCAGCGAGAATAACGCAAACATTATGCGGACTGTGCATTCGAGTATCAAGACAAGGCTCAAATGTCGCCTAAAAGTTTTGCTCGCTCAGGGGCAGTAACAATAACTCCTTAGATATAAAAGACCATGCTGCTTTGATAACGTTGATGGTCCTGAAGTTTTCCCTGAACCTGGAATAAGGGTTGCAAAAGGTGGCTTGGGCGAGTGGTAATCAGACCTGAGGAATTAGGCCTAGCTCTTTGGTAGAAGTTTGACTTAAATGAATGGACAACGTGGTGTGAAAAGACAGGAAGGGGAGATGGACGGAGGAGCGCGGTCTGTCCCGTTGAGAATGAGCGACATATTACCGCGGGGAAACAGGAGGAAGTCGGTATCGCCATACAAAAAAGAACTTATATGAGGGAAACACGGCCATCCAGCTGTCGTAGACTGCTCTCTATCAGGCTAATCTTTTTATGGAGTTTCGGGTCATCGAGTATATGTTTTATTCGAGGAAATCTAAACAGCTTTGCAAAAACATTGTGAGACTGAAGACAGCAGTTTAAAATGGATTAGAAATACCTCTGCTGTCGAATTTATATGCTAAAGTACTAGTTTGTATTAGCTCGACGGAACCCATTTAGGCCTGTTCGAATCAACTTGGGTAGCGTTCGTATATATTTTTGAAAAGACATCTTTTGGCACGACCTGCATCACCTGCTGCACCGACGCCAGTGCGAAAAAACAAGCGGATTACCGAGGAAAATCAGCCTGTACTACACTGCGGTCAGTGACCAATCTTATGAGATGCATTTTAGATAAGGAGCAGCTGCTGAAGCCGGTTTTTAAACTTTGATTATCTTGTAGCCAAATACCAAAATATATTGGTTGTGACTGGATGTCTACTTTTAAATATGTTCCTTTCCGATTTTTTTTCGACGCCCTCGTAAACTAAAATAAACTATATGGAGAATAGGATCAAAATATACTTTCTTACATTCATTCAGTGACAAACCCCGTTCTCTTTTATGTCTTATATTCTAAGAGGAAGTTTATATTGTTTTTGAAAGCAGATTTTAACTAAGAGTTTTCAAAGAGTCTGGAGTATCCATCCTAATAGCATCATATCTGTTCTCGAAAACGGACTCCGTTATAAAATGGTTCTCATTTGAATGTGAGAGCCGTTTTGCATCTAATACTGTTCGATAACCCTACGTCTAAATCCGCCAGTGCTTCCTTCACACGAGATCAACTCTATATTGGTTGGACTTACAGTCGCTCCTTCAGGACCGTCAAGCAAACTGATCCAGAATTTGGCAAATTTTTGTGCCATCAGTCACGGACCCAGACTATCCTATAATAGACCAACTGACAGCAACAGAGATGGTGTGTCCACATACTGTCAGGTTGCGGTTAGAAGGTTTGAAGATGTGGTCGCGATAAAGATTTTCTATTTTGAACAGGTTTTAGTTTGGAGTTCATTCTCGCTGAGGGAGCTCAGTAATGACGACCAGTCATATTTTCCTAGGCGATCTCATCGATGTCCATTTGCGCACCGAAGTCGACGAGAAAAACCAGGTTCACAGGGCACAAGCGAAGTGAGATTACGCAACTCATATAATATGCACCATACATTCATGATTCGCCATTCGACTCATAGACGCAGACGATCGTCGTTAAAATGTCTTCAAAAATTCGGAGCCTTACTGTTATGACTCTTTCATTAATTCAAAGCGAGAGAGTGGCCACGCTCTTAACATGTCAACCAAGGCAGCAAAAGTGAATAGACCATCTTCAAAATAGGAAAAGAAGTTATTCCCTTAACCGTTTTTGCTATGACAACAGGGAACCGAAGGTGGCGGTGTCTGTATTATACGGAGTCTATTCGTGACAATCACGGTTGCTATCCAAACTGGTCTCTTGCCAGAAAGACGGCGGAACTTTAGGGTTACCAGTGTAAATAAGGCAAATGGCAGTGGGGACAGGAGAATGAACCCGGCGATTATTTCTATTCCACTAGTTCCGGTCATGTCTATCGTGTCCAGCGACCCGTGTCATTTGTATGGACCGTGCGAACCACCGTTTGTCTCAGAAAAATCAAACAACTTGTGCGCTTTCTTATAATATACTAAATAAATAAGAGAGTTCGAACGGAACTGACGAAGTAATGCCGAGGTCTTCCGATTTCGTCTCATTCTTCCTCTCAAAGGGCGTCCCTATGAAATCTGCAGACGGCATGCGTTTATAGGAGTCAGGAGGATGTCATAAAGCCCAGGAAAGCATTCGATGGGCAGATATTCACTAAACTTGTGTATGTGTCTAAAGACTCATCACAGTTTTATTTCAAAGTAGAAATAGAATTAGCTCAGTAAGAAGCCCGTCAGCTAACATGAACAACTTTTATATATCTCCACTGGCTAGCAGGACTCACACAAAGTATTGTCGAATCCCTTCTTCATTAGTGGTCATTGCTATTTCCTGAAATTTTTGTCCAGAATCTTAAATTTTTTGATTCGCTTTTATTCGCATTCCCAACAAGCCTATGTTATTATATTGGCAATCCGACTTTCTCTCGTTTGCCTTATTGCTGCTTAACCATCTACTAGATGTGGTGCGCAGTTCTGCAGCTGCTAACTTCTTCAATCTGCACTCCCCCTGTAACCTTTTGATAAGAATAACACGCCACTTTTTTAGAGTTATGTGTGACACATAGTTCTGCTTGCTGCTCAGTCTCTAGGCCTCCCCATCTTTACATTCCATGTGAGAGATAAAGTACATAGTCTGACTTCAGTAATCCTGCAGATACTTGAGGAAAGGTATGCTGTTATTGAGGACGCTACAAACGCTGACTTTAGGACGAGGTCTAGAATAATAAGGACGGAGATCGACCCCGGACAAAAATAAGAATACGCCTTGATCCCAAAACATCGATAAACGTAGTTTATTTACTCATGTTTATTCATTACCGCAGTCTGGTGAAACCAGTCCATATATTCTTACTTGAAAAGAAAAAAATTAAATGGAGACTTGTGTATTTTCAATGGTTTGTTGGATATGGGAAAGCTTGTCCCTTCACGAATGCTATAGTTCTTTTGCTCTTCTATTTTTAAAGCATTATTTTGTGTTGCGGGCAGTCGCGCCGCAATTGAAGTCCTTCGTATTTCGGCTCCCGGTAAATAACACTCGACGAGAACGTAATCTTTAGAAGGCATTCCGGAGTCCGGAGAAAAGCCGATCAGTCGTATCTTGTCGCCTACATAAACGATTTCCCGAAATGGGGAAGATTTATCGGCGGGATCATGTTGTTTATTGCGAAATAAAGTATTTGTGGTTTTATGCATACATTACAATGTTTTTTCACTTTAGAAAAATAATTACGGTTACCGTAGAGCTGCAAGATCCATCAAACTCTCAAGTCGAAAAAGTATATTATGTCATTTATATACATGTTCCTTGAAGTCCCTGGATATAAGCTTGACGGACTGCCATGATTTATATTTTCTGTTTACTGCGAAAATTTTCTCATCAGATTACCAGAAGTATTTATAAATCTATTTCACCCAAGTAATTAGATTAAAAGAACAGCAAGGCCTACTAGTCGAATATAGTGCATTTGCCCAAATGCTAGTCGACCTTCTTACTAAATGCTCTAAGGAAGAGGGGTCAGGCTCGCCAAGGTTTGCGCATAGTTTCTTTCGAATTTCGCAGATATATCTTGCAATTCTCCGAGTCTTCACCACACATTCTCCGGATAACAGAGACAACTGATTTTCGACACCTCACACACTTGGCGGTCGAACTTACTGCTGCTAGCGACGAAGCCCTCAAAGCTTATTTGGTCTCAGTCATAAAACGAAATAAAGTAGTTCTCCGATAATGCAGCTTTACTTTCAGGCTGAATATGAGCGTCAAATAGAGGACTTGAGGAACTCGGAGGGCAGGTTAAACGTGAATCTCTCTAACTCCGAAAGGGTATTGTTTTCGCATTTTTGATATCTTAGATGATTAACGATATATCGAAACAATTAGAAGATGTGTCCCTCACTAAGGAAACGGATATTGCTGCTCTCAAGAAGAACCACGCTGCTGAGGTTGAACAATTAAAGGAATCACACGAGTCGGTCAGTGCGGATTTTTTTATAACAATGCTTTGCAAATAGATGCTTCTTTCTGTCCAGACTAAGTTTGCCCTAGAGCGCAAGGCTGCTGAAGAGGCAACAGAAGCAATGAAAATCGCAATGCAGACAACGATTAATTCACAACACTCGGAACTCGAAGTCTGTTTTGAGGTTCATAAATGCTGATTTTACAGGAGTTAAACGGCCGTTTACTGGAGCTGAATTCCAAAGTATCCGTACTTAACTCTTCTATTTCTGAAAAGGAGGCTGCTTTGGCTACTCTTAGAAAAGAGAATGATGGTCAGTATTAGCATCTTTGTTGAATTTTTGCAGTGCTGAAAGACGAGGTTACGTCCGAAAGGAATAGAAAAGAGCATTTGGATGCTAACAATTTAAGGCTGAGTCAGAAAATATGCGATCTAGAAACCGACCTAACTGCTGAACGTAAGAAGAACAGTCTAATCGATGCTGAGCTAATTCATCAAAGGGAAAAAGTGGTAAGTACATGCGGTTTTTCCTTTGTTATTGCATGGTTGGCTTCAGAAGATTAGTTGCTAATCACAACTGCTATCATAAGGCACAACAATCGAAGTCAGTGAAACATTCTATTCCATCACTGTCTGATCACCTTTGTTTCCCTTTGAAACCTTTTCTAGTACCTAAGTCGCACTGCCTAAGGATATCGTATTTTTGTTGTGCCACAGCTGCCGACGTTTATTGCGTTTGGGATGTCGGAGCTCTTAGCATATCCGTTTCGAGTTGTAGTACGAACATCCTTCTCAAGAATACTTATTTGTTTTATGATCATGTTTGATCTTGTTGGCCTCGATGATTTTGCGTACGATGCCTTCTGCATGCGTAATGATCTGCGTCATTGAATCTGAAGAACTCGATTAAGTTTCTTCTCCGACAATGGAGACTGGATAACAAACGGCCTGGAACCACCTTTTGTCCTAAATAACCATGTAGGCTCAGGTTTTGAGTTGACCATCTCTTCGTCGTTTCTAGAGAATAATGACTACGACCAAGAACAGTCGTGCTGAATTCATGGTGCTGACGAGGAGGAACGTATTTGAACCACCTCAGTCTTCTTGGGTGTTCCGAGATATACTCGCGACATAATGAGTGCGAACCGTGTCATTCGAGACGCTGCTGGTATATTTCACCGAAGGTAGGATTGTCAGACAACGCTGGTCAGTAAACTCCGTTTTTCTCTCATCTTCCAATAACGCGACTCAGAATCCACAAGACTGTCCGGATAGGTCCCTTGTACATGACGATCTTTGCGGTGGCTGGATGTCGTGACGCATCTGTAGACTTTCTACGATAGCATCGATTGCTGCTGCCGCTGCGACGATTTCGTCTTTATTCCTTCCTTTTGACAACGACTTTGTCCCGAGGTATTGGAAGCTACACCTCTCCGAGCTGACAGTCATTAGTTCTGAGCGATGCATTCTTCAGGTCAGAGATGAAAATACAAATGCTCTAGCCGTCCCAGAGTAGGTGGAAGAACATACAGCCTATAAGTCATCATAGTTTAAAGTTAGTAGGGCGACTCATTAGCCTAGTCGAAATCAGCCAGCCGGCGCTTGTATGCAAATCCAACACAGTCATAATCGCGTAGGACCCATATATTAATGTAGTACATGACTTAGTTAGGCGGTATGTGCGTCAAAATATAGTCAAAACGAACGCCAAACTGATTATTAAGCATTTGGGAGATTCCAAGCTGAGGGTTGGCTTAGGGACGAAGATGTCTCAAAGTGCACGCCTTCTATGGAGACTTAAGTCGCCCGTGAATTTACGAAGTCAGAAAGCCTAAAGACTGCGAGCGTCTATATACACCTAAATACACCGACGTATAGAAACCCAACAAAAACTAGAAATCGGTTATATTGTATGACGTCTCGTGTAATAATAACAATAAGATGGGTGCGGACGGCGTGGACGAATTTATGGATGATTGGAGGCTTTCATAAGAACATGGTAGAGTGCCGACTCAATTCCGGCAGAAGTCTGCAAGTACGCTGGATGGCTCGCTGTTTCTGGAGATGTGGAGAATCGGACGTATCACACAAGACTGCAAGGACACCACCACTGTCGATACCGACCAAGTGACGATAGCACCAACAAGATCCGGTGTTGACAATTAGAGAAGATATTGATGCCGTCTCCCTGGGCATATAATTGACAGTAGAGGAAGAAGACGACTAGGTGGCTTTCCTTGATGCCATCGTCTGTCGCAGAGGTTGGAGCGGCCCGAATACCAGGGTATTCAAAAAGGCAACAAATACGACGAAAGTATTGAGTTTCAACAACAACCACCAAATCAGCCACAAACGCATTTGCGCTCTATCAGCGCGTTAAGACGCACTGCAGTGACTTGGAAGTCGAACCTGCCGAATCTCAATAACATTGACGGCTGATCAGAACGAATGGCTGCTCGCACAACCGCTTTTATCAGTATTTACAAAGATAAGAGCCAAAAATGCACTAGACTCACATTTTGGTGAGCACTCCTGTGCGTCAAGAGTGTCTTGGAGGCCGTCAGTCATCATAACACCAAGTTGGGGCTGCACACAGACTGGAGGAAAATATCGAACATCGAATGGGAAGGCCGTAAGATCCGCTGCCACGGTAAGAAACGTCTATGTCATTGGCTGAATCTGTTGTCAAACTGCTTGAGTTAGGGTTCTCCGAACCACAGTCCACCAACAGGCCCTCTCCCTTTTCAGCCCTAAGATTTTGTCCGACTGGGTGTAGTATGTCACGCGGAGAGAACGCGGGTGAACACTACTTCTAGTGAAAGTGTTGGCGAGTCAAGCTGCCGGGTAAGTATCATGCCAATCGCCAACACCGGCAATAGGATCTTGGCGGTACGTCGAACAAGTCACAATTGCACCAAATATAACCATTGGCGGTGAATGCAACGGCTGTAATTTTAAAAAGGTGTGGTCGCATAGCTACTGCATCCTCTAAATGCCGCAACTCCTTAGGCGTTCAGCAACCTTACCTGCTGCTGTTTCTGATGATGGTTCGAGCGAGAATCCGCAACGTTCGGCACATAAAATTCTTGATTTGGCAATCAAGTCTCCTCAATGGTTTTATGTAGTTTGGATCTCCGCTTGAATTTGGCAGACACGTTGGTGGATTTTGCGAAGTAAGTAACAGTGGACCCCTTAGCTAGACGACCGGAGCGCCAGCCAAGAATAGCCAGTCACGCCGCTGCATTTTTGCTCGCTTTGGAATCTATATTGACGTTCATGTTATTCTCTTTGTGATAACACATCAGGCTGGCTGGCTCTTGTTTCCGTCGCAAATTAAGTCGAGCACCCGCCAGTGGTACTGACCTGACTAATGCCCGGATTTTCGTCTTCGTACTCACCAGACTATCTTTATCGAAATGTGCACCCACTCATTTTTTAACTCGAATCTAGCGCGTAACCCTTGAAGATTCTCAAAGAAAAGGCAAGCATTTGGAGAAGACGGAAAAGTTACTTAAACAGCAAACAGCCGAGATCGCCAAAGCCAATTCCATCATCAAGCAACTACAAAGGGAGCTAAAAAACAGCCAGACCAAGGTAACGTCCCCCGACTTTACTTGTAGGGGCGTTTTTATACATTTCAGTAAACAATGCAGTAGAGCTCCCCCGATACCTTGGCCAAATCTATCTCAGATTTAAAACAGCATGTTCGACTTATCCCTCAGTGAACCAGTTTCAATTTCCAAAAACTTGCTCTCGGGTGCCGTGATTATGATATGTTGCCACCCAATCCTGATAACGTCACAGTTGCCCAGGGCCAGCCCATACGGTTAGTCTGTGACTAGTTGTGATTGGTTGACCCCTGTCAGTAGTCTGTGCAGGCACAATCCCCCCCCCCCGGCGATCCCTTCGCGTGATTAGTGTCCGTGGTCTCAGAGGCCACATTGACGCATGCAGACCGTGCCCAGTCAGCCAGTCTGATCGTTAGCCGCACACAAGCCTGCAAATTTGAGCTACTAGTGCAAGGCTAGACAAGGACTGGTAGAACGTTATCAGAGAAGTTGGAAATTGGTGATACTCGGAAACTCGTGCAGACACTCTCTCTGTTGTCGCTTTCTCTTCTGTCTGATAGGCAAAACTCCGTGGTCAAGTGGCGACAGAGCAGGAGAAGGTACTGACGAGCAAAGAGCTCGAACTGGAAGATCTTCAGCAGAAAATGGAACAACTGAAGACGCAGGTGAGCGCGGAGAAACGTCAGCGTGAGGAAGGCCAGGCTAAACTCCTACAAGTCGAGTCTGCACTGGAAGAGGCCCAGAAGACAATCAAATCCAATGAGAACAGTAAGTTGTGACACCGAGTGCGTGTATGTATTGTGATTCCTCCATTCTAACAATGGTATTTGGTAGATAATCCTCGTGGCATTCGCAGATTGGGCTACGAGCAACAGATGCTCCTGCTTACTCACTAAAATGTTAGAAACGGGTTGCTGGGCCGGGATATAAGTGCCACGGCCCAGAAAACGGCCCCAATATGGCTTATGTACTAGATCAGTAGTCCGAAGATATGTGGACTGCATCCTGTCCTTTTCCATCCATGCGACACGCATCACGCATCCACAAGAAATATATGTGCAAGTCATACAAGCAACATATATTTTTACACTAATTGCACAATTCAGAGGGGAAAGGTATGAGCTGATGTTCCTCCTCACATGCCGCCGTACCGGTTTCCAAACCATTCCGTATTCTAACTTTCCTCTGCCTTCAACAACCCTCAACCCACAGTTATCAACTGGTTGAACCGCCAAATCTCAGAATCCTACTCCACCAGCCTGCATAATCGTCTCAAATCGTCGGGTATTCCAGTTCCCGGTGCTAATGACGGTTTCTTCGATCTGACCAAGCCCAGGGTGCCTTTCGACGGTGGCGCTAATAGCGTACCTGCACTGAAACCGACCTTTACGGCCGCACCCTTCCCTCCTCTCTCCGGTAGCATTACTGTTGGTTAACTTTTTCAGCCATTATATCACCACGAACTGCTTGCTGTGTATCCGGCGTAGAATATAAGGTAGAAAGCGGGAATTTTAAGAGAAGTGCATCTCATGTCCATAATGCGCTGCATACCATACAACCCACTGTTCGACGAGTCGTCAACTTCACCCCACCGGTTAAGAAAGTAGGAAATTGAATAGGGATTGGTTCGACATAGCTCATAGCTGCGGCTACGCGTTTTCTTAAATCGACATTATTTCTGCTAACTTTCGTTCTCCATTTGTACTGTGATCCCGCTGGTGTCGCCTCCCCTTCCCCATGTTAGGCATTTCACAAAAAATCACTTCGTTTAATTATGGTTCCTTATCAGGCCCTTATTTAGAGCATTCACGTACGTACTCATATTTCTAAGGGGCAAGTCCTTATTAGTCTGTTTTAATTGTTACACATCTCACATTAAGACTGGAACGTTAAGATTGGAACGCTTTATTTCCCTACACAAATTTGAGTCAGGTTCACACACACCGGACTCTTTTCCTACCCCTCCATTTTTACATACAGGATTTTCCACCTTAGTGGGCTGCGACCGAAAAATCTCAAATGAGCTCCAAGTAAATCTTTTCTTAGTGGTTTTATCCCTGTTTATAGGAGTATATGTTCTACCATTTACTTCCTTGACCTCGCTAATCCCACCAGTGACTTCCCTTACGGCTCTGACGAGCACTGCTGGTGAGGGTCTGTTATCGGCTGGTAAGGGACAAACGACAAATTGTCGATCCCCATCGGTGCCTTCTTGTTCCTCAGGATCCGCAGCACCGCAGACCAATGCTGGGCTCGTGCTAGTGGCTGCCGGCGAGAGCTCCCTTTCTCGGCCACCGGTTCTCTTGTCAACTACCGACAAGTCTCAGGTAAGTGCCGGACGCACATATTGCTACTTATTATATTTTAAGTAGAAACAAATGAAGTCGTTAATTGCGGGACTTTGGGGGTGCGTACCTGTGGTCCACTTGCGGGGGCTAAGCAATTGCATTTAACGTTTTTTTTCGATGGAGCCTCCTCCGGCCTACTTCCTCTCATGAGCTCCTTTTTTAATTTGTGCTTTTTACAAGGCCTCTGCTGCTCACACCACCACTTCCCCGAGAGAGTTCTCAACCGCTGCTCCTGATGCTCGCAAGCCGTCCAGTCGACCTTCGCAGGGAGCGACTTCGGATTTCAAGTTTGTGTCCTCCTACCCGCTTCCTCCAAAGCCAAGGACATTAGGCTACGGAGGTACGAGTTACTCAGCCTGGGCACGTTTCTATTTCAGAAATCGTTTTTTGTTTCGTTAAAGTTCCCTCTGAAGGATTGACTTTATGGACATAGAGTATGGACCAGAACTCCCCAAAACTGTTCTGTGTACTTAAATATACTAGTCAGTGGGGAACTAATACGCAGGAAGGGCTGTAATATTATGAGACGGAAACATAATGTTTTGTTTCTTTCATAAATCACGAGGTACAAGTGTTGAGTTCACTATCTCGATAACCCAAGTAGAGCACATTTCCAAGTAATTTTCATTGCATCCATCGATTTTTGACCCTCATGCATTTTAGATATTTGTCCCTTAAAAGATTAGGGAGAAGAACATTTCTCAGGCAGTTTCCTATGGGCTTCCGCTTTCTCGAAATCCAGCATTTTTCAACAAGTTGCTTAATTTGTCCATTTTTAAAGCATGGCCTCCGTGTTCCCTGAAAACGGTATCTTATCACCTTCGTAGTGCATTTGGGAGACAGACGTCATGCCGAAGGGTTATCGAATATTAAACCACGTATATTTGAGAGGACGCTTCAAATCCGCAAACCAGTTTTTCAAATCAAGTTATTTTACGCACGGAACATAACAAGACAACGTAATTTTCTATGAAACCAGTAGAGTAGGCACCTGTCAGGCTGCGCAAGTTTCAAAGCTGCACGAGTCTTCTCTTTTCCCTTAATCTGTTCTAAAAATGCTCTAGTTATTTAAGGTGAGTACCATTGATTTATTCTCCATGAAAGAGAACTGACACCAAAGAAACACGGCAAAGGACTAGGGGAAATACGCTTTTGCTTGTCTGTGATTTTCTGCGAGCGATATCTGCAAAAGCTTCTGGAGGCGGTTTTCAATAAAAGGCCGACACGCCGTTTGGAGATTATTTTCTACGCTTATAATTTTTGTGAGCCGGTCAGGCAATTTTAAATATTTAGAGGAATACCTAAAATCTTGACTGTTTCAGCCACCTTTCGCTCACTGTATGTTCGGAGCCTAATTGTCTTTTCTCATCCCCTACTCAGATTTGCCCGGTTTCGATAGACGCGCAGCGTCGGGTCTTGAAAGCCAGTCAGTGTCTTGTGATGAGAAACAACACCAGTCATTAACCTCCTCATTCTTCCCCCAGACCAACACGGCTAGGTGACTGGGGTGCGGTGGCTGATCAACTGACGCAGTTACGTTCCAATTACTGCCTTTTTTACTTTCCACCTGAACCTTCCAAAAGCCCTTCTGGCCATTCTGAAAGCCTGCTCAGACTTCCCTCCACTTGACATCTTGTTCGCAACTCGAATAAGAAGAAGAAGAAGGGAACCTACCAGACGCACAGTCCCTGCAAACCCAACCTGGTTTCGTTCCATTGATTTTTCTCCACATCTGACTAATCTCATTTCTGACTGTATCTGCAGTCTGGTCTTTGGTTTGCTCTGACTTCGGTTGTTCAGACGATTTCTTTAGGTCTTAACAAACAGTTGTCTCCTTCGGTAAGTGCCTTCGTTAGTCGTCACCTCAGCAGGTTTCATTGTAAGTTTGTCTTCAGAGTGGGGCCAAACAACGCTTGGCTTAAGTCCTGGTACTATGTTGTGACTTCTGAATCGAACCATTTAATATTCGTCCCTTAAGTACCTCGCATGATGGGCAAAACCGTATTCACTGAAAAATGTTGCCCATTTGGTAGGCAGGTGAGATATTTCCCTCTTCTAGACCGCACTGATATGTGGACAGGCGTTCTCGTGGATGCAGAAGTTGGAGAAGTTCTTGGTTGATTTTTTGTAACCACCATTGGGGTCGAATTTTCCACTAACCAGATATCAGGACTAGGAATGGGCGATAATTTTCTATACAAGAGGGTATTCGGGGATAATTTTAGCTGAATGAGGCAGAAAGGTCCACCGGCAAGCTGAAGACGAATAGTGAGATTCCAAAACCCGTCCACGTATATTAGGAACGCCTCGGAGGCTGTCTTTGGCGGCATTACAATCGCTGAAGGGGCAGAAGTGTGCGGTCGCTAGGACCTCCAACTCAAGAACTTACGAGAAAGATTGGAGTTTGCAGGCACAGGCCTGTTGTACCCAGCTGGCTATCGTAAGGGATTGTCAAGCCCAGATGCGAGTCAGTGCTCATCTCGTTGAGGACCACGCACACTCGACATCTAACAAAAACGAGGGGAATACCATAGAAGTCTCTAATCCGGGTGAAGGCCACTGGAAATTCACAGTAGGGGCTATACAAACCCGAGACCCCCGAAGTGCCCGAAGGGAATGTCATTAGCAAGGCCAAGGACTTCTCGCAGCGAGGACAACGGTTTTCCTACATCCAAGTAAGGACCCAGATAGTTTGTTGGCTTTGATGGCTATGTCGCGGGACACTCCCATGAGGTGCCCCAGATGCGTCGCCTCTGTAAGGCCACTGAAGCTCGTCCAAACGTGTCCGCTCTCCCACACCCCATCGCATGTTCGACGATCGTCTAGCCGGTCAGCTTATTGAGGGCTCAAGAATTCCGCAATCGGCGTAGCGCCTACGTGCATCTGGGTTATGCGAACAAAACGATCGACGCATCTTGTAGTCAGCCGCATGCGCGTTTAAAGGTGATGCTTCACCAATCTGATTGTGGAAGGAAAGTACTCGGTCCGCACTAGTCCCAGCGGTCATTCCCATGGCAATAGGCAACCACTAAAGTAAGGATATCAGCAAACATGAGGGAGACTGGGGATGGACACCCTTCGATTATGTTGTCGTCAGGGCGCTTTGACTCAATCGAGTGTAAAGAAATCCTTGAGGTGGGGCCTGGACGCAGCTGGCCATCATGATTTGAGTGAAACGACCTACCACTCGAGATAATGACTTAAGTCATTTCGGCTCGGACCGCTACGAGGCGACAGGCAGTCAGCACGGCATTAACATCCAGGTAAAAAACGGACGAGTACACTCCGGCAAACATAGTCAAGTGTCACTCCCGCTTGGCTGGACATTCCCGATCGTAGTTGAGGGCGTGAGCCTACAGTTAAACAGATAAGACATTCGACTCGAATGCACGATGATCAACCGGTTTGGGGTTAAATGTCCGGTCCTCACGGCCTAGCACGTTGTTAACTGACAAACGATACGGAAGTCCCGGCACCTCTGACTTGCTGCCCATACCGCTTAGCGGAGAAGAGACGAAAAAGAAGAGCGGAGGATTTGTGCTGCCAAAAACAAGAACGGTGTTCGTTTTTTCACTTTCACCGATAGGCTGTTTTTGGTGCTGAGGACCATCCGTCGCACGCGGCGTAACCTTCGAAAAAAAAACTGCTGGTGTTCGCGTTGCGGCTCAAGTCAAAATAATTTTCTGTGAACGAATACGTTACTGGCAACGTCCCAGTAACATGTCTATTTAACAGGAATATTGCCTGTGCCGTCTTCAGTAGGGTCATTAAGGGCAGTGCCCACTCTCCAAAATATACTGCTATATTAGATGTCGATATGTACAAGATCTTAAAAGTTCCACAAGCCTTCCGGCTTTGAGAATTCCACCACATTTGTCGGCAGCAAACATGGAAATGCACTGATACGCAACTGATCCGAGGCCTAGGCTACTCTAAATGTTCAGCCAGAAACACGGTGCATATTGTGTCCCTCCTCACTGCAGTTGTACTACGATAGATCGACAATAAATATGCCAATACCTCCACCCTTGCTGACAGATCGCTTCTAATTGCCCATAACAGAGCAAGGCGAAATGCGCCGTCCTGCAATCTCACATGGTATTGATAAGTACGTCTTCCAACGCAATAGCTACTATCTTTTGATCGGACTACGGGATGGCTGTAAGCAGTTAGTGACCCGCAAAATCCAGACGCAAAAGCCACCGGACGCGAACTTTGTCAGTTTCGGCCCAAACAGAAAAGATGCTTGGTTCGAGGATTTGGCTCACCAACATACCCATATCCAGCTCAGCATCGTTATTCGGATCAAGATCTAACTATGCCAAAACAAGGGCCAAGAAGCAGAAGAATTGTGCCCACCCACAGCAACGCCTTTGCGACTCGGCAAACGTATCCATGTCTTTCAGCATAGACACCAGAACGGAGGGGAATAGTCAGCCCGGCCACGCAAACAACATATCGGGGCGTGTGAAGCAAACAAGGCAGACGGGTAGCAAGAGGCCCTTCGACATTTTTAAACTTCATTGTTTTTTTATCGGCACATATCGTCAAAAAGGATCATCTAGAGGAGAAGTGGAGCGTGCTCAAAATTTTTCGTTGCCACCTTGCCTTGGAGAGCGTGGAAGGGAGAAATCCATGGAATACAGAGGCAGGGAGGCCCTAATTTCTGACCGGCTCATCCACATACTCGCACATGCCGTCATCCCATCGGACGAGAAGGGTGGCAAATGGAGCTCACTGAGCGCAGTGCAGACGTTTACGTGAACGGAATGGAATGTAAGGAGAGTATGTGTGAGAGAACGAGAGGGAGGCGGCAAGAGGGGTAAATGCTGAGCGTAGAGCGAAAAAAAACAAAGTTTCTCATCAGGTGTTCAGTGCTTCACAGGAATGACGGGGGGGGGGAGGGGTGGAAACCATCCTCACAGCAGCCACAGCACTAAGATAAACGAGGTGGATATTCAGGAAAATCAGCGATGAAAAGCCTTATATACAAACTGACCTATGTTCGAGACGTCAGCACCCAAACATGAACTGTCACGAATGGAAGGGGGGGGGGGGAGGCCTTTGTACCATAAACAGACAGGACGCAGAATCAAGAAAGACTGGTGTATGCGTTGGGGGAAAGGCACACGCACACAAGCGGAAGGGTAGTATCAACAAGACAGGCAATGCGGGCTACTTAAATGTACACCCATACAGTTCAAGCCCACGGACGGCGGAGTCGGGCTGATTACACTAATCACAATTAGTCCACTTCGGATTCCGTGTTGTCAGTGGTAGACAACTCAAGGACGGCCTGCCCAATCTCCAAGCCACCGTCTTCGCTCCTCGCAGTAGGACCGCTAATTTGTAGATCGTCGAAAGCACTGGAAGAAGTCGGCGGTGTAGGGGTGGGTGGTTCATTATCAAAGTGGAGGGCATTAAGTGCCGAAGGGCTAGCGAGTGGATCGGCGAGGTTGTTGGATTGAGTAATGTTATTTGATGGCGCCTGGTAGATTCGGCTTGCCAAGGGCCAACGATAGATGTAGGAATTGCCCTGTTCTGAGAAGAAATGTGGGTCCCACTTCTCATTGGCCTCCTGGCGGGCAGCTGCCTCCCGGCGTTGGCGTTGTTCCAGACGCGTTTTGGCGTCTGTAGCGGCATCAATATTGCCCACCTTCAAATTGTGGGTCACCTCCTCCCAGAGCCTGGAAATAGACGAGTTATAGTTAGCGTGAGCCGTAAACGAGGCAAGCGGCCCAGTAAACAACAATCTGCCACAGACCCTCGAGATCGTTTCAAGATTATGACGGTCTCAGTTCTATCTTTCATCCTTCCTGGTTACCTAACTGCCTGGATAACAGAGAAGGTGCTTTTGAAGGAGAGTCGAAATACCACTAGACTCCAGGCTCACAGATGTCGACTACGCCCAAGGATATCGCTCCTTCGTTATGAGAATGCAGTAACCTGAGGAGAGCCAAGCCTGTACCAGTATGGACGAGGTTGGCAATTCTGTTGACTTGACATTCGAGATCACGAGGAGGCAAAATTTAAAAAATGGCTACAGCAGTCTGAGAGGGACCGAGATATAATCTCCGTTGTCAACCTTTCAGGACATGATTTCTTGGCAACGTGATATACAGAACAGGCACTTGATTGCTAACAGTAATAAAACTAAGCTTTAAATCAAATTGAGATGTCCTCTCTCATGTGCCAATGGCTTTTCCTGGTCTGTCGGCTAACTCGCAATGAGATTAGATGCAAGGCCTGAAGCAGTGGGAGCCTCCATTTAATGTGCCATATGCGCGTACTGCTATGACCAAGCACTCTGAGTCGGAACAGACACCCAACAAATTATGTGGCTTAGGACGAAAAACGACCAAGGTGCCATGAAAGCATTGGTCTGACGCCTTAAGGAGAGACAGGATTTCATAGGCAAAGGCGTTTTAAAGCACCCCAGATGAGCAATGGGCTTGACAATCGCGCTACCTTATTGTTAGCTAAAAACTCATCTCTGAAGTCTGCAGCTGGAGCGGACGTCGCCGTGATGCCTCCTTTCGCCCCTCTGGTCGTGGTGATTCGTTAGGAGCCGGCACTCGTACCGTTTTAATCTCGTTTGCAACGCGCGACTGCTCTTATGTTCATCCATATGGGCAGTGAGTGATGACTGCCGTGTTTTCGCTTGTTCGTGCTTCTAAAACGGGGGCACTCGGAAGATGCGCCGGACCAAAGTGGGGCTAGATCGGAGTCTGGCAGGCGTTGTCGAGAAGGCGGACCATAACAAAAGACAATATTAGGGCGTGGTAGCAGGACCAATTGAAGGCTCACGCAGCGCCAACTGGGACCGGTGCCGCCCCAGTTCTTGCCGTTATGGTTGTTGAAAACCCTAGTCAAATGTTTGTTGAGAACCAAGGGATGTGGTGGTACGACTAGGTGCCGATTTGCACCACGCCAGGCACCACCGGCATCTCCCACCTCCGGTCTTCTTGACTGGGTCTTGACACCGAGTCTACGTGGGTGAGAGGAGGGTGGCAGATGCAGCACAAGTCCACCGCCACTATAAATGAAATCACGCGCATGTCACCGTCCCGGCTCTCACCCCGTTATGAAGCACACGGAGGATATCGTCGGCCACGATGGTCAAACTGTCGTTTTCCCTGGATACGAGTTCTGGTCTGTCTATATTAGTGTCTGGATCGGCGTTTGGCATTTACTCCCATCCCCTTGGACGTCACGTCGAGGAACATTTCTTACAACACGCTAGTTTACGAAGGTAAGCGATCGAAATCCGTAAAAGTTTGCGCAACAACGAAATGGCCGGCTTGCCTACATCTGTGGGTTTGAGACAGCAGTGTGGGGTCTACTAGATAGGGCGTTCGGTGTAGCATATGTGAAACATGAGCCGACCCATTAACCTCCAGTTCGGCCCAATCAGTCGCACAGGCCATCAGTAACATCAAACCAACGGCCCATCTACTAGCAAAGCACCCATCGTCACTGTCAATGACGTCGTCGTCGTCGTGAGAATCATCATCGCTGTCAGTAAAATCATGGTCAGATCGGGTACCACTCAAAAAAGATAGCGTAACGTACTTTCGTGATTCGTTTACAGCCTGAATCTCTCGAGGGCGGAGGCGTTTCATCATGATTGGCATGGCTTTCGTGTCGATGAACAGTTCAGATTTCTAAAAAAAGACAGTATATCTTTCAATTAAGTGACTAAAAGCTCTTTTGACTAGGCTTAAGGCAGACTACTGCAGGTAGGGTTTTAACAGGACAGGGGTCCGCATAAACCTAACATTTGACCAGAACGTTAAGGCAGCAACTGGACATGATAAACAATTGCAAGCCGTAAATGAGCAAAAAATTCAGCTTCTAGAAGCATGTGCATGTATGTCACTACTAGGAGTACACGACGACTGGTTCGCGAAATTTGCTGTTCAACCAAGTTATCCTTCATCTTTGCCCCAGCAACTCGGACTATGTGATAGTAAACACTCCTGTGACCGTTAAATAAATTAGGCGAAGTACGCGCAAGGTACATCAGAAAAGTTACAGAATCCAGACACCTCACCGTTAGCACCTGCCTTGGAAAACCAAATTTCTTGAGAAAAATCACCAAGGAAAGGCCGCTTGCGTAAACACTTCCATTTTAAAGCTGTGCCTAGTCATCCTCAAACGACTGCGTGAAATTAGAAGACAGACACTTTGTCGACAGAGCAACATAGCTGACAAAAGCAGGGAAGGCTGAGATGACCATTCCTGGTTTACTTATGGTCATAAGACAGGAGTACTCTAATCCCAGGCTGGAAAGGCCTGATGCTTGAGGCCGGACGTGGATGCTTTACCAGTTGGACCATGGACTAATGCCCTGTCCAGCGTTGTAGGATATGTAGAGGGGCACGGGATTGGGTGTGCGCCGATGTACTCTGATTCGTGGACAGATAGGTTTTTCGTTGTGGATTGCACGTTCAGTCTAAGCCTCGCAGGCGACTAAAGTTTAGGGACAGTGCCAATAAAAATAATGGGGCCGGATGTTTATTTCTGGCTTTGGCTACTTTCCCGCTAACGATTTCAGCATCGTACTTCGGCTTACTTTACATGCAAGGCCCACATTGCGCTTACACGTGGGATGAGAACAGCGTAACCGACCCCTACCTCAAATTTATACAAGTCTCAAAACTCGATAGGAAATATGCACAATACCAAGGGAGTTATATTTCGCGATTGAGGTGTTTGAGGTTGGTTGACAGACCGTCAATTAAAACCTGACATGAAATTGCAGGCTAATCAATCTGGACCATCGGCACGGCTTGAGTTCGGCCAACGCTCTAACTACCCGAGCTACGAGGCCCAAGCGGGATCCGCGAGTTTAATCACATCTAGGTCAAGTTCGAATCCCAGCGACGATGTCGAGTTCGTCACAATTGGTCAAACGAATTATTCAAAATCTGCCAAACATCTATTAATTACGTAAGCCTGGTAGTCATCTGGCAGATTCTAGATTGCTGCTTTTTAATTTCCTCAGAAATTAACTGCGAACCTGGAGTAGATCAGTATACTCTAGGTCTATAGGTTCAGACCTAAATTCTTATGTACGAATATTTGGGTCGAAGACCATCAGCCACAGCGGGTAATCGCGTAATATTCATTAACTGCCGATAAGCAGCTAGTAGTATAGTTTAGGGTAAGGGGATTCCATACTAACAGCACAGGTACTAGCTGTATTAGCACGATTGTAATAGATTGATTACGTAGGAAATCCTACTTGGACAGTCAGTTTACTGTATCAGATTCGGTGGAGTCCATACGTTGCAGTAGACTGAGCGGGTAACTTGACCCAAATGTGATTAAACTCACAGCTCCCGGTGGGGCCTCGTAGCTCGGGTAGTTAGAGCGTTGGCTGCACTCAAGCCCTGCCAGTGCTGTTGTGCGTTCGAGTCCCAGCAAGGCCGCTAAGTTTTTCACAATCGGGACAAGTCGATTAAGCGTTTTCATTTCTTTACGAGATTCAATACAAAACTGTACACAGTGACATTCGATCAAAATGTTCAAGTAAGACTAGGAAATATGACCTAAAAGTTTTGCCAGTCTCCTCGTGTTAAATGGTAAACGAAGCTGAGCACCGTGAGGACAGGAGTGATAGCAGAGGTGCAGTGGCATGATCTCACGTCGTAGCCGTACTTGTTAGGGGTTAAGAGTGGGCGTTAGAGGTCAGGGTTAGGGGTCAGGCTGGGGCTTGCCTACTGCAGGTACGGCTACGAAATGAGATGCAGTTAACTTCATAGACAGAGAAGATGCATTTGGCTGGCTTTCTCTACCTTTTCCATAATTCCGAGGGAAGGGTAGGTCAAGGTAGCTGGCAATGTGTTCGGTCATAATGGCCGATTTGTCCAGTCCCTGCGTGCCACAGAGCGGATGTTCACTTGTAGCGTAGGACACAGGAATTTGAATCCCCAGTACTACAGGTGGCTTCGCGCTAAATTCCAGAGGGTAGTATATTCTCGTGTCTCAACTTTAGCCTTAGCACTTATCCTTACCCACATAGCCCTAACACTAACTCTCATAACCATAACCTCTCTAACTATAAGTAGAACTCCGACTCCCCCCCTGGAGCTTAGGACAAGGCCACCCTCAACACAGGTGGGGTGTCAATATTCTAGTCCCGAATTCCGCCAGCAGAAGTCGAGTATTCTGGACATTTCGTGAGGTCGGTCACTGACTGTAGCTACAGATGAAACCCGAACGCTTGGGTGAGGGGCTTAGCGTAGAATGGTCACTGCGTAAGGTTGGTGCAGAGAAAAGTTGGAATACACAAAGGAGGAGGATAACAAAGTCGAGGAAGGTGAGGGCGGGGGGTATGTGAAAACTCATGGGCTATGCATGCGGGATGAGAAAAGCCATGGGTACAATGTAAACACGAAAATGCATACACAGGTCTCGAAAAATCCCTAAATTTTAATTCAGCTTTTAAACCACCCCAATTCGCTCTTTTCATATAGTGATTTCCAAAAAATGACCCGCCAGTCAGCTGGTTACTAATCATGGAGGGACACGGGGATAGGGGCCTCTCAGGCACTGCCCAAACACAAACCATAATCCAAACTTCAACCCATAATCTTAACTCCAACGCCATTAACCCTAATCTCCCAGGGAATTAGCGTAAGGTCCCCCAGAATGGGAGATTAGTTCCTATTTCAGTGTCTCGTCTTTAACAGTAAATAGGAGAAAAAACTAATTTCAAATAAGTAAAGCAAAACGGTGTAAATGGAGATATCAAAGAGCAAAGGCCGGTCCGAACCAAGTACATGGGAAGGAGGAAGACAGGAGACCAAGCGAAAAAAGCTCTTGTCCCAGTGAGCGAGTCTACTTCGTCACAGCCACCACCTGGAAATCGTCTTCCAACATGAATTGACAAAGCATTAGCCAATTTTTTGAGATCAGTGGCAAAAAGAAGTTGAAACACACTGGGGTCCGTGAACTGATTTCAGGTCACATTGCAATTATGTGGGGAAGAGGTAACATGATTTGTCACCTGACTTGAGTTATTGAATGTTTTACTTCTCTAAAGCGAACTCGCGGCATACTTGAAACACTTCAAAAGGGTTTTCGCATCACTCAATGCACATTCACACTGTAACCTACAGCTATCAGCCTAAATACGTAGAAAAAGGTAAGAATCGGAAAGGAAACTAAGATAGTTTTGCACATTAGCAAAGGCTTACTGATTACCGAACGAGGCGGCGTATGAGATGCCAGAAGGTCATATACACTTAATCAGAGTCATCATTTGCTAGAGCAAATCAGTGTGCACAGGCACAGAGTAGGCAGGGCTAATAAAACATTTATCCAAATCAAGTCTGAACCACTCACTGGAGAGGATATTCTGCATATCAACATGTCTTTCGATCGGTTGTTTTGCGACAAAACACGGTTTTCGCTACTTTCATACGTGGCTAAGTGAGGAGTAAATATGTACTGAAAGGTTGCGTCAGACCCAAACGGGAGTCAAAGAAGAGTGTGACATGCGAGGAGTTGGTAACTGCGCGACATCAGCTACTGAGTTCGGTCTCCAGTCCATTTGACTACACAAGTTCCGTCTTATAAGGAAAAAAGATGCAGCGACGAACAGCGGTGTCTGTGGCCTTTCCTTGTGATAAGAAATGCAACGGGAGTATGATTCATTACAGCGTCCCAAAATGGTGGCTTGGAAGATTAGCAGGACAGGACCGGGAACCAGGTTGAAATGACTTTAATGTGAGATATGATTCAGTGAAATTGCGTTAATGTGGAATAAGGCACCAGTACGTGTGACAAACGAAAGTGGGATGGTGCCTGTCCGGTTATTGCGCCTAAATCCCCCCTCAATCGTTCGGACCTAGTCCGGTTAGGGATGTGGAAGGACAAAGGGAAGTGGATGGTGAGTAAGTCTATCTCACTATAACACAGTTCGAGCGAAAGTCGGGGTCAACGCCCTGGGTCGTGGCGGCCAGCGTAGAACATGACGGACGAACTGTGGCCTGACGAGTGAAGCGAATATTGTACAAAAACTGCTTGCGTAAGAGTGCGGAAGTCGGACTTTTAGCGATAGGCAGTGGGCTGACTGCCACAACGAAGAGAGATAGTTTCAGAATCAAAGGAACAACATACCCCCTCGGCCCATCGAGCCCACATTTTGCCGTTCCATTCGCCATCGACTGTGAGCATGGGTCTCTTTTCACCGGGTGCAAACACCTCAGCACGTATTTGGTCCTTCTTGCCGCCATAAAAGGGCTTTGTGCGGAAGTCCACAGTCGCGGAGAAACCAGTCCGGGGACAGTCTATCGTGCAGCGTCCGCCCAATTCGACCCAGGGTATGGACAGGATGTTTCTAAACATTAAGGAGGAAGGGGAGAATAGGCAGGGTCACAAAGTCATCTCCGGAGACGGTTTCCAGGCGCTGTAAGATAGAGGAGTTTTGTGACAATTTTCCAGTGTATCAGAGATTTTGCCAAGCCTTAAGCCTCCGGCAACCATGCGGCAGAGAGCAATGGAAGTGCTGAACAAGACGTCCTCCAATAGGAAAGGTCAATAAAGTCTTGCAGCGTGGCAAAGCCGCTCTGAATAATTTTGTGAGAAATCGGAAGTAGCGTAATAAGCCAGGCTCTCGGAAAGTTTTACTTCAATGTCATTCTGCACTCAGGAAGTGCGACGGAGGTTTCTCATCCCACTTAACTGCAGTAGACGGGCAAACCAGAGAAACGTGATGACAGAAATACAAAGACCACTTGGGAGTAGTTTAAATGTCGCGGACATTATTTCTTAGCCTGACTGAACAGTGCAAATGATATTTTTTTAAAGAAAAATACCCTCCGGGGTCGTTTTATCAGGGAAAAACAGCATAAGCAGCCTGCAGTCGAATCATAGTGAGTTTCTACGCATATACGCACCGTTGAACAAGTCCATGTTCATGTTCTAACCTTAGTCCTAACTTTCCTAACCCTAGCCATGAAGTTAACCCTAATCCTAACCCATATGACCCTAACCTTGGCCCTTCCGGAATTAGGGGCACGGCCACTTGCGATAAAGATAGCCCATCTTTCGGTGTCCAACACATGCTTGTAAGGCCATATTTCCCCCGAAAATGGCAGAAAGCCATTGATCTTCAAAAGACTGAAATGCAAAAACTGCCATTTTAAGGTGTTAGCAGGTAATCGCTTTGGCTACCAAAACGTCACCACTCAGGCTTTAACAAAGATGCTAGGGTGCAGCACCAAAATATCGCTGGCGTACTGCTTGTGGGGATTATTTTTCTACAGCATATTTTTTGACAAATAAAAACGGTACTACATGAGTTCTCTGTGTTATATGCTTGGTGACCAATCACAGGAAATGTTAACCGAAATTCTGAAGTGCGCTTTTGATTGGACAGAGTTACTTAGGCAGGATTGAAATATTGACTATCGAGCAGCATAATACTTGGGTATTTTAGTCACGTAATGATACCGGTCTTTGAATGCGTTTCCCTTCGGCTGTTTGCAAAAACTACGCTCAGTAAAAAGTGACTGCTTAAGCGGTATATTTTTCCATTGATTTTCGATGCACTTATAAATTCAGATAAATTTTACAGAAAACAAACAGAAGACATCCCTCCCCATACCGATTTTGGAGCAAATCTCGTATTGTTAAAATTTCATACACGGAGAAAATGTATCAATCGGTTTTAAAAAATCATTACAATTAAAAGATTTTTAAGGTCGCGAAACGTCCATCCAAACAGCACCGTATCTATCCGTTTTCCAATACCCCCCTCTTATGAAGTAAGCAACATGGTCCACATGTATTGCAAAATTTAATGAGCCCCATGTGATATCTGCTTGATTGCACAGAAGAATGCATGATTCCACTTGCATGATTGCAGACTTTGGGCATTAAATGTAAATGCGGCTGCAGGTGGGACTCAAAATTATTTTGGAATTGAAATGCTTTTTTAAGACAAAAAGTACAATGAAGTGGTTAACTACAAAATGAGCATAACGAAGGTTATTTTTTACATTCATCCTGTAAAATAGACTTGAATTTGTAGGGGCATTGAAAATTGATGGGGAGCATGCACACCACCTAACTAGCCACTGTTAGCTAGTGCGATTTTGCAGGCGGCCAGAAAGAAGCGTATTCAAAAGTCGGCATCCTAGAGCGATTGGAATATCATGGGGCTCTGCTGAACGACAAGCAATACTACAACCCAACTTAATTAATCCTTCCTAATCGAGAATGCATTTCAGAATTTCAGTTAACAACTTCGCCAGACACACGGATCACCAAGACAGAGCTCCGTTCGCAGGAGGCCACAAGGTAAATGACCCCTCAGGGAATTCCAAAATTGATCTGTTGTATTTGTTCTTAGCTTGTTATTGCTTGCTTGCCTTTGCTTGTCTGTGTTTGTCCGTGTTGTAAGCTAAATAGCGTTCTGTTGAATTTTTCTGCCCACCGTTTATATTTCAACAACCAGTTGGCTTAGAGAGGGGACGGAAAACTCTGCTTGCCGTCTTTCTACCCTTCGCCCACCCCCACCCCTTCAACAGTCCTACTGTGAGAGCGACAACGATGACGTAGGCGGACGGGCAAACGCGGGTCGCTCTCCCGATAAACAAAAATCGTGGTCTATCGTGAAGTTCGGCAGCCGGCTGAGCTGCTCTATTTAGGGACAGCACTGATCACCTCCGCGAGGGGCAGGAAAAGGTTCCCTACACAAATGCTGCGACCACGCCCTCTGTGCGCTGACCGTGGATCGCAGACGCAAAAACACACGGTCGGAAAAATTACACAAGAAACAATTCTCTCTTCCCCCTCTCGCACCGCCCCTCCACACCGACACACCCCACAGGCTGGTAGGGGGGGTCCGCCGACTCTGGCAACCTGGAATGTTCGTCCCCTTTTAGACGATCCGAGGAGCAACCGACCCGAACGGAGGACGGCGGGTTACAAGGTGGACATCGCCGCATTCAGCGTGGCCCAGTTCTTCAAACAAGGCTAATTAGAGGTGGGTGCTGGCTATATCTTCCGGAGCGGTCGCCCCAAGACAGAGAGATGGGACGCGGGCTTTGCATTTGCCATAAGAAATGATATCGTCGGACGACTGACCTGTCCGCCGCATGGCATCAACAATCGCCTGGTGAGCCTCTGCTTGTCTTTCCGGGGAGGCAAATCCGCCACCAAATTCTACGAGGACCTGAAGGACATCCTGCCGACTGTACCGAAGGCGGGTAAGTTGATTGCCCCCGGTGAATTCAATGCCCGCGTCGGCACAGCCCATACTACATGGAGAGGTGTGCTGGGTCCCCATGGTCTCAACGGCTCCAATGAAAATGGTCTACTTATCCTACCAACCTGCGCAGAACACTGTTTCATCTTGACCAACACCTTCCGCCTTACGAAGCGACAGAAGGCCAGGTGGATGAACTCTCGGGCGCGGCACTGGTACCTGCTGGACTATTTCCTCGTCCGGAGGCGAGACAAGCGGGATGTGCTGGTGACAAAGGTGATCATGGGTGCCGACGGGTGGACCGACAATCGTCTCGTCTAAAACCTCGCAGAAGACCTCAAGGTAAGCGACCACCAGAAAAGCTGAATATTGTGCTGTTGTTGTTGCTTGCTCACCATCCCCACGTCAGCAATGAATCAGCACAAAGGGTAGCCAATCTTCCAGTCGCCGCCGCCGCTGCCATCGAGAACGCCTCCGTTGAGAACCAATGGTGCCAAATCCGGGACACAGTCCAGTCGACGGCCCTGGCTGTCCGCGGTCGCGCACGTCGCCGACACCGTTATCAGCAACCTGCTCGCCGAGAAGAACCGCCTGCACAAAGCCTACGTCAACCGTCCCACCGACGACAACAAAGCAGCCTTCTACCGTAATCGCCGCCTTGTGCAACAGCTGCTGTGAGAGATGCAGGACGTCTGAGTGGCCCGCAAAGCCGAGGAGATACAAGGGTGCGCGGACCGCAACGAATGGAAGAATTTCTTCTCCGCTATCAAGAAAGTCTCCGGTCTGCCAACCCAAGGAATAGCTCCTCTTCTCAGCACTGAAGGAAGTACCCTATCACCGAGAAGACACAAATCCTACAGCGTAGGTCGAGCACTTCAGAGGCCTTCTCAACCGTCCCTCCACCACCTTCGACGCCGCCATCGTCCGTCTGCCTCAAGTGGAGACCAACGCCGACCTCGACCTTCTGCCCTCCCTACACGAAACCATCAAGGCCGAGCAGCAGCTTTCCAGAGGGAAAGCGACCGGTGAAGACGCGAGCCCTGCTGAGATCTACAAGCGCTGTGGCCTCCAAATCATGGATCATCTGATGTGACGTCAAGGAGAAGTCCCTCAGAACCCTGCACCTTCACAAGCGGGAAGGTAATCATAAGCCCTGTAAAAATCACCAAGGCATTTCCCTGCTAAACATCGCCGGGAAGATATTCGTTCGCATCCTTCTCAACCGTCTAAAGCACCATCAGGAGCAAGGTCGCTTACCGGAAAGCCAGTGCGGCTTCCGTCGTCATTGTGGGACCACGGGTATGATCTTCGTCGCCCGCCAGTTGCAGGAAAAGTATCAGGAAATGCGGATCCACATCTACTCTACCTTTCTGGATTTGACGAAGACCTTCGACACGGTGAATCGTAAAGGATTGTGAAAAATCATGCAGAATTTCGGCTGTCCCGAACGATTCACTCAGATGGTGCGTCAGCTCCACGATAGCATGACAGGGCGCGCCATCACAATGGAAATGTCTTAGGGGAATTCGCAGTGACTAACGGAGTGAGGCAGGGCTGCGTCTTTGCGCCTGCTCTCTTCAGTCTCATGTTCTCTGCCATGTCGATGGACGCCTACCGTGACAAACGCCCCGGGGTCCGCATTGCCTACAGGACGGACGGCCAACTCCTCAACCACCACAGAGGATGCAGTTCCGGTCGCGTGTATCCACAACTGCCTTTAATAAACTATTCTTCGCCGATGACTGCGCGTCTGGAAGCTCTACGGTCTTCACATCAGCACCAAACTGAAGACGTACGAAGCGGTCATCCTGCCGACGTGCTGTACGGAGCTGAGATCTGGACGGTGTACAAGAAGCAAGAGCGGAGCCAATAAACTTCTTGCCTCAGCGATCACATCGTTTCCTGTCTCGCTCCACCCCATTCTTCATTCATTCTGCACAGAATTCAATGGTCAATCCACCGGGAGTCCAATCTCTATTCTCTCTGCTCGGGACTAGGCCTGCAGGCTGTAATGGTGTTAGGGTCTGTCCACGACTTAAGGCGCCGCGGTATTCCCACCACTGCATTACGGACTCACATCTAAAGCTCACACTGGCCGTTGTTGTATGACGACCAAACACCGAGAAAGGCCACCGCGCCCCGCTCCCTCGAGACTGCTTATGCCCAGCCATAGCTGACATGACGTAGGCCCGCGGTGCAATGGTGAGGACATTGCGCCATGAGCAACTGACACTACACTTTTAGGTGCGCAGTTTGGGACTCGGATATCACTGGTTGATGACAACAAAGTAGCCAGAAATGGCTACTGCAGTGTCCCTCGCAAATGACAACCCCTAGAGGCGTATCAGGAAGATGGAAGCTGCGGATAGTTTGGTTCTACGCTTCTTGCAGTAGGTTGATACAACAGGGTGGGTCAGTTCGTAAATTTCAAAATGACAGAATATCAGTGCAAGAGGCATCGATCCAGTCGCTGTTGCTGTACTAACACAAACTTCGTTTCTTCAGAGGGGAAAATCTCACACAAGTTTGAAAATTTTGATTATCGGTGTTCGAGGTTCAAACTGTATAGTTATTAACACGACTGGCCATGGTTTAACTGGCAGACTCTCAAGATCAATGACTACATGGGCCATATTCCAATCTCAGGTCTCAGTTATCACGAGCTGGCCAGAAATAATGAGAAGTCCCTGTTATCGTTGTCGCTAGAGGAGGGAGGGGGAGAATCGTTCTATCCAGAGTCACGGCTCCTGCCAAGTTAAACCGGAATATAGTCCTATGATAATCCAGAAGTCCGCTCAGACCACAGCTCGTCAGAAAAGAGTTGCGTGGTAGGATAAAGGTTCTCTGTAGTAGCTGTATTTGAGGGGTGGACATCTCCATACACCTGTAAGATACACCAATCAAGATTCCAGGATTGCAGCACCTGCCGGCAGGTAAAGTCCTTTTTGACGTCAGACAGATTTCGCACCGCCATGCAGCTAATTTGCCAAGCCAAGAGCGAAATCCGATCGTTGTCCAGTCTGAGACAGCTTATTCGTGACACTTGAGAGTCTGCTTACTTTAGCAGCCTGCACTGAAGGTCTTTTGACCATCCGTCATCTGCCGACGCTCCGCATCGACTGCAACTCCGCAAAAAGGCAGATTCTCGGTGTCCCGTCGTCCCGCCTTCCTGATTATTGATTAAAAATCGTTATGTGACCACTGGCAAAGACTGTAGACGGAATCTTCAAAAACTTAACGACCCACATTCCGCCCCCTAATCAGGCCAGATCGGTGAAAGCAGTTCCATGGGATTGGGCACTTCCAATAACAGTTGACAGAGTGAGGGCCTGCGGACAAAGCTGTAGAGCGTTAATCACCACGACTAACTTCCAGTCAAAGGTGCTCCTGGCAAACAAGTCGGAAAAGTTCGCTACTCTCTCGTGTCAGATTTTTTCGCAGTGCTTCTCGTTAGAGATAGGCTGTCAACGGTTGGCACATACCAAGCTCATCCGTCTTACGCGTCGTATTAACCCTGCTGAAGAGGTTGGCAGTTAAGGGGTTTTGAATCCCCTTTTCGCCTCTGATCGGCCCTCCTTAGTGACGGCTACAAAGCTACCATGAAACAACTGCAGACTGGTCGAGATGATGAGGTTTATTCCGAGATGCCGAGAGAACAGGTCAAAACAGTCGACACAAAATAATGACAGACATTAAAAGCTGAGGGAAGCAGGCGATTTCATCGTTGAATGGAAAGAAACTTAGATGAAAAGCGCAGTAACAGAAGTTCTATTCGCTTGTACACTACGTCGAGATATGAATTGCGACACGTTTTAAGATTTGCCCTAGAGCTTGCAGTATAACAAAAAAGAAATACTGATCAAAATCACCAAACATATAGTTGTCGGCAAAACCGAGGTGCGGAATAAGGATTCCCCCCGTACCACAGGTGGCGTGATGCTAAATTCCAGGAAGGTACCTAATCCGCATAACTTTAACTCTCCTAATCCTGACTCCTCGGAATTTAGTGCACGGCCACCTGTAGTACGGGGAGGAAGGGTCTAAATTTCCGTGTCTTATCCATGCTGTAAACTCCCCGGATTAAGTTATTGTGCATGGTCGGCAGTTAACAAAGTTAAGTGTCCCTCCCTCCAGTCGGCAACAAAAGAAATTGGCGCGTAACCAGGGATTGGAGCGGCAGACGGGTAACAGTTTTGGTTATAATTGGCGCGGACAGCGTTTCAGATATCCTCAAGCCTCCATCAATATAATTAAGAAAGTTCTACTCAAGGGCGCAGGACGGGAACAGGACTCAGAACTCACCTTCCATAAGCAGATGGAAAAGTGACTGTGTAGTCTTCATCTAAGTCGAGCAGAGACACAGTCGCGTTACCGACCATTTCCACGCCAATGCTGAGACCGAGAAATTTCGACTTGGTCCAAATATGACCGCCGACCTGTATGCGACTTGGAGGGTATTCTGCATAAAAGGCGGAGATTGGTGGATGGTGCGAGACCTGCAGATGAAAAAGAAGGAGAAATTGCAAATGTCCCACGCTATAAAAGAAGCCTTTAGAGATGTTCTTGGTGCATAAAACGCAAGAGGAAGATGACCGCTTTAGGAACGAAAATAAAAAAGGCGGCCATTCAAGCACGATTACACGGCCACTTGCTAAAATGAAACCCCCGGACTCTACCTCGTCTACTGATGAGAAAATTTTCCGACAATTCAGTAAACGTAGGGACTAATGAAATCGAACCCCTTAAACACTATCTCAAGAGAGAAGAGAGTTCGCAAATGGAGCTACACTACGTAGCAACTACGAGCAAAATCTCACGCTGACTGATATTTAATCGTATGTTTATTATCAAGGCGGAGACCTCTCGGTAACCTGTGTCCATTAAACGTAAAAAACCGCTAGTTGATTAGCGATATTTCTTCAATGCTTTACGGCGCTTCGAACAATCCAACAATACTTCTTAGAATGACTAGAAAAAAGCAATTTCTTATGTCCCATTTGCTAGTAACTGACTCGTCTAAAAATAGTGAGGAGGATTTTAGGCGATTAAGTAATGAAACTTTTGCGCGGTTTGGAGGCCTCGAAAGCTGTCAGATGTCCGAAAGTTAATACGGTCCCTTTACAAGGTATGAGGAGTAATTTAGACACTGTATAAACGGAAAGAGGTCTTTTGGCAGCAGCATGAAAAGGAACAATAAAGAGACAAAACATGCCAAGAAAGAGGCGAAAACGGAGAGTGCGCCTCAAACGATGCAGAATAAGCTTTGTTAAGGGCAACATATCATGCACTTCCAAAGATTAGATAGACACTTTAGGGTAGTAAATACAATATTGGTGCGCTATTTTCAGAAGATATGGAAGTAGATTTTGCATTTTCCTGAATAAGATACACAACAAGGGCAGATAAAGTGCTCCCACCCGTCTGAAAACTGGCATGCGATCGTGTATGTTAATGGGGAACAATGCTCCACATTAATAACGAGGGCTTATTTAAAGAGTCCTGACGGGACACCAGGAGCTTCGTCAGACAGTATGCTTCATGGGTTAGAGAAAACACTAATGATCTTATTCTGAAAGGAAACTTACCAGACTTCCTTCTGTGGCTGTCAAAGTAGAGCAACATCTCGTCCCGTTACAATGATAACTAGGCTTATTTTGTAGGATAACCACGCTCCATGTATCCCCTTTTAATATTAGAATGCATGCTCGTTCGTATAACCCCGACATGGTAAAAATGAAGAAAATGCAGCACAACGACGGTCATATCTGTAAGGGCAGTTGCAATCTTCAGTTTTTCAGAAGATAAATAATGAGTCTTACAGAACTTCATTTTGATGGAAAGCCACCCACGCTCATTACCAGCCGCATGGGATGGACATTTCACTTTGATTTCGCCAAGACCACTTTCCTGTTTCTGTTTGCATGAGCACAGCGGCCACAAGCACTGGCAGGTTTTTGCATGGCTGTTGAATGTGCAATAAGCATGGCTCGGTCGTATAAGCGGACCAATCGCCTTATCGCACACATAAACAGGGCTTTATTCTAGCTCAGCAGCCGCAGCTAAGGCCATCTCACGTTTAGACGCGGAAGTAACTTCGCCGTATTACGGGTGGCTTTGCGCCGAATTCCAGGGGGCACCTATTCTCGTGCTCCAACTTTAACACGAACACTAACACCAACCCCCTAATTCTCCACCCCTGGTATTTATCGCAAGGCAAGCTCTAACGGGGAAGGGCACTTATTCGCGCCCCCGCACCAATTTTGCCATCGAAACATAGTGGGTGCAAAAGTAGTGTAGAACATAGTGGGTAGGAAGTACCGGGGCCAACGATGCACATCTCTTTTTCTCCTGGCCACCTCCCTTGTCCCCTCTCTCTTGGACACACACGGAAGTTCGACCGTTGCGACCGAAGACGTCCACCGTATGCCCCACATCAGGTGGTGGGGGAAGGCACTGCGACTTGCGCTGCATTTACCACACTCTCTCCTCCTCCCCGACCTGAGCTCGGTGTCAAGACTGGAGATGAGGGAGGCCAATGGACACACAGAAGAATTCCCTAAAATCAGCCGTTCACACTACTCAAAGGAGTGGTAGTAGTCAAGTCGTCTTTGATGGGCAAAATATCGGATTAAAGACACACATGAGGGTGGCGTTCACTGGGAATGATTAGTGAACAAAGCAAGATGTTCGAAAAACGGCCTCGAAAGGGGACTAAAGACAAATGCGCTGCGCGCCAAATTTTCAGTGGCATACTATAAATAAGAACAAGTCTACCCGGGCTCTCTAATTCATGTCTGATACGGAAATGAGCCGAGTAGATGGACGGAAGCGAAATGTGGCATACCTGTTCAGCTAAAAACACAACACAATCATCGGCAGCGAAAGGCAGGGGACCAGAGCGGGCTAGTTCCTCGTCCGGATAGATAACGGGTACGTCCTCGGGATCTAAGGCGACACCAGAATCAGTCGACTGAGACCGCTGTTGCATGGGCCAACAGCAGCGGAAAACTTCGCCAAGGATGGGGTTGTAGGGCTTCTTGGCGACATCGGAACGTCGACTAGCATGAAAAGCGGAGAGATACCAACGCAGACAGGCAAGCATACGGTCGCAGGGAGTCGCGCCATCCGCAATGGCAATCCAGAGGTCCGGGTGGGCCAGGAAGTCAGCATACATTTCTAAGGTGGAACGCTTTTCAAGAATGAAGGTGGGCAGAGTGATACGGGTGAGATCCATGCCAATGCGAAGTTGAGAGATGAGATAGGTGATGACTGAGCCTTGCGATTGCACTGAACCCACTGAAAATAGGTAAAGGGGAAAATAAAGGGTGCAGTTGCAAGAACGACAAGATTCGGATTCAACAAAAAACCAGCAATCCAAAGGACTTTTGTTGTTCTGCAGTCTGATTAAACAGGTTATGAAAGACGAGCATCTCCGGTCACCAATTAGTTAAAAAGAGCATGAATGGGAGCTTCGACCATTATGGGTACTCAAATTCGGCTAGAACTAACATTGTGGAAACCAAAACACCGTAACGACTTAGAATGAGGCATATTTCCATAATCAGTTCACAAAATGCTGCTTAGGATTAGGTCCACCAAATTCAGCATTATAATGAAGAATTACTCGACAAATTGAATACTGAGCTCAGCAATTCAAACTGCCGTCCTCAACAACCACGATATTTTGGACGGAAAGCAGCACAGCAGAGATAACTATCGAAGATCTCTAAATACAGACATTACACAAGAACGCAACTGAGTAGTGATGCTTTTTCTTCGAGTATAAAATGCAAAGACGACGTGATTTTTTGCCAAATGAGCAGGAAAAAGCACATTTTGTACATGCTTTATACACAATATATTTGAATTTATAAGGCCATCGAAAATCAACGTAAAAAATGAATGCTACATAAGTTGTCGTTTTCTACCAAGCGCGATTTTTACATGAGGTCAAAAAGAAGTGCATTCAAAAGCCAACATTCTGGTGAGTCCGAAACATTACAGGATTATGCCGCACGATAATCAATATTGCACAACCTCACCTAAGTAATTCTTCCTGATAGAAAAAAAATACTTATGGATTTCAGCTGATATTTCATGGGATCGGTCACGCACTGTACACTTGAAAGGGTTAAGAGGCAACGGCGTGAACTGGAGACAACAATCTGCGCTGTCAATCATTTTGAAAAAATTGCCCAGTTCAACCAAACTTTTAATTCAACCCCGAGCCCCTGTTCATCCAATCTAAGGTTGCTCTTAAAATTAGAAACCCTTCATGATTTGAGGAAGAGGTTGACTTTGACAAGCTTTTGAAGTGAGAAACCTGCGAGCTTGCCATCATCGACTAAGTGCACAAAATTAACTGAAAGCGGCCGAGCGTAGAAAAATACGAAGTCTTTTTTTAGACGTCTTTTTTAGACACTTGGGTCGGCGGAGTTAGCGCAAAACTCAATGAAAGCTGTGGTCCGTATAGGTGAGTTCCAGGTGATAATTTGAGGAAGACGCCCATACCGGACTTCAAAAAACCGAGAAGACACGGCCCGACGACGAAGCCACCCAAGGGGGAAGTCACGGCTCAACCACACGCCACCGATGTGATAGTTCGCAACGTAAGCGGCCATCAGGCCAGTCAAACATCCACCAAAAGGCCAAGGCAAAGAAAGAAGAGCAAAATCAATCAACTTACGACCGACTACCTCGACCAGTCATTTAAAATCCCGGTCGACGTTTAGCGCCAAACACCTTGACAATGACGAGTCAACCAAGCTCTCCAAAAGGTCAACAACACAATAACTCTACTCCGGTGGGCTCTTTGCCTTTTTCAAGGAATGTTACGAGTACGGGTGGCTGACGGCGGCAAATAAGTCATAGGCGGTTAGCTCTGTCCCCTTGATCTTTATCGATGATACTGTAAGGTATAATTTTACAAGGGTGACCCACCTGCACGAAGTAAAGAACAGGGACATAACTACGGGGTTGGTGAGAAACTGTGATCAGTTGATAAAGGGTTCTGTCTGGAGGCTGAGTATGCATGTCGGTGAAGGCAAGCACACATATGGAATGGGAGTTGGAAGAAACCCAAGTCATAACAAGCAGACTGAATTCCAATTCGCAAATCGTAAATACACCGAACAGACTGTTAATATCAGCGGCTTTTTGGGGGCAAAGACACTGAGCTGAAACAGAAGGCACGGTTTTCGGATGACACGTTGACCTTCCACTTGCCTACTGGAACATGTGTTTATACTGCCACAGAGACCAGGATAGATGGCCGCAGTGGATTTGACTAAACCAGTGATGCGGAATCGGAAGGAAGAATTAACGATCAGCTCATCCGGGGGAGAAGTCGACGGGTCATTAAATTTGGCAATGCAAAACTGTTCTAATGTTGTTAGATAGACCTGCATTTGGAAAGAGACAATAGTACCGCCTACTTTTAAAATGGCTAATACACGCCTGGGGACGTTATTTATAGCCGCACTTGAAGAAACGTCCGTGAAAGCTATTTACAGCGGATTTTGGTTAATTAGGTTACATTGGAGAAGAAGGCTTTGGAATGCTAAATAGTCGTCTGGAGTGCATAAGGGCTAATATCGCAAGCAAAAAGTACTTGATTGCACAAAAGATGCCGTTCTCATCCCACTACTTTCTGCCGAGCGTCCACCGACACACAATCCCCTTCACGAACTCGAGAGCGTTCTGCTGACTCATTTAGCGCGAAACGGAGGCCTGCATAAATAATGTACCCTAATTGAGTGAACCTGTGCTTGACAGACCGCCTCACCATTCCAAAATGAAGACTATACCCTCGGACTTCCGACTCGCGACACTCACCAGCCGAATTAAGAGGAATGGTCATTACGATAGAGGAAATTTGTGGTATACATGCAATCGACTGGTACCAACTTATTCTGACAACAAAGCACTAGCTACGTTGGGAGAATAGACACTGTATTGACTGTTGCTGGCACGCATTGTCGCATGTCTGTAGAGGAGTTTGGTGGTGCCCGGTAGACAAACTGAACGGCTTCTTTGGCGTTGGCTGGCTGAATCGTAGGGAATAGACGTGCGAGAATAGAACGTGAAGTCCATCTACATTCCCCTCCACTTAGTCAGGTAGGTATGTGTTGGCGTACCCCCTTTTCTAGACGCCTATTTGAACCGCCAATGTATCCTGCTCCATAGGAGCAAGTGAATGAGTAAATCCAAATCAACATGGCCTGTAACAGTAATTGGCCTTTACGTCTCAAAAATGGCGGGGGATTTCGTGTAAGTTCGCCGCGGGGAAAGCGTCCCTGATAGCTGTCTTTAGACGTCGCCTTACTAATTCGTCAGTTGCGTCTCCTAGATAGATGCGAAAACTGAAGGCCGGAACACAGGAGTCTGACCTTTGAAAATTTTGTCTTAAGTTTGCCAACGATATAGGTGGGACCCCAGCGGGACCCTGCACCGACAGGACACAAAATGTGCGTTTTAGATACACGGACCCTCGCCAGGAAACAAACTGTCTGACCCTGTTACCGATCCGGAAGGAGAGCCCGGCTACCAAGGCACTTGCGCGAAACTTGAGGCAGAAAAGACAAGAAGGAACACCAAATGCTTCGCCCTAATGTCACTCTAAATGAGCAGCTACAAAGATCCCAGGCATAAGACAAAAAGAGGCCTCACACGCTCTGTGTAACAGAATGGCGCGTAAAAAGTGATGTCACACAGTAAATGACGTACTTTGGAGTAGGCCCACGCAGGCGGTCGTATGACGATCGGCTGCCACTCGCGCCACTTGCACGAGACTGTGTAGACTCGAGTGAGACGTAAGACCGTAGTGAGAGTATTGCTAGGTGAGCAGGTGGGTCTAATTAGAATATCTGGCAAGCGCAGTTTGAGATTCGGGAATCGTTGTCTGATGGCGACAAGGTACACAATGTAACCTTCCTATATGGTGGGAACCCTTCCTTAAAGAAGTTTACACAAACACTCTTCGCGTACGAGAGGCCACCTTAGTGGATGATTAGCCATACCACAGCGAGATCGACCTATCAAGTACCAACACGAATTACCTATTTAAACCACGTATTTCTCATTTTTTCTAGCTCCGATGATGTGCTCGAGTACAAGTACGAAACGTCAGATGATTAAATCTTCCTCCCCAGAGATCGACTTGCCCTCTTCAATCTCAACACCTGGGGTCAGCCCTTTTGCTCATATCCATATATATATGCATATATAATTATAGAAAAAGACTGTTCGATCGCCGGAACCGTTTCTTATTTTGCCTGAGCTTTCGAACTCGTCCATTGTCAAAGATAAAAGAGGCTATCAAACAGTCTTCTCCCCTGCTTATACATACAACTGGAATATAAACATTCATTTCAATGCATATATATACATATGTGTTAAGACGGTGAAAAGAATGGCGGAATTCGGCCGGGGGACACAAAGAGCAAACATTTCGGTCCGCGACATGGCAAGTCGGCGTTGAGTTGCTCGTTCTCGTAGGTCCAATAGCTGTGTTCACGTGCAAGGAGATAGCTAATCATAGACTGGCCTTATAATTTGTCATTTTGCGTTAAGCCTTCCCACGACACTTGGGCAAACCTGCAATAGTCGGATTCCCGGTTTGAGTAAGCATGTCAAAATTTTGTCCGGAGCTGTGTACGATGCACTGATATAACCTCATTTCTCACTACCTAATTTTCTACCATCCAGAGAGACTTCCCTTGCTTCATTCATCCCATGTCATTAGACAATGCTCCACAATCGTATCCAGATATAGGTAAACAGGGATAAAATATAAATGGAAAATCACTCACGATCTTTTTCATCATCCTCATCGTAGAGCTCGTCAGAGGCGAAGATTTTGGCATACTTCCGGGGCACGACGTTGGAACTCTGCCAACCATCAGCCACCGCAGGGACAGCGTTTCCGAAGGAACCTGGAGGAAGTGACTCATCAGTTGGTTGGATGGGAACGGAGTAGAGAGTCTCCGAGGAGTCCAGGGCTGTAAGCCGCTCAAGTTCACCTTCGATGCTTAACATCCAAAGCAGATGGCTTGAAGTTAACGGCAATAATTGCGACACTAGTATAGCAAAAGCAACAAGTTAGGGGGCAGAGGAGCGGAGCAAGCAACAACGCCCCGTGTGTTCCAGTGATATTGGTGGTGTGAGATGGAAGAATGACGTTGTAACAACCTTCTGTCTGCGGCGCCACCAATGGCATAAATTTGCGTATCTGGTGATGACGACCAGCACTGTCTCGTGCATGCATGTGTTCACGTGTGTGGAGTGGTGCAGAAGTTGATGATGGCAGCTGACGAAACGCATGCTTCTAAGTGGCGCTGCCTTTAGCCAATTAGACAATGAGTGCGTTGTCGAAAAATGGCTTGCAAGTAACGGAAAAAAGGTGAATATACTCAAAATCAGAAGAAAAATTGGCATACATACGGGAAGACGGTAGTACTTAAAAGAAAGTGGTCCATCAAATGTCAACCACTTTGTACACAAACAACGAGCATGATGAACTCCTTTGTCGACCTTAAATGCTTACGCAAATCTTCCAACTACAGACAAAGTCGACTTCATAGTCGCATTGTAGGAAATCACGTTTTTTAAAATCCTGAAGTCGCAGATTTGGAGCATATTAAAGGCAAAGTGTTCTCCGAAGCCGGGACAGTCGGTGTCCGTCTCGTCCGGTTAATTGGGAAGGTGGAGCTAAGTTTTTTTTTAGTCAAATTGAATGGATATTCCAATTATCCATAGACCTTAATAGAACTAAGGTGCACATTGTCGGTTCTTGTCAGGTCGAGCGGTGTTCTATGGTTGTTACAAGTTACACTGACAAACAACCTAGGTGCAATGTGACGGCTGCTAACAATAAAAAATACTTTTTAATTTGAAGAAAACAGTCGACTATACCTCGATGCGTTCTCTTTAAGGATTCCAACCGAAAAAATGAGAAGTTTAGCCTATACAGAGGGGCGTAATTGCCAAATTCTCGTATAAAGTAGCGTTCTAATTTTGCGATAAATGTTCTGGCATCCCACCGCCGTGGCAACCCGCCGTGCTAACCTCACTTCGTTTCAGACTTGCTGACATGCCGGCGACTGGGCAAGTTTATTGGGGACTGTATTAAGAAAAATGAGTATCAAAACCACTATTGAAGAGCGCTGCGACGTAGTCGTACAGTTACCACCTCCGTAACCCTAAGAAGATACGCTGAAAATCAACTGGAAAGCAGCCGCGTCAAGATGGAAGAACTAGAGCGTCATGTCGGTCAACCCACAGCCGGTCTCGACGTCCTGGCAGCAAACGTAAGACACGGATTTATCAAATATACCGAGTCTGTAGGAAGAATACGGGGAGATGTAAAGAGATCCTCACTGCTGCAACGGATGCGCGAGGTGAAACCACAATCAGGGCTCCCAGACACAGATCAGTACGCACACAATTGTTCTTCTATGGCTTTCGATAAAACATCATTTGAACCACTGTATCTTCGTCCCAAGTTTTGCATACCTCCTTGAAAAGTCAATCATCTAGACTTGGAAACACGGTTAGAGGATATCTGGAACCGGACGTACAATCCATAACCTATTTCCACAGATAGTGTCCCACACTTGAAATCGACACTAGTGAATTGCGGCTATCAATATCTGGACAAAAGTACAAACAGTCGGGGACTGCTGACAAAAGCTCACACACAGAAGTAAATGCAGCTAAGAGAGAACGGGGATATTTTGGGATCTAGACCGGATAAAGAAACAAGCGTAGTTTTAACGAAACGATCGGATTATGTGGCGAAAATACAGTCCATATTGTCAGACAAAAAGCAATTCAAGAAAGCCGACTAAGAGAAAGATTGCACGAATGAAATAGAAGCATTTGTGACCGACTGCCTACGCAGGCTCCATGCGGGAGGCTTAACATGCGATAGCGAACTCGAAAATCTCAGCCCAGCGGGCACAAACATCCCTCGATTGTACAGTCTACCGAAGATCCACAAGAACGGCCTACCAGTCTGTCCGATCTTGGGCATGCGCAACTCTCCCTATCATGCGATTGCGAAGTGGTTAACAGAGAAACCCAAACGTGTACAGTATCAACTAACATCACATAGCTATCGGGATACCTTAGAATTCATTGAAGACGTTAAAGACCTAAACCTAAACGGCATGGTGATGTTTCCACCCGATGTATCATCACTTTTCACAAACATTTAGGACAAAAAGACAGCAGAGTACATTAGTGAATTCCTGTGAACCAATCACCAACAAATAGGCATTCCGACGAAGGCACTCAAAGAGCTAATTACAAAAATGTACACAAAATGTGCCGTTCCTATTAGACAAACAAATATGTAGACGTACAGACAGAGTTGCTATGAGATCGCCTCTTAGTCCTCGCCTAGCCGATATCTTCATGGGCAGGCTGGAGCTGTTCCAGCCAAACGACCAAATCAATAAGCTAAGGCACTACATTCGCAACGTTGACGACATCTTTCCAATTGCCGCCAGAGAAACCAACGTAACCGCCCTCTCGGATGCTCTAAATCAAGCGCACTCGCCAATCAGGTTTGGGTTGGAAGTGGAAACGGGAGGCTCCCTGGAATTCCTAGAAGTCCTTCTATGCAGAAGAGCTGACGGCAACATTTGAAGAAGCGTGTATCGACAAGAAACCTGTTTGGGGAATATACGAACTTTTGCAGTTTCGTACCCCTTCAACGGAAACGTAATCTGGTCTGCTGTTTGGCGCAAGGGGATAGAAAAATCCGTTCGGCAGATAGCGTTGATAAAGAACTTAGAAGAATCCAGGACCTGTTTCGCGACAACAGGTGTCCTGACAAATTTATTGTATGGAATTTTTCCGAAAGACCAGGAAAACTCATCATACCGACGACGGAAAAGAAGACTCTGTTCCTCAATCTCCACTTTCAAGGGGACGCGGTAAGTGGAACTCTGAGAAGGCTCCCTGACCAAGCCGTCTTACGGACTTTCCCGGCAGTAAGAATTCAAGTATTGTTCTTGACCAACTCCATCATACGCAGGGAGGGTAAGGATAGACCACCAGTTCGGACCAACTCCATGTGCATTTACTCCTTTACTTGTCCCTGTGGAGCAGCCTATATTGGTCGTAAGAGCGAGAGCCTATCCACATGAATACGAGAACACCTGCCGGCATCGTGAAATGAAAGGCCGTTGTTACTACACAAAAGTGCTCGAAACTGTGTAGCTGTCACAACATTTTTGTCTTAATTTCCGATAGTACCCGGCATCTTTATGTAGCTGTGAATTAGGCTAGGTCTTGTTTTCTGTCAACTACCGGTGAAGAGCGACATTATTTGCAATTCATGTAAGGCGTCGGTAGATCTTCAATCGCTTCAAGAATTCAGATTACAATCCCAAGCAATCGAATGTCTGCAGACTTTTTTATGAATTACAGGTGCAAAGGCCGTGCCAAAGGTTCTACACTGGGAGGAAAAAATTTGAATTGAGACTTTTCGAAGCGATTAAACGAGAGTATGATGTACAATTATCTAAATCAGCAGAAGCTGTCTTTACTGCTTTTGCGGCTTTGGATCTTATGTCAGTAGGCATGTCTTAGAAATATTCTACGGCATCATGGTATTCTTACCAGCATTATTATACTGCGAACCTAAAAAATGAGCACACTTCCAGCTCTTAGAATTCATGTACTAGGAGGCAAGTTGAAAATTAAACACTAGAGTAAATACCAGAAAGAGCTCTGCGGGACGAAGAGATGAGCCGAATTCCCCTCAGTTGTATCATGTAGTGGGAGAAGGACGGTAAAACGTGCCTAGGCTTTCCACTGGTACTTGTGCTGTCAGTATAGCGAATAATACAACATTTGGATACTACCGACTGTCTGTTGGCAGATTATGAATATTACGCGGTTGTCCCGCTGAAAATGTCAGATTTCGGCTCACATATTCACATCAACTTTTGGACCGAGCCTGAAAAGATTTGCTCAGAAGGATCTACTCCAAAGTAGTACATTAATCTGTGTGAAAATTAAAATGCTAAAGTCAGAAATGATCACGATGTTAACCACACAACAGTATACACTTTTGTAGTGTTTAGGAACGCGGCAGCTTTTAGGTTGCATCGCCCACAATGGGAGACCATTACATGCGGTCCATATTCCGTTACGTAGGAATTACACTGTGGTTTTGAAGCATACAACGTATTCTTTAGAGTGCCTCTTGACGGTAACGACACTGCGATCGAATGAAGGATAGCTCATGGCCCAGAGGACTATCCTCACGTCCAAGGAATTCCTTCGGATTAAACTCTGAGACTCTTTTTCAGAAAATGAGGCGAAGTACATAAACAGTATAATTGACTGCTTAATTTACGAAAGAACTATTGACAGATGCATGCTGAAAGTATCGGCTTTCAGTGTTTATTGAGTACAAATAAACGTATGTACGCAAAAGCATACGCAAGGCTAATGGCCTCAAAGTTTGCGTGTTGTAGTGAAACTCTAGAAGGGTGTACTTTCAAGCATCGGTGTTAAACGCTTGTGGAAATAACTAACAACTGCTTGGAACCTCAGGAGGTGCATGAATGGCTAAGGTCAGTCACGAGATCCAGCGTTTTTTGAACTCGACGATGACATCTTATCATGATGGCAAAATAGGCCTGATCCAACAGAATTGTAGATATAGACCGCAGTGGAAATCGTTTGCAATGTTTACGATGTTTAGTGCTTGGATTATAATTAATGAATAATTTCGTATACAGTAAGTGCTCAAACTCGTAAAACATGACCAAGATCCCAGGTTCAGGGTACATGGAATGTTGTACACTCCAATTAACGGGTCACACTAAAAACCTTTTCCCGGAAAAATATGCTTCTAAATTATTGTATAAACGAAACTGAGAACAAGCAGGAAAGAAATCGACTTAATTTCATCTTCAGATAGTTTCCTATTGAACAACTGCCATAGATCACATCGGAGTATCTGAGTGTCTATCTGGGGGAGGGTATCAACGTAGATGGGAAACGTTCACTAAAGCAACCTTGGTCAACTGGAACATGGACTTCAGTTTGCGTAAATCAGGCGAAGCAAGGCGGAAGACCCTTGTTTAAAAATTTCAATCTGTAAATGGACGCAATTCTATGCCACAAACAGCGACAACACCCATTACGAAAAGCCCATCCAGAGTCTTCAATACATAATAAGATATTTTATGCAGGTTAGTTTCTATAAATAAACCAAAAAAGGAACGGGTACAACTCTAGCTGTTAAGAAAATATTTTGGTCTTTATGTGGTCACTCTGTAGTGCATTTATAAGGGCTGAATGGAACCTTACTTTAAACAAATATGGGGAAAACGATTTCAAAACAAAAAGAAAACCACGCAATTAACGTTTTCAGAAGACGAAGTTTCAGTATTAATTGATGAAGTGCAGCAGAGGGCAAAGAGATTTAATTTTGTTCGTGATTTTGGAAAAATAGATAAGGGAGGTGAACATTCATCTGCAAAGTGTCCCAACCGAGCACACTTTAAAGAGGTGACTTGTTATAGATGTTTCCTCATTTGATCAAGGGCATAATAAACGCAGATCTCTGATATGAACGTTCGTTTTCTTCACCGATGCTGTTTCATACTCAGGTAGGTCTACAGATATGGTCAAAATGCCATCTGAAGAAAGACTAGCTAACAACCACTAACTAGATGAGTCAAAAGATGTCAAGATCTGTCTTATTTTGAAGGTTTGGATAAACAACCTACAAACCCACCTTTTGGACAACGATTTAAAGAAGTCGACTTCAGCGGGCTAGACGGTTAAAGAATAGCGTCGAAAATTCACGATAACTACGAAATGATAGACAAATTGGGGTGCTTAAAATCCACCTCGCACACTCACCAGTTAAAATAAGTAGGCTCTACTCCAATGTCGGATTTTCTGCAGGTATAGATGCTAAAGTGGACAGTGTGGCAATCTAAGTATATGTCGCATTACTAGGTCCTAAAACGGACATTAAAGATGCCTTTGTGGCATTTCTACCTGCTCTTTGTGGATGCTTCGATGATGCTGCCGACTCCCACGCAACAAGTCAGACACGGCAGGAGGGTGTTAAGACAGTGGAGGAGAATCCTGACATCTTTTGTGAAATTCTATGAAGCAAGACCTGCCCACGTAGGCAGAGGGGTTGGACGACGTAAAGCCAGTGAGTGATCGAGACTTTGCGAAAAAATATTCCAACGGGCACTCAGGAGAGAGGCCAGAAACAAGAACTATACCAATAAAGCAGCCCTCTTATTTTGTTCGTCAAAGTTCGACAACAGTAACCAGGAATTATGCAAAAGTGAGTGGTCCGGACAGATTTCCTACTCAGCAACTCGCCGCTGTAAAACGACACCGGTATGTAGGATAAATGTACCAAGTGAGGGCTAGTAGAACATATTTATGCGAGTGAGTTTCGTTTTCGTTCCTCCTGTCGGCAATGCCTCTGAGATCTCCCATCGGCTGACGAAGCGGCAGTTCGACTGTCGCAAACGATGATGTTCATTACGTGCCCCACAGCCGGGTGGGAGTTGGGACAATGACTTGTGCATGCCATACTTTGTGGTAATAGTAAACGTGCGCTGCATCTACCACTCTCCTCCTTCATCCGCCAGAGCCTGGTGTCCAGATGGAGTCAAGACGAGGTCGGAGGCGAGGTCGGCGGCAGAGGCTGGCAAATCTCGATAGTCCATCCGCGCATGCTCAACACGCGTGGTCCGAGGATAATGGACTAGATTTTCGCCAAAGCAAAAAAGGGGTGGTTCGGATTCCAGCTGAGTGGGAGTACCATATAGGTCACAGTAAGAGGTAGTTATTGCAGTCTGACTTTTCGTCCTGTGGGAGCGACCGAGTTATCCCGTCAGTTGGTAGTCTACCAAGCTACAGCTTTTGGTGCACCGTGATACTGAGGAATGTACGCTGAGTGCTGTGGGGAAGGAGTTTCCAGACTTGAGCGCATTCATCCCTCTCCCAGGCGGTGGTGCATTGTTCAAGCCGGTCTGATGCGGCGATTGGGCGCTGCGGCTGACAGAGCCCGTCTACGTGTGTGACACATGAACTGGCTCCTAGGTCACACCAGCTTTTAACAAGAAGGCGGTGGGCGGCCATGATGTCACATGCGTGGAAGCGCATTAGAGGACACATTGTGAAGGATGCATTGAGTCTGACTCCCAGTCCACCAGTCAGTTGTTTCACAGACAAACACACGAGACTGACTGCGAGGTCTGAGTTCTACCGTCGGTTAGCAACCTTCCAAGCCAACGAAGTTTAGCGCGTTTAGTCAGGTATGGACAAGAGTTTGTGGGCGTGCGTTTCAGGACATCTAGCCAACACCCTAATAAAGCGGATGAAACCGTGACGAGAGGTGGCGGCAGAAGGGACGATGTGACTTCCCCTGGAAATAGGAAAGAAACACACTTTAGAGGGCATGGGAACTTACAGACCGCTGGAGCAAACAGAAATCGTGGTAAAATCTTCCTCTCGCAATGACGTTGTGGGCGACAAGGTGTGAGGGTTTTCGTGGGTGTCGTAGAACTCCTCACTCTCCTCCTCCGAAGAGGAGTAGGAGACCTCGGGGATCGCCGACGCCGCAGCTGTCACGATAGGTTTTGGCGTGGTGACAGCAAGTGCTTCGGAGATCAACTTGCCCACCACATCCCGAGCGCCCGACTTTATGTCTGTCAGGGTGCGACTGGCTGTTGGAGAGACAGCAGGATGTACACCAGACGGCTTAGAGGAAACGACCGACTGTTCCCGTTGGCTGGCAACGATACTTGAAAGAGCACCACCGGTCGCGGTGCGCTCATTGGTGATGGCACCAGCAGAGGCGGAAAGTGGATCTGGTGGTGGCGGCACTATCGGGTCTGTTCCACCGGAAGCGCGAGATTCACCTAACCAAGCAAACAAGTATTGAGTAACAGAAAGCGGTGCCTGTACGCAAACACGCACGGTCAGTCACATGTACTTTCGCCAAGCGCTTAAAAGTAGTTGTTTCAGTATAGTCACCAGTTCTGAACTATGGGTTACTGAGTACGTATTCCGTGGAAGGAAGCAGTCGAAAGAAGTTGATATTGAAAAGTCAGCTGTTCTGACGCCTTTGGACTGGCTGATGTATAACGCCAACCAAATCGTCTGCTCAGTCAAGAAATTTCGCAGATGCCAAAGGGTGGTAGTCGGGGCAATCACTGACCACAGCGCATACAGTAGATGCAGTAGCCTGAGATTCTGGTCGATGGTTGATGGATTAACTTTTGAAGGAGTTCTCATCGCCCAACATGGTTGTGTGTGCAAGTAACAAGATACACTGGTTCCCTGCGTTTGGGACGCTGCGATTTTTAAAGGGTAATTGCTAGAATTTGGCATTATTCAACGAAGCACCCGTTTGATGAACGCTAACTGCTAACTACGTGATTCTCTATTCGGCTGTGTCACTTGCATTTTGACATAGTTAGTTTCATTTTCGGCGTACTAAACCCCTCCGTAAAACTTGCAATAAAAGTTTTTTCCATTACTTATTTTCATGGAAATTACTAGCACGGATGCACGTTTTGACTGGCAAACATACAACATGTGGGGTAGCTCATGGGCCGTTAGCCGAAATTAGAACGCGTCTTCGACTGGAGGGGATTATTTAGGCAGGGTTGCAACACTGGTTATCGGGCGGCGTAATCCGAAGATACTTCAGTCACGTCAAAAGGCCGGCTTTTAAGTGTGCTCCTTTCTAGTCGCCCGCAAAAATCATACTCGGGAAAAGAAAGTCTACCTAGGCAGTGTGCACTTCTTCCATTGATTTACGATAGCTTTGTGGATTCAAATGTAGTTTGCACGTGGCATGTGCAAAAAATTCTTTCCTGTACTTATTTGGCTGAAAGCTACGTCTTGTTAAAATTCTGTACTAGAAGGAGTGGTATAATCGGCCTTAAAAAGCGGTTTTGAATTCCCGAATGGTTTTGAGCCCAATTCGCTGTTGTATTTGCGTCAAACGTTTACAAAATAAAGCTCTATACTTTCTATGTAAAGAAGACCATATATTCCTGTCGTCAGGGAAATATCACATACGGCCTGCAGTGTCCTTCAACCAGCATGAACTATGTTGGACACTTCATAAGGAGCCAAAATAAATGAACAGATGCGACGCTAGTTGAATTGACATCTCGCGGTCTTAAAAAACTAGCAACTATAAACTTTTTTAAAGCTGAAATATACCCCTTCCTTTAGTATGGAATTTTTAGAAGGCGTAACTTACTGTCAAGTAAGTGCACGAAAGGATATTTTGTGCATGTTTGGATTTATAACGCTGTCGAAAATTAGTGGAAGTATTCATACTACTTAATTAGACACTTTTCCATCGAGTGACTTTTGCAGGAGGCTGGACGGACGCGCACTCAAAAACCGACATCATAGAGTGACTGAAATGTCTTGGGATTAAGCTGTCCGATATTCAGTGTTACAATGCTGCGGAAGTAATCCCTTCCAATCTGAGAATTTGGATTAGCGTTGAAGAAGAAACACCATTTGCTGCAAATGTGTGAAGCTGTTCTTTTGATAAAGGCTGTTTTATGAGTGCTTTAGCCCTTCCCACCTGGGAATTCTCAATTCGCAGCTGTCAGACGAAACAGCTAAGGATAAAAATCTGACGAGGTGTCAAGCACACATACACATAAAGGCTGGAACAACGAGTAAATCTTACAAGATGGGGGCGGACCAGCACTTTCATCGCTCATTGACGACATGTCGTTCTGTGGGGGCGGGTCTAGCAGGTTGACCATTGAAATGGCGGTATTCTCCTATAGAATGAAAACATGAAATGTGGTCCACACAGAAGGATCATAGAGGGGACGGCAGACCAAATTGGCCATGACAAGAAGCACTTAAACGCCTCCCTACTCCGCTATCATAAAGAATGAAGCCTGGAAGGTCATTGACTATCGGACAACGACCGCCAAATAAGACAAATGTGCACTAAGTTTCGTACGGCGTTGTAAGAAGGGCATGCTAACACCTAACCTCCAGCACAAGAAGTCATTAGGGGGTGATTCAACGGGCACACAACATGACTATAGGCTGTGAGGAATAAATGAGAGAGGAAACCTCCAGATACTGCCAATACGAGAGGCTCTTATGATAGCGCATTACAAAGGTTGCAATACATATTTTAGGACATTTGCATAAGACCCTCTTTCTGTGAATAAGAAGACAACACACAAAGAACAGAGGATTGTAGCAATAAGAGCATCTAAGACTTTCGTTATAAAATACCTTATTACTCAAAAATGCTAACAAATAAACTATGGGCAGTTAAGAAATGAAAGATTAAACATCTGTCTGAGGTTGACTTCTACTTGTGTACGACAGCCAATCACAGCTATGCTCCACCGAATGAAGGAACAACACCGTACGCACACGGCACATAGGAAAAACTAAGACGCACCTCGGAACAAAGGTCTAGTTATGGTATAAACGTCGCGTGTCATGTGGAGGTGCTTAAGGCATTGCCGTTCAAAAACCTACACTTTATTAGAGGCCAAGTCTAAATGATACTGCCGACTCCTGTTTTGTTCAGCTTACAGCAGCTTCCACTCTGGTGCCTGGCGCAAACCCAGTCTTAGGCTTAAAAATAAACACTTGTGGACCCAAATCATTCCGCCCTGGAGGTCATGGGGGGAATAGTTCTCGATGCTGTCGCGGCAACCTGACCTGGAATTTAGATAAAGTCGAACAGGCTACTTTAGATGTCTGTTTTAAATACTGTTTTAACCAGAGAACGCATCCCAGCGCGGCCCTTTCGCAATAGTTGTTTCTTGGATCGAAGTCAGCTTTCGGTTCTGAACTCTATTTATTTCTTCTGGGACGTGCAGATCTGTGGCGTGCCGACCTTATGTTATATAAGCTAATTCTGACAATCCGAGGTAGCCGAAAGATTGCTTAGTTGTGCGATGTGCTGGAGGTTGCCATTCGGCAAAGATGATGCTTATACCTCCTCCCTTTCTAAGGAGGGCTTGGATTCTGTCTTATCACAATCGGCAAAGGCGTGTCTCCCACAATGTGGCTGTGGAGAAATTGGTTGGCATGGGAATAAGTGCCCCGCGTATTACAGGTTGGTTTGGGCCAACTTCCAGGGGGTACCTATTCCCGTGTCCTAACTTTAACCCTAACCATAAGACGAACCCCGCCGCGAAATTTAGCGCAAAGCCGCCTGTAAGACGGGGAGGGGGTGTATATATTCCCGTACCCTACCAAAAGACTATTTTTAGACTATAAACCAACTCCTAATGGAGTATCTTAATGTGCTTCTCAGTGACACTCCATCTCTGCTGCGTTTTGTTCTTCTCAACCGTAACTTTCCTAATTCCTTCATATTCAGTCTCTTTTAGGAAAAATTTAAAGGCCAGTGCATAGTATATGTGGATAGGTTAATAATTAACGCATCTTACCCTAGACTGGCAATTTATGAGTGTCTGGATTTTCCTTTTCAGCAATAATTACTTACTTAAAACTTTTTTCCATCTAAGTAAATAATTATGTCCGCATTAAAAGGCGTGGCTTGTTTCCTGTTCCCTCCCCCCCCCCCTGTACGTATTATCGTCCTGAAGTTGAGACAATCCCTTGAGTCTTTGTCGCAGCGATCTGGTGGTTCATTTAAGGATTCTGAAATGATGCTCATCCGTTTTATATTGATTTAACGGCAACGAAGTCCTCGCTGAAACCGAAGCGATTTCCAGTATGCCGTGTCAAATTAATAACTTTCGTAAATCATGACAGTTACTCTCGTTTTGAATTACTGCCTCCGTAACCATGTCTGGGAAAGAGGGGCGTATTCGCACGACCTTTCACGCGTTAAGGTCAAGGTGATTTTTCACCTTGATGTAGAGAAAGTGGCGAAAAAGGGGAAAAACCAATTTCAAAAATTCGGATTCGGGCATGGAGTTAGCGAGTGGGACTTCTGTAACCAGATAACCCAGTAGAACCAAGAATAAGATGAGCAAATCTGAATGAATTGATTTACACAAGGCTGGTCACGCTCAACAGAGAAGCTACTTTCCATAAAGTGCCTTTTCACACCCGGAGATGAATTACGCAGCGAACTACTGGCCAGAACAGATTATAGGTCTTCGATCTACTTCGAAAAAAGACAAAAGTTCTGCTTTGAATTTGCACGCAAGGGCATGAACCCTGACGCTATGGTGAAATTCTGTGCACAGAAAAAGGCTACAATTTCGGGACACTAAAATTATTACATGTGACCGTTACTGTCGAGTAGAAATGAGCGATCAATTAATGCGAAGTGTTAATGACAAAGGCAAGCAAAAATGGGGTCAACACTTCCAGTGTATTTACCGTCGTCAGCCAGGTATCACACAAGTTCGAGCCGAAAGGATTTGGTAATTGAGTCTGAAATCGCTGTGACTTAATACTCCCGATCAGAGCCGATGAGTGGCAAGTCCGTAGCTTAACGGTAAAATTTGACCTAACAGCTTGTCTGAAGGCCTCTCAGAAATGGTCATTCTAGTCGCGATTGAATTGTGGGTAACACCTCTATATTACTCTATTGCCCACTGAAAACAAAATTATGCATGACTTAAACAACGAAAGTGACAGAAAAAATGAAAATCTTCATAAAACGAGCAAGGATACAGCAGAACGCGATATAAGTCGAATAGTTCTTCATGATATGGTCAGTAGGCTGTGACGACTGGAAAACACCGAAAAAACGTAAGCATACCGCCAGGAGTTTTTAGGTAAACCCAATTTAGTTTCTTCCAATGCACATGAACGTCTGTTGAGAGCGTAGAGGGGTCAAGAATGGGAAAAAGGGTTCGGTGGTCCGAGCTTCACGGGCATATATTCGTCCGAATCCTCAGATCTGTAAAGTGAACCAGTTTCAAATCAGAAACTGGTAACCGAGACCCACAGTGTCCCCCGTAGTAGCTGCCTCGACCCCGGTGACGGTCGTCAAACACGGTGTGTATTTGCTTCCTTGGGTCGGGCGGCGTGGAGTTTGGTAGCTGGCACAGGGGAGCTCGTCGATTCAGGTGTGGTCGGATTTCCATGCCTCGACTGCTTCTTTCACTGCCTTGATTCCTTCTTTTCGATGTATCGTTTGGGGCAGCAAAGACAATGGTGTGATTGTCTCATGTAACGTAAATCAACACTAGAGGCAGATGGTCTACCCGTCCGACGTCACCACTACCGGCCTACCAAGCTACGTGCGGACAGGTTTAACCGTGTAGGCCAGTCACACGATTGTTAGCTGCTATCAAAGTCAATGCAGCTACCGGCAGAGAGACAAGGCAGATTGGATTGGTCAGTTTCTACTTTTAAACTGCTCGCACTTTTTCAGACCAAAAAGCCCGAAAGGCCGCAATAGCAGCCTTCTTTTCTTTGCACGCGAATTTTCTCCGGCATATTGACCGCCCTGTCGTGTTTTGGACGAGCAGAGCAAACAAGTCGACAACATTCCATTTTATAAATACAGACGGTGAGCCCCGTGGTGTCACAGCTACAGTGACCGGCAGGCAGGCTGCCCGGAAGACGGTAAGTCGACATGCCTGATGCAACTACCCGGGTTGCAAATAGGAAACGACATGAAAAATCGCATTCCCCGACACAGAAGAAAATCGAAAGAAAAACAGTCAGATGACAGGATGGCCTATAAAAGAGACGTACCTTTGCAAACTGCAGACAGACAATAGTCTTCTTCACCAGTTCAATGAGGCGCTAAGGGGGCAGACGAAAAAGATACTAAGACAACGAACACAAAATTGAAGGTCAAGTTTAGAAGTTAAGCAAGGGAAATACTTGTCACCGTTACAATCATTAATGCAATTGTCATTGTCGTAAAAAACCGTCAAGTTCACGAGGAAGACAGCAGGTCAGATAAAATAATGGAAAGTCTCTATGGCCGGTGAAGCTGCCACGTCTGCTGAACTTTTTCGGCGGATAAGGCAAAACTCCAGTGGCATAGTAAAGGAAGCATACATGGTCCAGTAAATCGGAAAAAGACAAATAGCACAATGAGTATAATTTCTTTTAAAGGTAATTTTCCAGGATTGGAAACCTGGGCAGATCAAACACGCAGGCGAGTTACACTAAACGTGCAGTGTTGCCTGAGTCGGACAGATGCCTGTGTTTTTAATGAGTTCCACAGCAAGGAACTGATTTTAACTGAAGTATGTAAAAAAACGCACGAACATGACCAAGACCCTTCACTTACACGGTAACTATCCGTTAGTCGGCAAACAGAGCTGTGTAAAAACCGTTTTCGGGAGTCTGAACACAGACTAGAGAAGTCGAGGACCAATACCAGCAGATGTTCAACTCAGAAGAGGCAGCAGAACACAAGCCTCAATTGCCAGGAATTTATGAGTTGTCCGGGGCAAGCAGACGCAACCCGCAAAATGGTATATACTACTGGACCTTAGAAATACCGCCCAGAGACGCTGAAACCATAGCGTGGCATAGACCATCTTGATACAGGCATCCAGTTAAGTCCAGACGATCCTTCTGGCGCCATTTACTGCGTTCAGTCCATCAATCGCTCAAGAACAACGAATAATCTATCAAAATGGTTGAACATGCATCTAACTATGAGAGGCGAGATAAGGGAAGCTGCTTAAAAGCATGCAATGTCATAGTGGCTTTCAGTGAGAATAGTTCTAGTAGGCCGGGTTAATCACATTCGCGAAAAAGGGTACTAAAGTAGTGAGTATTTGCGTACTGACTTCCGATGCTCATATAAGTCCAATCAGATAAGGCAGAAAGAATGCACAACATACAATCATTTTTAAAGAAATTACTATTTTACATGTGCTTTGACAGATTTGAACAACTTAATCGAAAACTCAACTGTGGAAAACTCGGCGATCGAGTTCCTGATTTTAACCAGTGGAATATTTCAAGCATCAGATTTAGGAAGTGGGGGATTCACATAGTCATAAAAAAAAACATTTCCAGACAGGATCGAACCACTAATCCGCAGGTTCCGCACTGAGGGCTCCACCGATTGTTCTACGGAAGACACGCTAAACAGTCGTGCTAGCACTGGCTATTCCCTTATCTTTCTTGGACCCATGCGCTCAGCCAAGTTTTTACTGTGAACGACGCAACGGAGGTGGATATGTGGAAGAAACACACGAATAGAATTTGAAAAACTGAACTGAAAAGTAGGATGACCGTTATAGAATTAGATAAGGGAATATCGATTGCCTGCGCAGTTGGCAGACGCATCATCTAGCAGTGTATCAGATGAGAAAGCAGAAATCGCCAGTTTGGCTGCATCCCGGCATACACGTTTTCTAGTCGAGTAAGTTTCTTGTGCCATAGTCAGGTATAAGTGCTTTAAATGCATCCCAAAATGCCCTGATACGAACACTTAGAAGGGAGGAATGTCTCTTTCCTCCAACCAACGAATTTAAAAACAATTTGCAGCGAAGTAGTCACATGAAATGAAATTTTGCTTTTACACAGGCGCTAAAAACCAATAGAAAAATACAAATCCCTCAAGTATTGATCAGTTGAGGGTGGAATTTGCCAGGTTGCTGGATAGAAGCACGGCCGAAAAGGTCATACTGATCACGATTCTAATGGGCACAGAAAGCTGGATGGCCTGTCCAACAAGCGAGGAAAACCAATAACTTCCATTCCAGCTGGCTTCGAAGGATTCAGGAGGTAAAGCGACAAAGCATGCCCAGGACACTCAAGCTCTGCAATCGACCCGCACGTTCAGAATGTTTGCAATGCTGTGATAGGTCCAACTTAAATGGAAGGACCACGTCATGTGGATGATTGGTAGGCGCCTGGCAAAGCGAGTCTACAATAATGACATGGCTGCAGGTCACGTGATGGTCATGTGGATGACTGGTAGGCGCTTGGCAAAGTGAGTCTTCAATAATGACACGGCTGCAGGTGCCCGGATAGAAGGACAGGAGAAACGATGCAAGGACACCTTGTACACACCATTTAGGGGCGTTAAAATCAATTGAACATTCAGGAAGGCCACGCTGAGAATCAGCGCACATGGCGGCCAGGGGCAAAATAAACGCAGCCATTGAGGCTCGCCCAAGACAAAGGGGCAGGGTGAGCCCGCATCACCGCCATACTAGAATGCCGCGGAACGCTGCCATCGAGGAACTACTTTGCATGCGACTTCACTGCCAACAGACACCCAGGACACGCATTGGCTTCGTGGGACACCTATCGACCCGTCGTAACGGCGGCAGTAACACAGATACTACGCCCAGGATCCCAGTTCACAACACTGACTTGGCAAGCTGCGGCCAACGCACCAAACACGGGAATTACGGTGACTCGCCTCCTCCTGCGAGGTTAGTAGTTAACATGGCGCCCGATTAATCACACGTTTGAAGTAGTAATCGTGGAGCCTGGTTGGAGGCACGGTGTTCTAAGTTATCAGTAACAACAAACTGCGTTTCCATTGTCTCTGCATTTGCCTGGGACTGCGGAAGCGTTGGTGGGGCAGGACCTTAGAATCAGACGTCGGATGTTTACCCAGTTCAAGTAGGCGTGAACGGCCTGAAGTACGGAAAAATTGTAAAAAAGAGAAGAGAACGCGCGTGATATGGAAGAATGCGAAGAAAGGGGCGGCAGAAGAAATTGGAAAAAAGCCACAGGAGATATTAAGGAGGGCGAGTAACAAAACAGAGCGAAAATTATAAAAGAGTGGAAAAAAAGAATACACAGACAAGGGAGGGGGTGATAAAGGAGAAATTGAGTTAAAAGAGGAGGAAGCAGGACTGAAAAAACCTCCAGGTTTTTGTTTTAATAAGACGAAAGTGCGCTAGACGTTAATTGCCTTACACAGAAATAGGGCATAAAAATAAATAAAGATAAATAAATAAAGATAAAACTTGCCTGAAGACGCGATTTTAACGCCTCACAAGAGAGTGTGGGGAGGGAATCGAGACTATTGAACTGCGCGTCCAGTTGCTGGAAGCAGAGAGATGGGTATATAAGTGAGAAAGAGCAACTCTCATTTAATCACAAAAGTCGTAGGAGCAGAATGGTCAGAAAAGCACTAAAAGCAAAGAAACCTGTTTCAGTCCTGTAACTGCTCAAATTAGTAGGCTTGAATGTGCGCGAAAACTCGTAAAACACTACCGAATGGAAAGAACTTATGTCCGGCATAAACACGGACCAGTAAGGGGCACAATCTTCAATTCATTCGCATTACGTGGCGCGCAGCGCCTTTAATGAAAACAACCTCCCGCCACTTACTGATTCCGCAGGGAAAAACCCCCACACATTAAGCAATATCGTCTTAACGAAACATGTTATATACTTGACCGATGTCCCAGTAAGTCAGGACACTCTTCGTATTACCATAAATGGGATAGCAAAATCGTTTTCGGCAAACATGAATAACAGGTTATGTAGCATGTTAGACAGCACTAATGAGCAAATCATGTTTCAACAAGATATGGGAATCGCAGGCTTTCAAGAATAACATTGGAGGAAAGCACAATTTCGTGCAAAAACTCGTAAATATCCACCCCACAAAGATCAGGAAGCAAAAAGATGGAAAAGAGGCAATATCTATGTGTTTGTTTTCGAATGGGACTGAAACACATGATTAGGTCGGCTATCAACGAATAGTTACCGAGGTATGAATCAACGCCGCAAGTCGCATGAAACCGACAATTCACTAGGTGAGGACGAAACAGCTGGGATGTGATAGGTATCCGGAAGCACGCTTAAAATTTCAACGCTACAAATGTCATTGTTGCTCCTATCGTGCTGGTTTATGGGTTGTCAAACCGAAAGCTCATGTACGGTGCGCATTCATCTCAAAAATGACAGTATCAGCAGCAAAACGGAAAAGCTTGGTATTTCGGTGTACACGGGCGGATGGTACATTCGATAGCATAGTATATCCCAAACTGGCGCTTGACGGCGTAAAGCTGTAGACAAGATGTTTGATATTCCTTACTTCCCCCTACTTAGAGGGGAAAAACAGATGACAGCTTAGCGCCTGGGGATAAAAAAATGAGTTTTACCTGGTGTTGGTCAATGAGAATTTGAAGGTAAGCATCGGCCTCAATTATTTGTCGATCGAATTCCGAGACGGTTGTCGTTTGATCCAGGAGCCGGCTTGTCTAAACAGACATAACTGATATTAGGCAGTCGAAGCAGCTTTAGACAGACGCAAAATAGGTAGACAACTGGGGATGCATGAAGGCCGCTAGGATTGCAAGACGCAGTCGCAGATGTAGAGCAATTAGGACACACGCTTTCTCTATAGAACATATCTATACTGGGCTAAACTGGAAAATCGATATGTTTTGGGCAAACTGAGAATTCACTGTAAGACGCCATAGATAGGTAATTTGCTCACCGTACTCGGTAAGTACCGTTTGTGCATCTCAGGCGTCATTTGGATTTTTCTGAGAGAGATTGCTGTGATTTCCACTTTCATATCCTCTGTCGGACACACTGTGTTCGGATAACAAGGCGAAACAGGACGTCTGGGGGTAAGCATGCCGCAGTGGCTGACCAGACGATGGCACTCAGTTGCCTGTGACACACCCTAACGTCAGATCGGCGAGTTTCCGCGAGGCTACGGTAGGAACCCTTGCAACCGGATCCTCGGTCCGGATGATCGAATCTTCCTGCTAGATAACAACTTCCGAAACTTCTACCGCATCGTAAATGCGCGTCAGGTTTGTTATAGTCTGACAAGGCAGGGAGAAATTCTTCTCCCTCTTCCCTTTATTCTCCCAAAGTGCTGCAGCAGGACGACTGGGTAAAGTCAGGGGGGTTGCGTGTGAACCATTAGACGCCGCGCACCGACTCAGGTAGGCAAAGGACACCCAAGCAAGCAAAACGTGAACCATAAAATGAACTGAGGGGTGGATCACAGACGGCCTGAATTAGACTGTTATCCAGTGGGAAGTCCGGGGAACGACCCAGTGCTTCCTGGCCATCGTCACAATACCACCATCTCCAACACTTTCGACATGAGATTTTTCAGAGAGTATTGGCCGCTGTGGGCATCAGTCGAATAAGGGGTGGAAGGAAACTAGGTTCTCGGAGGCCTAGAACTTCAAGCATATATCATGGAGCCACTCTGACCCGTAATGGCAAATTCGCGTGATGGTGTCGGTTTGGGTTAACGAGAGCAAAGCCGCCTATACTAGCAACGTTTCATCCTTTTCTCCTATTTCTGCCCTCCGTCTCTCGGGAGAGAAGTGTTGCCGCTGTTTCTTACCCTTCTGCTCATAGAGAACGGGCAGGGGGTGGTAAGTTAGCGGCTGGTTGCCCCTTAGCGCACGTAAGTTGCATTCTCAGAGTTGCTTTGGCGAGCGTTAATGCTCTCTGCCAGCCGGGTTAACCAAAACATCTGTGTCTCCTTTGCACTTTTAACCTCATTGAACTCTTTATTTACGACGACGCCTGATCCCGTCTGACTTATCTGAAACGATTTAGCGAATAGGTGGTAACCTGAAGTAATTGTATTTTCGATGCGAGATCAGTCATTGCTATTGCCGAAGCCACTATCAACTTAACGTACATATAGTCTTCACTTGAAATTTCGTGGAAATTTTATTTTTATGCAAACAGCTTACTTTAAGCACTTAATAAAGTTATTATTATTGGTAGTGATATTATTATTATTAGTAGTAGTAGTAGTATTGGTGTTGATGGCGGTAGTGGTAGCACTAATGACAGCAATAGCAGCAACAGTACTGGTAACAGAAGTGGTGGTGATAGGGGTAGTGGCGGTCGTCGCTGTGTCCTTAGACGAACCGAGCAGAAGATGCTCTGGACCAACATGAGAGTCAGACTAGGACGCAGTGTGCGCTAACTAGGATACGCACCCATAACAGCTGTCATACATGGGGGTGTAGTGGCACGCCTAGGAGCGGGCTCACACCGCGTCTGCCAACTACAAGCAATTCGCGCATCAGACGACTGAACGACTCAGGTGTCTAGGAGAGGGAGGTCAAATCTAAGGACTCCGTCCCCGCGGCATTCAGCGCATATTTCTCACTAGAGACAATCTGACACGCTTTTAAACAATCGCGATGCGAAAAAGTCGTAGCTTGCAGGGCTGCCAAATGACGGAATAACTGGGTCCTATCAGAACGGGTAGCCAGGCCGGAACGGCTCTTTTTTTAATAAGGTCTCTATGGGGCTCCCACCCCGTTGGGTTTCCAGTCACCTTCCCCCTTGATGTTTCTCCGAAAACCTAGCCCATCGTGCGTGCAACGCGTAGACGGTTTGTTTAGTTTTGTCGGTCATTGGGCTCAATCACGTAATCGGTCTTCCCGGCTCAATCATGACACCGAGCTTAGGTGGGTGTGGTGGGGAGTGTGGTAGGTGCTGCGCAAGCCTACTATCATTGCATATTAATTCACGGGCAAGTCACCGTCTCGGAGTCCTCCATGACGTGGGGAACAAGGTGGACATAGTCGTTCGCGACGGCCGAATTGCCGCGCCGCATCAGTAGTAGTATCAGCAGGGGCAGTAGTAATTGCCAATCATCCTCGAGTCGATTCTCGGGAACCGAACTGTTAAGCACTCCGTGCTAAGTGTGGAGGAGGCCAGGTGGCGGCTTCAGTTATCCTGCCTTTGTATCATGATCTTACCCGGCGGCGATAATGACTAGCGAGGATTTCTTGACCTACATCACGACTGAAGAACACAAAAACGCCTAATAAGAACCTACAAACGTTACCCACTTGCTGTAGAAGAGCGTAGTTTTCCGTATGCAAATCGCGAGCCTCTTGAAGAGCGTCCAACCACTTTTGACGTTCCTCTGCATTTTGTGCTGGATAACGGGGGAAGGCACAAATGGAAGGTCGTTAAAATTAAATGCAACAAAATAAAAAAAGCTCCAAAAGATTGCCAGAAAAAGAAAGACGACATACAAAGAGGGATATCAAAGTAGCCCAAGCGTCAGAATAATAGCCTTCAAGAGGTGCCAGGTCGTGCCTGTGGCACGCACAGACGAGCCGTTATCAGTTCTGTCAGCCAGTTCCCACAATCTGGACAGCACTTGGATGACCGGTTCGGACAGTCTACTAAAGCACGGGAGCGGGCAGAGCGAGGTCGACTCTCAGCGCATAATTACTCACTACAAACAATCTGACGTGCTTGAAACTACACAATGCGCTAAAAGCCGTGGCTTTGATGGTTGCCAGCCCACGACTCGATTCAGGCCATGCAGTCAACTCAGTGTGTGTATGTGAGTTGAGTGGTCGACAGATGGACTGAGAGCCAGACTGTACTTTTGTACATGTGAGGGTCGGGCAGCGGTAGGCGACCCCACTTAAGGAACAAAAACCAGGTCATCGTGGCATGTTGCGTCCTCGCCTTTTTAATAATTGACGCTTCCACTATCTCCTCACTTGATGGAAGATAATCTACTTTTTTTGGAAACAAAGTGGAAGAACTGCGAGAAATGCTCGACTTTTGCCTTGCACAGTCAGATACCTTGAAACCCCCTCATCATTCCTTTGGAGATCCGGTTCTTGGTACGTGTGCTCTTTTGCAAGTGGCTGCAGAGAAATTTGGCGCGAGGACGAAGCATTTATTTCGGATGTTTGCCTACTATTGCGCCCTCCCTTCTGTCGTTTAGCCTCGCCAATAAAACCCGTACTACACGATGACCCGGTTTTTGTTCCCTGAGTGGCATCGCATACTGCATCCTTGCCCACGTGAGATCCGAGTCGTCTAACTCATTTGGTGTGTAATCTCGTTGTGTACGTTTAGGAGGCCAAGCCGTGTACGCGGCGCACGTAGACGGGCTCCCCAGCCATGTCAGCCACTGCGCCCACTCCCCGCATCAGACATCTGACCGGCTCGGACGGTGGACTGGTACCTGGGAGTGTGGAGAAAGAGTTGAGTCTACGTTCTCAGCGCACATTTCTCACCATAAACAAGCTGAGGCGCGTAAATCTACCACGGTGCCCTAAAAGCCGTTGCTTGGGAGACAATCAACTGACGGGATAACTCGGACCTCGCAGTCAGCCCTTCGAGAAAAACAGTCCACAAACGACGTCTGCCAACAACAGGACTGACACCAATAAAGCCGCATTATTTAAGCGCTGACCAACTCGATAGGTTAAAAAACTTAAACGGCACACCGACACGTTAGTGTAAAAAAGTTACTTCGCCCCAGAAAGCCTACGGACCGCTCCATTGCTAAGCTATGATGAAGCAACGCTACTGTCGAAGATCCGAGGAGGCTGGGTGCGCACTTCCAGGATGATCAATCGCCTACGATTCCTCAGGTTAACATCAACGATGACGTAGAACATACGCCTTCTCCTTTCGATAAGCAACAAGAACTGTACAACAGATGTCCAGATGAAAAGCACGGGAGTCCAAGGCGATCACAGCCAAAATTTACGAGTACGGCGTCCCGAAACTCATGGAAGAGCCTGCTTCACTGCCCCAGGAGATGGGGTCACATGGACACACCCACAAGACAGCAAAGTGGCCGGTGTTGTGCACACTGTGATAAACATGCAGGCATTTACCTCCCCAACATCGAAGGCAAAATATTTGGACGAGTAACACTCAATATGCTGGACACACATCTAGAGCAGGAACCTCTACCAGAAATACAGTGAGGACATCATGCCCGTACTGTCAACGGACATTCCGGACAGGAATCGACCTCATCGGACATCTTAGGACCCAGTGAAGTGTCAACACAACAAACGCGCCTCTCATCTCGTAAAGCATCACAACTATTGCCGCCCCCACCGCCACCACCAGAGGACACTCCTACTGCCCTGCCAGACATAACAACAATAGTAGACCCACCGGGGATGCAGGCTCAGTCCCAATCTGTCCCCGCTGCAACAACACCTTCGAGTCATGCACCGACCTGGTCAGTCACCTGCGAATCCATCATCCAGAGACGCGGGAACCAGTGCCAGGAGTCCCGACATACACCCGTCTCACCTGCCTAACCTGCTCCGGAACGTTCAGCCACATGTGTCCCCACTAAATTCTTAGGCAAAAAAATCGCAGTTCGGACCCCATCACCACCTCGCTCTACCTGCCCAAACAACTCCCTAAGTTACATATGAGACCCAATCCGCAACACGCGCATACAGGCACACTAGGCATCACCCCTGTAGACAACATGCGACCCACTGTTCCAGCGTCCATACGGCGTGAAAACGTCGCCTGTAAGAACACGCATAGGTCACTTAGGAGGTTAGGGTGTTCTTTATTGCAGCCTAGTGCATGAAGTGGAGATCAGGTCGTGCAGGGTTGTTAAGCTTTGTCAACTCCTACGCTCGAGCCCACCTTCAGCTGTCTTGGTATTGTCTTGTCACTGGAGTCTAGTGGATAAGGGAGGAGAGGGTGCGGTAGATGCTGCGTAAGAGTACCTAATTACCAACTAATTCACGCGGAGCACGCGTGGACGTCGCTGCTTACCACGGACGGGTGTGGGGGTGTCCAGTTGTGGGTCCACGTGACGGTCGTTGTAGGTTGCTCACTTGCTTGCAGGTGTAGACTGCGACTAGCGTCCATTAACTGGCACCCAACTCTCACATGTGGCTCCCCGAAGCTAGGCTCTGTCCAGACGCCACACCCCCGTAACTGCCTCGACCGGCGGGCTAAACCAGGTAAGGGTATCCGTGTGTGCATCTCCACACACGGTAAATCGGCTCCGGTGGTCAGATGGATCACCGCCTCGCTATCGCCGAGACCCCACGCGCAACAGTGCAGGAGGCCACAAGGTAAGTGCCACCCAAGTAAACAAACATTGCTCTGATGGATTGCTATTTGTGTTTGTCCTTGTTAACAGCTAAATGCGGTTCTGCTGAATATCCTCTGTTGTCCTTGCTTTCTGCTGTTCTTGCCAGCTTGCCTTTGTCTGCTTGTTTTCGTTTCTCCTTATTGTAAGCTGAATGCCGTTCTGATGAATTCGTGCGCTCAAAGTTTATATATTTCAGCAGCCAGTTGGCTTAGAGAGGGACGAAAAAGCTCTGCTTCCCGTCTCTCTATCCTTCCCCCCTCGCCCCCCGAAAGCTTAAGGCGATGTCGTGGGCAGTCCCAGGCTAATTCAGGTCGTTCTCCCACTAAACAAAGGTCGTGGCCCATAATGGAGCTCGGCAGTTGTCTGGGACAACTAAGCAGCCCTATTTACGGAGAGCATTGCTCACCCCCGCGAGGGGGAAGGAGATAGAAAAGGTGTCCTAAACAAATGCTGGGAACACAGGCCGTCTGCAGGCTGACCGTGGCAGAACTCACAGAACTCACAGTCGACGCAGAACTCACAGTCGAAATAGCCAAAATTGAAACAATACACTCTCTTCCCCTCCTCCTCCCGGCCGAACGGCTCGCCAGACTGGTAGGGTGAGTTCGCACACTCTGGCAGCTTGGAATGTTTGTTCTCTTTCAGACAATCCGAGGGGCAACCGACCGGAAAGGAGGCGCTACAAGGTGGACGTAACTGCACTCAGCGAGACTCGATTGCCCGAACAAGGCCAACTAGAGCAGGTGGGTGCCGGCTACACTTTCTTCTGGTGCGGTCGCCCCAAGGCCAAAAGGCGGGACGCGGACGTCTCCCTTGCCATCCGGTACGACATCGTGGGACGACTGCCCTGTCTGCCGCAGGGTATCAACGATCTTCTGATGAGCCTTCGCCTGCCTCTTCGGGGAGGCAAATTCGTTAACATCGTCGGTGTCTACGCTCCCCCCAGAGACCAACCAGACGAGGAACAAATTCTAAGACGACCTGCACGCCCTCCTGGCAACTGTGCCGAATGCGGATAAGTCGACTGTCCTTGGTGACTTCAACGCTGGCGTCGGTACAGACCATGCTGCCTGGAGAAGAGTGCTGGGTCCCCATTGTTTCCACGACTCTAACGACAATGACCTACTCCACCCAAGAACCTGCGTCGAACACCCGCTCGTCCTGATCAACACCTTCCTCCGCCTCTCGATAGGAGAGAAGGCCATTTGGATACACCCTCGGTCACGACATTGGCACCTGCTGGACTTTGCCCTCGACCGGAGGCGAGACCAGCAGGACGTGTTGGTGACAAAAGCGATTCCCGGTGCTGATGGGTGGACTGACCATCGTCTCGTCATCTCCGAAATGCGGATTCGTCTACAGCCTCGCAAAACACCCCAAGGTAAGCGACCACCAGGTAAACTGAATATTGCTTTGTCGTTGGCTGTTCACCATCTTCACTTCAGCAATGAGCTAGCTCCGCGGCTGACCAACCGACCAGTCGCCGCCGTCGCCGACGCCATCGAGGAAAGCGCCTCCGTTGGGAACCGATGATGCCAACTCCGGGACACAGTCCAGTCGACGGCCCAGGCTGTTCTCGGTCGTGCACGTCGCCAACATCAGGACTGGCTCGACGACAACGACGCCGCCGCCATCGGCAACCTGTTCGCCGAGAACCGCCTGCACAAAGCCTACGTCAACCGCCCCACCGACGACAATAAAGCAGCCTTCTACCGTAATTGCCGCCTTGTGCAACAGCTACTGTGGGAGATGCAGGACGCCTGGGTGGCCCGCAAGACCGAGGAGATACAAGGGTACGCGGACCGCAACGAATGGAAGAATTTCTTCTCCGCAATCAAGAAAGTCTCCGGTCTGCCAACCAAAGGAATAGCTCCTCTTCTCAGCGCTGAAGAAAGTACCCTATCACCGAGAAGACACAAATCCTACAGCGTAGGTCGAGCACTTCAGAGGCCTTCTCAACCGTCCCTCTACCACCTTCGACGCCGCCATCGCCCGTCTGCCTCAAGTGGAGGCCAACGCCGACCTCGACCTCCTGCCCTCTCTACACGAAACCATTAGAGCCGCGCAGCAGATCTCCAGCGGGAAAGCGTCCGGATCAGACGCGATCCCTGCTGAGATCTACAAGCGCAGAGACCCCCCACTCATGGATCATCTGACGGCGCCCTTCTATGAGATGTGGCGTCAAGGAGAATTCGCCCAGAATTTCAAGGGTGCAAAAATCGTTAATCTGTACAAGCGGAAAGGGAACCACCAAATCCGAGACAACCACCGAGGCACCTCTTTGTTGTACATCGCCAGGAAGATCTTCGCTCGCATTCTTCTTAACCGTCTAAAGTACCATCAGGAGCAAGGTCTCCTGCCGGAAAGCCAGTGCGACTTCCGTGGTCATCGTGGGACCACGAATATGATCTTCGCCGCCCGTCAACTGCGGGAAATGGGTCATTAGATGCGAATCCACCTCTACTCTACCTGGATCCGACGAAGGCCTTCGACACGGTGAATCGCGAAGGATTGTGGAAAATCATGCAGAATTTCGGCTGTCCCGAACGATTCACTCAGATGGTGCGTCAGCTCCAAAGTGGCATGAAAGCGCGCGTCACTGACAATGGAGTTGTCTCAGAGGCATTCGAGTTGACCAACGGAGTAAAGCAGGGTTGCGTCCTCGCGCCTATCCTTTCCAGTCTCATGCTTTCTGCCATGCTGATGGAGGCCTACGGTGACGAACGTCCTGGGATCCGCATTGCCTACATGACGGACGGCTACCTTCTCAACCACGGAGGATGCACTTCCAGTCGAAAGTATTCACAACTACCGCTAATGAACTTTTTCTCAACGACAACTCGGAAGGGGACATGCGGATCTCTCATTAATGAGAGCTAAGATAAAGCCATAGTTCGGTGGGGTCCATTGAGGCCAGTCCGTCAAGTTGGAAAAAGTCCGAATTATCCCGTCAATAGATCCTCATTCAAGAGCTAAGGATTCAGTTAAAAGTGCGGTTGACTGGTCCTAGTTAAAATATTCGGCGCTGAATCGATCTTGCTATCTCTGAAATGTCCTAGTATCCTGCCAGTCCGATTCAAGGGGTCAGGAGATGAGATTGCGTGCAGTATCTGGCCTGGTGTAGAATCGATGCCACACACGCGTTCGGACCCCACATGCGAGAGACGTGTCACAAAGGTCACACGAAAGAAACAACGCAGTCTGGCCTACGTTTCAAAGATGGCTAATCTATGTTTATAGTTAATAGCCCTTGAAGCAGTGTTAAACCTATTATCACAATAAATGGATTAAATTGTCGTGAGAAGGAACGGCTCAGTATTGGCCTGACTCCCTCTTCCCTCTTCCATGTGGCAGTGGTCATTTCGATTCTGTTGGTCAGACGAGAAGACTGGATGCGGCGGTCGAATCCACGTAAACCTCCGTCTGGCAGGTATCACATGCGCGTACGGCAATAGGTGAGGACCAGCGCGGACTCAATAGAGCTTGAATAAGACACTCTATGAACCGTAATGGTTTCCGGCGTCGGTACGACGCAAAAATTACGGTCAGATTGGATGCAGAAGTACATCAACATAGATATAGGTGGCTTTAGCACACCTACCACACAGGAACTAGTCGGAAGCCCAGACACCGTGCTTCGCTGACTATGACCGAGACCGAAAAATAACAGTCGATGTATGCTAAAAGCGTAGCGGGGATGTTGCGAAGGATAAAAATTTATATGCTATGATGGGAATTACTTTACCTTGAAAATGAAAGACCTTTGAATCCACTGTGATGGTGAAAGTGCTGTCATCCTCATCGTTGATTCCAACCTGCGCGTTTTTCAATTTAACACAACCTCTTCTGTCGCCCCGAACCATTTTGTCTTTGGACTGAAAATGTGACGAGGATAGTTAGATAAGATACGAAAGCGTAAGGCGTGTTTCATAAAATCCCGCATACGTGACAGTAAAGCAGGCACTTGGCACAATATCGAAACTCTTCTAGGGAAAGAGATGCGAAGAGTTTCGAGTTATTTCGTAATCCGTAATAGCATTTTAAGTTCACTTCAACAATAAATGAGTAAGAATGAAAGTCACTGTAAGTTTGCGTCGGACGTAAGTGACAACGAAAGGGAATCGGCGAAATTCGAAGCATTATTTATAACTCTGGCATAAGAAAGTAGCCGGCTCAGAAATAAGTTGAGGTTGCAATAAAAGAACAAGGTGGGTAGGGAAATGTTTTCGTTGAACGACTCCATAAGGAGACTAGGAGAGCCAAAAGTGTAAACGGTTGCAAATATCGGTTTAACGCATGGATGAAAATAAAAGCCGAACTTCTAATCTCCAGGCAGGCGCACGTTATTCCACTTGCACAACTGTTTTAAGTTAATAAAAACTGAAGTTCCGTAACGAAGTCGACATGGTTACTGTGGTATAACTTGGCGAGGCAGTGATGATCCAAACTTCCACGTATGAAGAAGCGAACCACCGCATTGTCGGAATGAAATCCTGGCCAAAAATCTAATCGCAGTAGTCGCCTAAAGGGGGAGTTCATTAACGCATGGTATTTCTATAGTGCGAGTGGTGTAAGTGCTAGGATTCTGTCAATTACTGACCGGCCTCGCCTAAGCTGACTTCGGAACACAACTGGACGAGCATACAATATGCACCTAAGACACATGGAGCATGCAAATCTTGGCCAGAAACCTCTTGTTACGCAGAAACCGTTAACGCTGTGCAAGGGCAAATAAACGTATGCGCAAGTCTTCGTGAATTTACTGCCGGGCTACATGAGATTATAGTAAAGTTGCATCTCGGCCGATAAGTAAACAAGAGGGAGTGAGGTTGTCAGAACTGTGGCCAGGTAAGGACGCACGAAAAAGGGAAGTGGGAGGATTAGGGGCAAGCATAATCCGAAATTGCGGACTGGAGAAGAGTTGGGATTGGCTCTGACTCAAGCCGATACACTCTTAAGAATATGGTTGAGCGGTTTGTAAAAACGATGCAAATTACGAAGAGACAACTCTGCATCAGGCTGTAATTCAACGACACTGTTTTGAGTAAGCCATTAGTCAGGCACCTCGACTAGGGCGTTGCCGGACTTCCTTCACCGCCAAAATATGGCATTATTCTCAAATGGCCCAAATACATGCATTCAAAACAAAGACAAGCTACCACTCCGAGCCGCGAAAACGTGCATTGACTTCTTCGCCTACACCAGTGCAGTAAGCTACATTGGTCGAGCGAGCAGATACATGCGCAATATGGTGAAAACATGTGCCATGAACATGGGGGTTGTAAGCAGCCCTATTATCGCGAATCTAACTAGACACAGACCAGCGTGTGGACTTAATGGCGGTTCTCCAAGTGGTCTTGGGAGATTCGAAGCAGCACAAGAAGTCATTTCAACAGAGCCCACTGGTAACAATAAAAGCCTTGTGCGCACAGAATTGTTTCGAATTTGTTTATGTACTGACCCAGACGCAAAGTCCCCAAATAATTGCATTGGCTTGGTGAGGAATTAGTGAAAACGTACAAATGCTTTATCCACTAGCACTTTTGGAAGCAAGTCTACTTCGGGGCAAAACCCCAGTTACGAGTATAAGGTGGCCGACCAGGTGATGAAATAAACAGCGACCATGTGAAGCGATGCTTAACACGGTTAAAAAAAGAAATCACTAGCTAGCAACAGCCGGAAATTGAAGCTCTGCAGTTCAGACCACCACCCACGTATCCCGTAACAATAACATAAACTCTGAACAGCTGTCTTGGGTGAACAAGGTCTATTACGTCAGGGGACCGACAGGTAGGCGTGGAAGACCTACCAATTGGGACTGTTAGATTTGTCAGTGTGGCCGGCCGTGTGACCCGCCTTCTGTTAAATCATAGTATTCAGGATTAGTAAGAGAATAAAATTTGGCACCTAAAACTCTTTTTAGGCAGACTACGGAAACTATGAAGCTTGTGCGACTGTAAAACATTTGCTGATTAGATTCCCAACGCATGTTCTGTTTCTTAAATTTCCGGCTACATAAAGTCATTAGTTCTTAAGGTTTGTATCAACAACAGTTTTAAATGGTGAAATTACCGATAATGACAAATGTTTAAGGTCAAATCGACAAATTTTTGAACGTCTGAAATCGTGAATGATTAAATTGTCATCCAATAGAACAGCTATCATTGAATGAGCACAGTGCTTTGCAAGGCTGACGAAAACAAGTGACTAAATTCTGCCTTCCAGATTACACAAGTTATCTTTTTCGTCCGGCACTTCTTCGGCAATGTCCCAGATCAAAATTGCTCGAAAAAATGTACGGCGAGTTTCATGACGATCAGCTCATTGTTCGACATCAATTTCACCGGAGCATTAAGTGAGTACCTTGCAGATGGCTTCCCGGCGTCCGCAAATTACCATCACAATTTTTGCATTAAATGATAAGAAGATGCGCATATAGTTGTTGGACGCACAGCGAATAACACGTCTGATCACATAATGAAGCATGACACGAATTCTGGACTAGTCGACGTCCAGAACCCAGGTCATGAATATGTGCAGGAATTCGCGGGGACATAGCACAGGTGGGGCAGCAGGTCCACGCTGAGTGATAATGTGTAAGGCGACGGGGCAGGGGAGGCCTTAAGGCGTAGTCGACAATATTTGGCATTTCCTAATACGTCGTTGGTTTGCGACCTTGGGATGTGTAAGCACTTGGACAGATCGACGAAACGTCAAACCTGAAGGATGTACTGCTGTATTGCCCGCCACTGTCATTCGTCGGACCGGAGATCATGTTTATTTGGTAGTAAGCCTTAGATTACGGCCGCTCTATTATCCGTCATCAGTACACGTGACGGAAAGCCTACACCAGGTTAGCAGAGGGACCCTGTCTCCCTTTTTGGCCCACTGTATTGAAAGCCAAAACAACAAATATGAGAAGTCGCTTTAAACAAAACATGCAGGCTAAGGTAACATGGGCAGGTGATACTAGAGATAACAGAAGTTCTGGTGAAAAATGAAAAACGCACGTTTAGCACGAAGTGTGGGAACTGCGACGGGAGAAGCCCCGCCAGAAGTTGCAAAGACCCTTGTTATTTTCCTTCCCTGATGGTGTGAACATGAGCGTGGTACATGGGGAGGATCAACTAACCCAGGTTGCCAAATGGACGCGAATATACTTATCAAACATCCCAACTAGGCAGGATGTTCGAATTTTTTCCAGGCTACTAGTAACCGACGATTTGTTTCGTTGACTTCGGTACAACGTTCAAGTCTACTCAATGAGACTGTGAGGCAGATGGCGAAGCTACATGATGTGTTAGGAAAATAATTGAGGCTATAAAGGGTTACTTCCCTGTCATTGCCAGGGCGCTTGGTCATAATCGTTCGACGTGGCTTCAATCTACAGAGCACCCTAGACAGCTACTTCCCTAACGCGGTGCTAGGAAAGGCTGAACCCAGTTTTAGCAGCGCCCAATACGCATGAAAGCATCACACTAACTGCAACTAGGCGTATGATATCGCCCTCCCGGAGCTAAATGGGAATGACATACAGTGTGCAGCGTCCCTGGTGAGGGTCACTAAATCAGTCGATTTATCCACCGACGCTTCGAATGCTAGGCCACTGTCCAGCTGCAAACCTGATTAGAAGAAGAAGTTCTTTGTAGTTGATAATTGCCAGCCTAAAGCTACTGGCAGTCTCGACCGTCTCATGACGAAGATTTGGCTGAGTGGACAGAGTTTGGATCACACTGACACATGAGCCCATTATACCTGCTAGTCGCCTTGATGCACTCGCGATATCACCAGAAAGATTTGCCTATGCTAGGCGTCAATGAATTCAGTTAATATGGTTGTGGATGTCGGGTTGTACGCGTTGCGGACGAGCGAAAACTGGAAGTTTCTGACCAGTTGTGTGATATCGACCCTTTGGATTAGGTTTGTAAGCTTCGTATGTACTAAGACTGACAGGACGTCTGGCAATATCACCTCTAGGACATTGTGAGCTGCTCGAGGAAGATGACTTATATGGCTTGGGCACGTTCTTCGCCGCCCTCTTCATGAATTCAGTGCTGCCGAATAAAATCCAACATCGCTCGCAACTATGGGCTAATGAGGCAAATTCAGGCTAAGCATGAGTTAAACGTAGTTGCGATCATACGAAAATGTTCGTCGGATCCTTTATATTTCGTATTGGCCGATAAATAAGAGTGGCACGAGCTTATAAGAAAGCAGTGCCGATTTCCATGTGCGGAGGGGCGTCATCCACGAAATCCTTGAAGACGGGCAGAGGAGGCATGATAGCCACCGAATAAAGTACAAGCAAGACCTGGTGCCTCATAACCACTTAGCTAGTGCGACTTTTCCAAAGCATACAATTAGGGAAACTAATTTGCTCACCTACATACGCCGGTATTAACAGGGAAAACAGGCATTGGTAGTTTCTCCATCCCAGCGGCGACGTTATGGAAACAAAAATAATAACCGCTTAAATGTGAACGTTATTATGCTGTTTGTGCCCGCGCATAACTCTAACGACCTTCCAGCGAAGTTAGACAAGTCTAAATAGGCAATTAAACGAAAAGAAACAAGGAAGTGACTAAGAACTACTCCCAAGGCTGCCGGAGACCTCCGAAATGTTTCGGCTTTACTGCAGTGAACGAAAGTAGGCATGCAAACCATTTTCTTACAATAGGTGACCGTGTTGACACATAACTCCGTCCTAAGATCGTGGGCATATGGCTCGGTCAGAGGGGTCGTTTTTCCTTAATTTTTTTGTAAAACTAATTAATACTGCAAACGGCGAAGCCAACGGCCGGTATTGAAAGAGGTGGTCCAGCCCTCCACCTTCCCCGTTCTCCAAAAATAATTAACGGGATGGTAAACTAAATATCTCAAAAAATGGACGCCTACTCGATATCATCTCAATAGAGTTTGCTACTAGGGTGTACGATCGATTGTACAGCATGATCTACGCAAAGAAAGCCTGAGCTCCAAAAATTGTCCTATCGGTTGCGTCAAAAATAAAACACAGACGATCCCCCTTAATGAGCTATTGTCCCATCCAATCCAGTTTTTCCCCTCCTTGTGACAGGGCCGTGTTGATCTCGGGAAAGGACCATCAGGGAGTGTTAGGGCATAGAAGAAACAATAGAACGTATCGTCAATTTTAGCAAACATACCGTGTAGTATGACAAAACTCCAATTGCAAGATCGAGAACAAACCACCGGTACTGCCATCCTTGGACGACATTAGTCCACTTACATAACGGACCTTCCATAACCTTTTAGGGTAGTCTGCGCCAAAGCAATTATTTGTGGATATGTAAACGATTCGGATGCTCACAATTTCCAAGGAGACATACTCAATTTCCCGACTATAAACAACATCCTTTTTAGGGCACACCGAAATTATACATACCAAAGCTATCGTCGCCCTGAGATATTGATTTGAATCGTTAGTAATCAAGCTAATCCGTTGGCTATTAATCATAAGCAGACTCCGGCTCCTTCATTTTTCCTGGTGAGATGAGTTCTATCGGTAAATGTGGGCTTCTTTTATCACACTCTCAAATATTTAGGCGGAATTTTATGGCAGATAATAAAGGAATTAAGATAATACCAAATGCATTAGCATCTAATAAAAATGCAAAGAAACAATCGAAACAAACTAGACATTCTAAGGTAGAAAAGAAATAGGTTATCTGTTTCATGGCAAGATAAAAGGTGTCGATATTGGCGTTTAAAACCGAAACTTCGGCTAGATAACCCGTCAGATGTTAAAGGTAATGTGGCTCCGACCTAAGATCTCACTATTAATTTCACACACACCAAAATAACAGGTATTTTTATGCCATATATTTACATGGTAATGAATGATTGGCGGAAGTAGAGAACGTGAGCATTAAGAGTTGAACGAATAGGGACTCAATAGATTGACGCACAAGAACAGAAAAATTTATGAAAAAGTGTGGTATACTGGGCGGTCTCAATCAACAGTTCGTGGAACTGAGGGAACATCTTTATCGCGACGATATATTTAACTGAATCATGCAGTCTTAACAAAAAGCGCTGGAAATACATGGATAACAGATAAGATGAGCGTTAGTTTCAATTAGTCATTAGTATGGCCAAAAGCTTAAGTTTTCAGTGCTCCACTCGAAATCAAACAGGTACTTTCGTGCTGAGGATAATAAAGGCAGAAAAATATTTTCCAGCGGTCTGCATAGGCCTAAGTATTTGCGTTTCAAAATATCTGTGTTTAAAAATGCAAGTTTAGTAATAAATGTTCTAAGCAGATAAAAACCGTCCCTGCCAATACTGTTTTATTTGCAAATATTACAATTGTTATATTTGCAAAATTCGTTCATCTTAAGCTCGCCACAGCAGGTTAATTTCCGTTAAGATATGCCACCAAATTTGGCCAAATAAATAAGTATCCGGATTTCAAGAACCTGTTTTTTGGAGTAAGCTCACAAATGGCAAACATTTGTGAAACACAGGACATTAAGTGTGCCCAGGACGCAGTGTCTTATATTAGCCATCATGCTTTCTGCAAGGAAAGCAGTCAGGGAAATCGGGGAATGATACGTCCTCATGTCAGGCCTACCCTCAACCCCAAACCCTCGAGCTGTAACCAGATTAGTTAACGGTTATTGCATTCAAAATCAAGTCCCAAAACTTAGCATTTATTTGTGAGCTCACCTCCTTTCCTACCCTCTCGCCCAATTAAGTCAGAGACGAAAATTTCATCAAGACACACACTGCAGCACAGAAGCCGAGAAGCTGCGGGAGCGTGAAACCCTATGGCACCTCTTCCTGGCCAATGGATATCCGCGTAGTTCCTTAAACAAATGCTTATACCAAAGACATACGTTTTCCGACCGTGAGAACACACAAAGGCCTGCAACCTTCCGCGTTTTGCCTTACGTGAGAAACGTATCCGAAGCCACTGAGCGCATGCTAAGGCCACTAAGTGTGGGCGTTGGACACCGACCGGAGGCCACCATCCGCCGCATACTCATGCAGCCCAAGGGCCGGCTACCACCTGCAGACACGTCAGGCGTCATTTACCGCGTCAAATGTCTAGACTGTCTGGCCAACTACTGCGGCATGACGGACAAACTACTGCGCACGCGCGTGCATGAGCACGCCTTAGCCGTAAAGCGAAAGGATGTACGCTCGCACGTCGCCATGCACTGTCTAGAAAATAATCACGCGTTCGACTTTGACGGTGCCCAAGTGCTCGGCCGAGCCGAAAGCAAGCTGGCGAGAGAAGTTATCGAAGCCTGGTAATCAGACGCCAACTCGATTAACCGCAGTATTGACCTACCAGCGCCATACGAAACCATCAGGCACCACTTGCGCGCTAGAGGAGGGCCAATAAGAGGAGAGCGGGATCGACCTATCAGGCGCGAGCACGAATGGCCTATTTAAACCATGTATTTCTCATTTGTCCTGTCTCCGATGACGTGCTCGAGTACGAGTATGAAACGTCAGACGATTAAATCTTCCTCCCCAGAGAACGCCTTACCTCCTTCTTTTATATGTATGTATATATATTGAAGGGTTACAGGCAGAGCCCTTGATGACCCTATTTATGTACAGTGCTTTCGCAGATTCATACTCAAAAATAAAATAAAATTGCAGGAATTTAAAATGTAATTGGGTCACAGTTCAATCGTAATCACAAGGTAGTGCATAGGGTCACTGTAAATTAGTGCGGAAGATTGTATATGACAGATTTTACAAAACTGGCTGTGCATAGTCATGCTGTACAAGCCGATTTCTGTCGAAAACTAGACGAGCAAGTTTTCTTTTAAACACACAAACTGTATCAGCCGTCACCATCTCGCTTGGAAGCGAGTTCCACGGTCTGACAACCCGCTGGCTGAATGAAAATTTTCGTCGGTCTTAACGCGTGCGCTCATTCCCGACTTTGTATGCATGACCGCGTAGTTGGTTTGTACAGGCGAACTCAAAGAAATCCTCTGCTCTTAATGAGCAACCCTGGCCGCGAACAATCCGGAACGTCCAGAGTAGACTGCAGTTTATTTGTCCATAAAAGAGAGGGAATAGGCCAAGCAAATTCAGCCTCTCCTGATAAGACAAACGCTTTAGACCGTCGACCATCTTTGTCGCTCTGCGTTGCACCTGTTCTAGTAAGTTGATATCCTTCCTCATCCATGGTGAAGCTGATGGCATTCCATACTCTAGATGAGGTCTTACAAAGACACCAAGGAGTATTTCGAAAAGTTCTGGAGGAAATATTTTAAATGCACGTCTGATCCAGTGTAGAGTACTAGTTGCCTTCTGGACCATCTTTCTAGAGTGTTCTGATGGCGATAGATTTGTGGTCGTCCATACACGCAGATCTCTGTGTCTTTCCACAGTTTCGAACCTCGTCCCGTCAGTCATCATACCTAATCCCCGTGATTTTGAACACCATATTGAAAACCACATTTAAATACTGAAATGGTAGTAGATATTTTCATATTATCAAAAAATTGTTCTCAAGGAAGCCTTGAAATAATATGGTCAGCAGAGGAGGAAAAACTTTTGCTTGCTTACTAGGAGAGGTCTAGATGTTTTCAGTCCCAAATGAATGCGAGTAAGTAAGGAGGCTAATCTATGTATGAATACTCTTAGCAGCCAAATAAATGATTGGATGAACGCATCAAACAAGGTAGAAATTGAACCAATGTCTTCAGTTTAAAAGCAAAATGGCTGGCAAAAAATAGATTCAACGATTATGCTTTGCCCGAATTCTCCTTTATGCTGATACAGTTGCAATTGAACAGATGCAGCATTGCTTGGCATGACTTAACAGACGGCCATAGCAAAAGATGTAAAGGAACTCGCGTCATTAATAGCTAAAGATTCTTCACCAATATCTCTCGCGAGTCTCATTTTTGAAGCAATTCAAATATTTCTGTGATTTTCAGGTGCACCGATGATGAGCTTAAGGAAGGATGTCTAAGTTGCTTTCGGTCTTTTGAGTCTGTTTTTAAGAAATTACGGGACAGGGAAAGAACCACCACTGGATTTAACCATCTTCGGTGGAATAAAATCTAGAAGACCGCCCACTAGGTATTACAGCGAATCGTGCAGAATTTTGAGTCATTATTTGTAAAAATATTTGACCTATCTTGAATGATTGTAAAGCTGCTTGCCATGTCTTTGTTGTTATTAGAATGTCTAGGTAGTTGCGTTTCATCACTGGCTTTGTGCATAGGGAAGCTGGAAGACAATAGTGGTTTTATGTGCGAATATCAGTAAAAAAAGAAGTGACGTTGTGTGGATGCCACTACTGAAAACCAAATTTTAAATCCTGCCATCTCTTGTCAATGAGTTGACTAAGTGGGAGCGGTTTTGAAGATTAACAGTATCCACCTACGTCTGGAGTTTATATGGGAATATATTTATATACGAGCCAGTTTCCAGCAAATGAAAATCGCCTAGGATCATTTTGACGCCAGATGTTGTCTCCCTGATTTTTTCAGGGAGTTCACGGAGACGACCTTTATTGCCAGGGTAATAAGGAGGATTATATGAGCAAGCAATTGACGCTTTCCTATTTTGCGTGCGGCGCTGACCGAAACGAGACAGGCATTTCTAGAAAAGGAAGGAATCTTCGGATCACTGAGCGAATGTACAAGGGAGACTCTGATATAAAGAAGACAAACATCGTTACGTTTTTAGCGAGGTCTTGTCGATATAAATTGAGATTATCTATAGCGAGCGCCGAGTCCGATGTTGGGGAGTAGGTCCAAGACTCTGCAATACACAAAACACCCGCGTCAAACTCGGCGGTCACAGTTCTTAGCTGGGCCATCTTTGCACGACCGATCTCGCGTTGAGGAAAACTGAAATGAAAGTATTCCTTAGGTGCAGGCCACTCTCATTACTGTCTGTAAAAAAGGAAGAGTCGGCTGTGAAAAATCAAACTGTAGGGACGAAGTAGGGCGTAGAAGACAAAACTGTTATGACCTTATTTTTTTGAAGACGTTGCCGCCAACTTGAGAGGCAGCATTGCACAGAAAATTTTAGGGGTGGGAGGCTTAGAGAAAAATGCCATTTCATGGGGCTGGAAAAGTAGGAAGCATAAAAACGGGGTTCCGATATCAGTAAGCATGTTATGATGTGCGGCTTATACTAGAAGCCAAGCTAAATTGTTCCGAAAAACTGTTAACAACATGAGTAGGCTTTTTTATTTGGGAGATCTAGCAATCTGTGAGGTTGGGAAGTTTGTTGACCACATTTGTGTCTTAGACGCACGTCG